TGCACAAAAACATATCTCTACCATATCGTAGGTAGCTGCTTTTAGGCATAGGGGGGGAGGGAGCTGAGGCTCAGATGGAGAGGTGAGGTTTTGTGCACAAAGATAGCTCTACCATATCGTAGGTAGCTGCTTTTAGGCATAGGGGGGGGAGGGAGGTGAGGCTCAGATGGAGAGGTGAGGTTTTGTGCACAAAGATAGCTTGTAGGTGGCTTGTAGATGTAAACTTACATGTTGGTTTCATCCTCATGATGATATATATCCTCATCCTCATGGTTGTTTTTTAAACTTAGTAATGCTCATATCCATCATCCTCCCTGTTCTTTCGCTTCCTTCCCGATGTTCGTAGCTGAGTACTCATCTCTGGTAGCTGTAGTACCTCCTCCTCCTCAGCCTCCTCCTCAGCCTCCTCCTCAGCCTCCTCACGATCACTTATACCACCTCCATCAAGCTCATCTAGCCTCTCGTCACATTACTCCCTTTCTGCTTCAATCTCATCTAAGGAAAAGAATAGCTGAAGTTCTTTCCTCTGCTGCCCTTCAAGGTCAAACCTTGAAGCACAGAGAAACAGCATCAGCTCCTCAATTGTTTCAGACTTCATACGACCACGGCGATAATGGCAGATATCCCGGGCAGTGTTGAATAGCCGCTCTACACCAGCACCTGTTGCTGGGATTGAGAGAACATCCCGTGCAAGTGCAGAGATTATAGGGAAACGTCCTTGGTGCTCTCTCCAGAATTGAAGAGGCTCAGTCTCAACAGTGTCTAAGGTAGGGGTAGTTAGTATGTATAGATATAGGTAGTATGATATTAGAATACTGATAATTCAAACATACCACCATCAAGATATTGTGTCATTTCATCTTTAGCTAGCCTTGTCTTCGGTTTGCTTTTGTTTAATATCTTATTAAGCTTTAAGCTTAGCTTTGGTGTAGGTAGGGAGCTTCCTGTGTCTGACGTATGAGAAAGATGCTCTTGGTGCTCTTGGTAGGGAGTAAGAGCTGTCTGGAATGCACTCCGGTACTTAAGTCGCCAGGACCCATCCCAGTCATCTGATTGGAAAAACTGGAACCGGCTGTCAGGAGCTAGCATTGTACCAACTGCATATATGTGCCCTGGAATACTATCTGTCTGTGTGTAGTACTCATCAAGCTTTAATCGGCTAGCTTCAAGGCACTGAAGTATGTGCCTTTTCCATGGAACCCGCTTCTGCCTAAGCTGCGCCATGGACTTTTCAAGATGCAAAAATAATGCATTATAAAGCTTGAATATAAGATGTATGGTTACATCTCGTGTCTTCGATAGCTCAGTCGTATATTCAAAGAAGGGCTCAGTGAGATAGAGCAGGTAATCGATTTGGCGCCACTCCTCTGGAGTTAAAAGCATTTCTTTACAGTCATATTCCAGGCAAAATGGGAGGAAAAAATCACGAAGCCTCTTAGCTCGGCGAAGCATTAGGAAGGTTGAATTCCACCGAGTCCGTACATCTTGTATTGGAATAACCTTTGGTTCCTCTGTTTGAAGATTGATGAATGTTTCACGGCGTTGGGGGCTTGCATGAATGTAGATTGCAAGGTAGCGTACCTTATTCAAGGTAACAGAGATCTCACACTTCTGGCGCTTTAAATTATCCTTAGCAAGGGTTGATTGTTTCTCAGTCTATTTAGTTTGGGTAGTCTCATTTAAAGGGGCTGCCTTTAGGCGATCCAGAAGCTGGTTAAGGCTAAGCTGAATAACATGGGCAAGGCAAGGTATCCGGGTAATGCTAAGATTCTCAGGTAGGGCTTGTTGAATTGCATCAATCATGGTCTAATTATATAGTATATTATTAGTAGTAGCCTTAAGGATAGAGATGGAGATAGAGATGGAGATAGAGATGGAGATGGAGATGGAGATGGAGATGGAGATGGAGATGGAGATGGAGATGGAGGGTACCTTATTATTTGATGCATTATCAGTTGTAACTCCAAGAACTCTGTCTGTAATCTGATGCTCTTGGAGTATGTTGAGAAGAACACTACTAAGACTTATACCAGAGTGTGACCCAGAGAGTGGTTTAAAACCAAGAAGCACCTCCCGATAGGTCCAATCTGCATCAATAAAATAGCCAGTAACGGCCATAAATGCTTGCGAAAACGGAGAAGTCCAGCAGTCCAGCGCAATTGAAACTTTTGAGCTGGGCGGTAGGAGGTTAAGAATGGATCTCTGGCGGTCTGCAACTAGATCTTGTAGTCGCCGACGAATTGTATTTGCAGACGGGATGGTTGGAGGTAATGGTGAAGAGCGAGCCTTATGAATCAGACTATGAAAGGTTGGATGCTCAATAAGGTGGAATGGAAGCCGGTTGATAGTAAGAAATTGTAAGATTTCTTCCTCCCAGCCTAGCTGTGAGAAAGGAGCAAGAGCAGGAGTAGTAGATGGCTCATCTTCCTAGTGAAATAAAATTAATTAAATAGTTAGTTACTGTCTTAGTAGTTAAGCTAGTTTCCTACTGATTAAGCTTCTCTTTTGTGCATAAAATACTATCTCAGCTAGAGTTTTTTTTTTGCGCCCAAAACACCAACTCTGTGTATCTCACCACCATTAAAACGTACCTTGCTTATAAGGAAACCAGTAATATTCTCCTTCCGCCTCATAGAGTTTTGGCATTTTGCAGTTTTTAGGTGTTTAGCCATGGTTGATGTGCCTTGGTAGCCATTTTGACAGGCAGAGTGAGCATGTTCAAGAACCTTGCTACACCGCTTACACATAACCTTTGGTGCACCATCTGTGATTTGGGCAACCTGATGGAAGTTATTCCAAATTGGGGCCTGGCGGGCTGCTTCCTAGTGGATCTTACTTTTCCTCCCATAGTCAGTTTGTAGCCACCAGTCAACCCACTCAGTATGCTCTACCATATTGTAGAGGAAATAGGATTTTCTTCGGTCGGGTCCAACGCGGATAAACGGTAGAGGAGGAGGAGGAGGTGTATCTGGCCGGAGGAATGTATGCCTATCAAAGCTTGGGAGTATGGTCTGGGTACTAGGTAGTTAAATAGTAAGAGAGTTAGGTGGGCTTGAGATAGTCTAAAAAAAAGGGAGAATAGTAGTCTCTAACTCTTCTTCATCATAACCTAATGATGATGATAGGTAGAGAGGTGATTGGAAACTGGAATTTTGGCTTTGGGACATGAGGTTAAATGAAAATCATGAAAGAATAATAAGTGTAAGGGTAGGGTGGGAAATGTAGAAGAAGAATAGTAAGTAAGTATCAAGGGTAGGTAAATCATAAAAGAATGATAAGTGTAAGGATGAGGGTATAAAGGAGAAGGTAGGAAATATAGAAGATTAAAGATTAGAAATAAATAAATACCTAATAACACATATCTTTAATTTTAAACCCATAAAAACCCACAAAAACCCAAGAAGAGCCCAAGAAGAGCCCAAGAAGAGCCCAAGAAGAGCCCAAGAAAACCCATAAAAAACCCATGAAAACCCATGAAAACCCATGAAAACCCATGAAAACCCACAAAAACCCACAAAAGACCCACAAAAACCCATGAAAACCCAAGAATTACCCATGAAAACCCAAGAAGTACCCAATCCCAACCCAAGTCTACTAAAAGTCTTCTAAAAAATTTTACCCAGGCTTCCAGCTGCTTCCTTAGAATCCCTACTTTACCCGTTTATTTTATGAATACTATCTTCTTCAATTTAGTAAATATTAAGTTAAAATACTATAGAACTAAAGATTCAATTTAATATTAAGAAATACTAAATTAGCTTAAAAATAAAAAGTAACACTTTTGTAGGGCATACATGTAAAAGATGCACTACCTCTGCAGCATGTAAATATATATTTCCTACAACATTTACTAAATATCAATTTCTACACCCTACATCCTCCATCCATATAATATAATATTTTATAATAATTTTTCCTTCTGAATGTTAATATTATTTTCAAATAAGAAATCTATTATTATTACTAGTAATCAACTTACTCTCTAACATCTATTTCTAAGATGTAATGCTGCTACATGTAAAGGTATAGTAGCTACATGCAAGGGTATAGACTCATAGAGACTCTAACATATAAACTAAAACGAATGCAAAACACATGTAAAAAACAGTATTTTAAATTGATGACTGAGCAGAGTTATACATGCCAAGACCTCTTTTTTATGCAAAATTGGGTTTTCCTGGGTACCCAATGGGTACCCAGCTTGGGTCTTGGGTTGGGTTGGGTTTTTAGGTGCTGGACCCAAGACCCAGGTGGGTTGGGTCTTGGGTCCAACCCTTGGACCCAAATTGGGTTTTGGAGAAGTCTAGGTGTGCCTATGGAACAGCTACAGGACAGAACACGTATGGGGGGAAGCGCACGGAGGGGAAGTCTGCCCCGACACGTCGAGAGCTATCTACCTAGCCACCTTGGTCTGAACTATACAGACCACGTGATCTAACACAGTGTGGTCTTGGTTAACCATGGTCTTCGCGGTTAGTGCCGCAGTCTACATATATATGAGGTGCCGAAATAGGGCGGTGTACCGAAACTTCACATAGATACTGTCGGATAGAGGCCTTACTGCCTGAGATTACGTAAACCTACACTGTATTTTTACCCCTTAGATTTAGCAGAATTGAACATACATACACACATCTGTACAATTGGACCCCATTGGGTGCCACATGCTGCTGAATAAGCCTTTATTCTGACATTTGAACTAGGTCACGTGGCTGGTAACTTCCGCGGCGACCTTGGTGTAATAATCAGTGTATCTTTGTTGGAGGCGGTCTATATTAAGAGGCAGAAATCACACCGCCTATATTGATGACTTGCTTACTCTTGTCCCTGGCCGACGAAGTAACTAACTTCTTGATCCCCTCATCCCCATACTAAACATCAGCATCGATTAGTTTCTGCCACTCTCATACTTCAAGATATGTGCACTAACATGATTTACCCTATCAAATACTGACTAAGAAATACCTTAAATACATTAGGCCATTGCTATCCCTGATTAAATGATGGCCGACGGCAGCTCTACAGATTACGAAGCTCTCTATCGAAGGGAGCAAGAAAGACGAAAGCACGCTGAACAGCAAACGAAAGAAGCTGAACAGCAAAGGAAAGAAGCTGAACAGCAAAGGAAAGAAGCTGAACAGCAAAGGAAAGAAGCTGAACAGCAAAGGAAAGAAGCTGAACAGCAAAGGAAAGAAGCCGAGGAACGAAGGCAGGAAGCTGAAGAACATACCCGACCGCTCACATTCTTGGAGTTAATGCGCCATGGTCACAACCTGCTCTCAAGACCGCTTAATGTCAGATCGCCGTCTCGATCAACAACAGGGAAAATACCCCCTCCAACCGGAAAGTACTGCCCGACGCGACTAGAACCATGGATAGAGTGCCCGAATGAGCAGCAGGAAATCTACAATGCTGTATGCAGATATCTCCAGCCAGCTATGGAAGCTCCAGCACAGTTGCCTACGTCCTTGGATTCCCTTGAAAAGGATGCTCGGCGATTTTGCCATGACCCAATGAACAGTGAGCGGAGTGTCGAGCTATATGAGCAAATTGCAGTGGAATGCTATGTTCGTGATATAGTTACGGAGCTATGCAAAATCGATGCCGCCCGAGACGAGTTCGGCCTTGGCGATGGAGTCCAGTTCGACAATCACACCAACTCTCTCAATCCCAATTCACACACAGAAGCGACTACACTTCAGCCGTCAAGTGTTCACCATCCAAAGCCCGATCACTTTTGTATTCATCGGGTTGATGGGAACACTACTGCTCTTCTCACTACAGTCGAATACAAACCACCTCACAAGCTTCCTACCGAAATACTCCACAAAGGGCTTCGACCAATGGACTTATGGAGACAAATGGTTAGATCAAACAAAATACCCCAGGAAGAGGCGAGGAAATTGAAGTACAATGCTGAAAAGCTTGTCTGCTCCGCTCTTGTCCAGGAGTACCATGTGATGATCCAGGAAGGACTTGAGTATTCCTGGTTAACAAACGGAATTTCCCGTGTCCTTCTTCGCGTCCCTTACGACAAGCCTGGTACATTGCAGTACTTTCTCTGTGACCCAAACAGAGAACTAAAGGGCGAAGTTCAACAGGATATTCAGGAGCCAAAGACCTCTATTGCGCGGGTCCTTTGTCTGTGCTTGATGGCATTCCGTTCCCCTCTGCGTAGCCAAGAATGGAGAAACAATGTATACTCAAACCCCTATCTGTGGAAAACCAGCTTCGACCATACTCGTTCTCAGATTGCAAAACCAGAATTGCAACAGCTCCAATTACATTCCGATAGTACCACCTACACCAGCCCAGAGTCAACTATGGATCCAAGTGCAGATTATCAAGCGTCTTCATCTCCATCGGAATCTCCAACACAAGGCCGCCGAGTTACAAGATCCCAGGCTAGCTGTGCACCCTCAACTCCACGTCATCGCTCGCAATCACCAGACTCCTCAGGCTCCGAGCCGAACCAAGCCTCACGGAAAAGGGGCTTCAGCCAAATTACATCTTCGCCATCTGTTCAACAACCCGCTCATGCGCCTAATACCAGAAGTGACCCGGGGAATCAATCCCGATACCGCAATTCACAATTCTGTACCCAACGATGTTTACTTGGGTTACATAGCGGCGGTGATTTAGATGAGTCTTGTCCAAACGTGACTCTTCATCGTCAAGACAAGGGCGACCGTACACATCCTATTACTTCAGAGGGATTGCTGCTTTCTTTGAAAGCACAACTAGATGAGAATATTGATCGCTGTATATCCCTTGGAAGCTGCGGGGCATGTGGTGCGCCATTTAAACTAACTTGCGCCACATACGGGTACACCGTCATTGGAAAGGGAACCACATCATACCTGTGGAAAGAAGTTTCACGCGAAGTACAGGTCTACCGAATCTTGCAGAAGGCTCAAGCATCTGCTGTACCTGTCTTCCTTGGTACAATCGACCTAGCGAAAATTTATTTCCTCCATGGGGCCGGAGATATTCGCCATATGCTGGTGATGGGCTGGGGAGGCGAGAGCATAGCGACTATGGAGCTGACGCCATGCCTTCGCAAAGAGATTCACAAATCGGATAAAGAAATCAAAGCTTTAGGAATCATCCATGATGACCTTCGGGGTGAGAATGTCCTCTGGAATGAAGAGCTTAGCCGGGCGCTGATCATTGACTTTCATCGCTGTACATTAAAACTTCGACCAACTCAACCGAGACCAGTGAAAAGACACCTTGGGATTTACTGTCAAGAGTCAAGCAATAAACGTTTGCGTGTTTCGTGAAAGTGGGTGGAAGCCAAGTATGTCTGCGCATAATTTCTTTTTTTGTGGAGGATCAAGTTAAATAGAGATGTCTTTAATTGAATACCTGCTTCCTTTTGATTAACTCTAATTAAGGGGCTCTGCGAGCATATTGGTACCTATTGGATGCATATACAATTGATCATCCTGTTTCATAATCGCATGATTATAGTGACCACATGGCATGGCCGCTGGTGATCACCGAACTAAAAGCGAGAAACCACCGACGGGGGTTTAGCCCGGATACATCTCCTTCATTACCTTCTCTCCCCCCTAAGTCCTCTTTCCTTCATGTCATTCCATTTATAGGTAAACATCGCATGAAGTCTGTCACTAGTTTGGTATTATGGTCTTCACTGGTCCTGGCCCTGCCTATCTATGAAAGTACCTTGATAAAGGGCATGGGGATGTCAGAGAGTCTGAGTCAATTGGAGAATGATATCACTGGAACAGGAACAGAGCATCTGATTCTGAGTGAGGGACATATATTTTGGCAAGACATAAAATCTCATCCGGCACCCAGATTCGAACATCCAAAACCAACCTTGAAGGAGGACGGCCAAGATCGACAAGAGCAGAAACCCCCCCTTCATTCGATCCAACAAGAAGGAGCTTTACCTACCAGTCAGAGCCTCAAAGTTACACTCCACTTCCATACATACCAAAACCTCCTCATACGGCGCCTTCCTGGGTAAATGGTTAACATACAAGAAATTCTACTTGGCAGACTACCATCACTATCCTTATGGTCCAAAGTCCAGGTCCAATTTAAGCTCCATACAACCGGACTCTCGAACTTTCGCATACAGTACTTGGTTTTTGAACAAAAGATTGATAGGTCTTATTCTTGAAAATTCTTTTCAGTTTGATCTTCATTTATTACTCACGCGCTTGGTCACGTAGGGTATTCTAGAATGAAGAGGGTAGAATTCCTTACAGATATTGAAAATATTCAGCCTAGGCTGCGCCAGCAGAACTTCAAATGCACGCATTCTAGATTTAGTGGCTACAGTACTTAAGAAGCTTCAAGTTCTGTATTCATTATCTCAACCGTTACTCACATGCTAGCTTATTTGTTTTCGTTCCCTAGCTGTCTTTCCTAGAATTCTCGTCGTGATACTCTCCCCGTGCACACCAGCACATGGCTTAATATAGGACAGGTTCTTGCAACCAAATAACTGGGGGGGCATTATTATCGCGTGTAGTATAAATTAAGTTAACTCCGAATTCCCGTCAAACGTACTGGCCAATTATAACAGACCAGACACCTCAAGCCATCAGTTTTATGTTAAAGAGTTGAGGTTGGATGCTTCTGAGATCACAATAGACGTACAGTGCTTCCGGAAACTGGTGTCACCACTTATACTCTGACTCTTTCTCGAACCCTAACGCCAAGGACCGCTAATCCATATTAAGCGTAACACATAATATTTAAATTACTTCAATATGTATGAATAACGTGATTCCCAAGCGAGTGGGCCACCCAACCAAAAAATCGCGTCGCGACCGCGTTCTTTTATCTTCAACCACCCATCATGCCACCAAAACGTACTGTTTCGGCCGAAAAAAATGGTAATCAAGAGGGTCGAATCCTATTTGCTATACAGGCTATTAAAGCTGAACAAATAAGCTCTATACGTGAAGCTGCACGCTGTTTTGATATACCTCGTACTACACTACAGCGTCGGCTCACTGGCTATACCAATCGCTCTGAGACTCGTGCCAACAGCCATAAATTAACTGAGAATGAAGAGAAATCACTTCTTCAGTGGGTGATCTCTATGGATATACGTGGAGCTGCCCCCCGGCCTGCTACTGTTTAAGAAATGGCCAATATTCTCCTCTTAGCATGTGGCCAGACCCCTTCTCAAACTGTTGGCAAAAATTGGGTCACAAACTTTGTTAAACGACATTCAGAGCTTACTACACGTTTCTCTTGACGATATAATTATGAACGTGCGAAGATGGAGGATCCAAAAGTTGTTCAAGAATGGTTTAATCTTGTTTTTCAAACAATTCAAGAGAATGGTATTCTATCAGAGGATATCTATAACTTTGATGAGACTGGATTTGCAATGGGACTTACAGCAACTGCTAAGGTTGTTACTCATTCTCGATATTATGGTCGACGATTACTTTTACAGCCTGGAAATCGTGAATGAGTAACTGCTATTGAAACAATTAATGTATCTAGATGAGCCCTTCCACCAGTAATTATTTTTAAAGGCAAAGTTTTAATTAAAGGATGGTTTACAAACCTTCCACTTGACTAGCGATTTGAAACTAGTCCAAATGGATGGATAACTGATAAAATTGGACTTCGATGGCTTCAAAAACACTTTATTCCAGCAACAACTGAACATACGCTTGGAAAATATCGACTTTTGATTCTTGATGGTCATGGGAGTCATTTAACTCCCCAATTTAATCAGATTTGCAAAGAGAATAATATTATTCCAATTTGCATACCAGCTCATTCTTCACATCTTTATCAGCCACTTGATGTTGGATGTTTTGGGCCTTTAAAACGGGCCTATGGTCGGCTTGTTGAGAATCAAATGCGGCTTGGTTTTAACCATGTTGATAAATTTGATTTTCTTGAAGCCTACCCAATCGCTCGTAAAGAGGCTTTTCAAACCCAAACTATTCAAAACAGCTTTACGGCAGCTGGTTTAGTACCATTTGACCCAGATCGAGTACTTTCTAAGTTAAATATTCTTCTTCGAACACCTACACCCCCAGCTAGCCGCCCTACTAGTCGATCAAGCCAATTTTCACCTAAAACACCTCAGAATCTTATTCAGCTTCAACGGCAAGCTAGTTCAATCAAAGCTCTTCTAAAACAACGTTCAAAGAGCCCTCCAAGTCCACTCAAACAGCAAATCGATCAAGTTCTCAAGGCCTGCGAAATTCAGATGCATTCAACAGCTTTATTAGAGGTTGAAACACGCAAATTACGCGCTGCACATGAAAAGCAAAAGCAAAAGCGCAAGCGGTCTACTAGGCAGATACCTAACGAGGGTGGTATGACTGTTCAGGAGGGCCAGGAGGCTATACAGCGTGCTATACAGGTGGTTGAGGCGCCAGTGATCCCTCCCGTACCACGGCCTAGGGCGCCTTATTTACCCCCTCAGCCAGCTAGGAGAAAGCTACCGACATGTAAGAAGTGTGGAGAAGAAGGCCATCGATCAGATCACTGTGATATTTAGTTAATTATTTTAATAAATTGGCGTTCTGGTGGTAATATTTATGATTAAAACTGTAGGGTAGGCGGTGGGTGGCCCACTCGCTTGGGAATCACGTTAGTCCAGTCAGCTGAGATACACCTGGGACAGACCGTTTTCCAAATGCTTGAGGGGAAGGCCTGTGCAGCCCCATACTATCTTGACCTACCAATTGTGACCCCTGCTGGTAATACCCCCCTCATCTTCACTTGTAGGCCACGTCAGAGTGTGATATGACGGCGCGAGGTTTACCCCTGCAAAAATATATATTCAAATGTTTTGCCGACATCCATGTTATTGGCGTCAGGTGGCCGGGGTACTAGTAAATTCCACCTAGGCAGCTTTTTAGCCTGGCCTAGGTAGGTACTTGAATATAAATGACAGGTATTGACACTTCTGATCCCTAGTCCCTACGCAAACGTCAACTTGAATTTCCCACTTCAAGTTTATCACCCTTATACCTTTTAACTAGTGGCGAAACAATTCAAACAAGTCTGTGTCCTATTGAAAACAAGTAAAGGATAATAGTTTAACAACGCCTAGGATGTGTGAATATCTTGTCTCCGAGAAGCATTATCGTGGCTGTCCAACATCATGCAACACGACAACCAAAACTTTCAACCGGTGTCTCAAAGCAAGGCAAAGTGGCATCGATTGTCCTGATCCTAAGGAGACCCCACTTGGTCAATCTACATATCCCGATCAATGTCCAACCCATCGGGATGAGGGATACAGTCGACGTTGAGTTTGTTACAAATCATGTTTTGGATAAAATCCTGCACACATTGGGCTGAATCGACCTGGGATAACCAGCACTGCTTGATGATTTGTCCACATGGAATATCAGAAACACTAGGAAACTCATTTCCCTTGAAAAGCACTTCCACATGATCACTAGGCACATCTTCGTAGGGACTGGTTTCTTGAAAAACCTCGTAAAGAGTCGATCCAAGCGCAAACAGATCCGTGGCCACGGTAGGTGGGTCTCTCCAATCACGTGGGAGATAGAACCGAGTTCCCTCGCCAGAGGCTGGTTTAGATCCATCTAGCGAAGAGCCGGAAAAGTCGATGATTTTGATATCGAGACTTGCGTCCAAGAGGAAATTCCGGGGTTTGAGATCGCAGTGGATTATGTTGTGTGTATGCAGAAGAGAGACAGCTTGCGCAATTTGAAATGCCCACTTTAACTTCAGGCTTATTGGAATCGAGTTTTGAGCTTGGAGATACGTCTTGAGATCACCGGTTTTCATATATTCAAGAACCAGGCCATCTCTGGAGTGACCTAACTTCCGTACCATCCTTTCATGTGAACCAATACGATCGTAGATGCTGGCTTCTTTGGCAATGTCCAGGATATGGTTTTCCATTTCAGCGTCGGGAAACGGCGACTTGATGATTGTACCATCGCCAAGGAGTTCAACAATGCCAGTTAGCCCCCCAGATATAAATTGTCCTTGAGCATCTCGGCTAATTGTCTCAACTTTCCCATCCCCGGTTCTTCTGGCCTCAGAATCGGACTGAGGGGGCTGTTGTGGATCGGTCAGGAAGCTCTTGCCGTGGAAAGGGAGGCTCGACTTTACAGTTTCAATATCGTGACGAGTGGGTCTGTGGATTAAGCGTGTGAAAGGAGGAATCAATGAATTCTCTATCCAGCATTTGAGACTATGAAAAAATGATAGGATTGGTCGCAATATCTGCGACCAGACTGTAAAAGCCATTTGACGCGCGGTGATTGTCGGGGTGCTGTATTGGCTAAAAGCGCTGTCGCAAGAGGATTGGACACCCTAGCTATAGACCGCCTGCCTCTTTAGGAAGACTAGACTTGTATGACTTGTATCTCAACCTTGGATGGATTCATATTCACCCGCTTATTCAGCACTTTTTCAAGGTAACTAACTAACTAACCAGTTAACTATAGTAGGAACCTTCAAAAATGTTGCACATGGATGTTTATTTCCAAGGTTATACAGTATATGTGCATATATACTTAAGAGGTGAACTCTCTAGGCAACGCACTCAAAGATAAACGGGTCGGTTCCAAGGTTCAGCTCGAATGAACCAAAACACACCAAATGATATCTAACTGAGACACCAAGGGCTGAGCCCCAAAAGTCCTATCAAAAGAAGGGGAGAAAAGAGTCCATCGTATCGTTAACACTCCATTGGAATGTAAACCGATAAGGTCCTCGGATCGAGCTCGGGTCTGATCGCTTTCTTTTTCAATTTTTTTTATGTGTTCTACATGTTTCTATTTCTATTTTACTCTATTCGCGACATGTCAGCCTTTGATATAGTTGATTTCTTGCATATTATAAAAATCGCTTATGGAGTTCGTTATTCCATGGAATATCGGACGGGTACGGTGGGGCTTATTCAGGTTTAGTGTATCACACTTCCGGTTTAGAGTACTCGGTCGCTTTGCGCTCCTGTGCGTGGTAGTATATACGTCTCGACCTCCCCCTTCCCAACCAACACTTCCACAAATTCGTTTTTCGCCTCTCCGCTGCAGCTGAAGTATTTTTGATATTGATCCGGATCGCAGCGCTCCGGGGCTTCGCCACTCCCTTTTCTCTAGCCTTCGTCGTTAGCTTCTCGGTGCTTCTCGTGACATCAATTCACTACGCTCTCGGATGGACTTCCTTTGTTGGCTTCGACAACGGCCCGCAAGATGAGCTGGGCATTTGTGACATTGGATTTCGGACTTACCGCCAGGGATCTGGCCCGGTCGGCCGGGAGTTGACCATTGCAGATTCCGATGCCTTTGATGTGCGGCCTTTGAAGACTACAGCTTGCTACTAATCCGTAAACTACTGGAACTGATCAGGATATATCGCTCATGGATTGCGTTAAGCATGTTTGCTCACTTCCTATACCCGGAGACCGATTCAGTCTCGATTATTTCGTTGGCAGCGACTGCGACCGTCTTTGACGGCCGTTTCAATTCGTCCAAATTAAAGGCTAAGCGATGGAATCGAATATTGACCAAGCATCCATACCAGCCTTTTTTCGCAACTCGATTCTCAGATAACTCTATCTCAAGGCCACTCGATTCCAGAGCCACTCACCTCCAAGGCATCTCCTGTCCCAGTCCTCGTCATCACACATACCCTGGGCCAGAACCTGTGGTAATTGCACGATTGATTGGCAAAGAGGATAATACGGGCTTGTGTCTGTCCCTCAGACCCAATTATGTCTGTGTATGGGTCGCATTCTTGGGATTGATTGGAAGATACCGGACGATGGAGCTGTGTCACAGCAATTAATGTCTAATTTAGGGAGCTATGGCTCTGCATCGCTTTTCTGGGCGGCTGAATGATTGGAAGCCAGCATTGCTTGAGCTTCTCGGCTGGATGTCGAGGCTCACTGCTATGCACTCAGCTATCTAAATTTGGAGAAAGCGGGCGCGGACATGCATAGAATGGCGATATGAGTGGCTCTAGTCATACTGCCTCTGAGTGAACGATCGAATCATTGGTAGAGATTTTTTGTTCTGCGTCGAAAGCGTGTTACATCTAAAATTAGGACCTGAGCTCTGTCTGCCTTGCGAGAGAGCTAGGCATGCTTTCGCCGTGACATCGAATCTATAAATTCAGGTGGACAGTCCACAGGTTGGCATCTAGATATAGAACCTAGTATTCCGGCTCTGTAGAGCATTCTTCCAAGTTCCTGCTCAATATCGAAATCCCGTATCTCACTCCCTTCGTTTCCCTCCCGAGTCAATTTCAGGCCGTCTAAAGCATATTTCCTACTTCTCAAAATCACATACATGAATCATAGGTCCCAACATCATCCTATATGTTGATTCCACCTAAGCCAATAGTGTCGATGCTTCAAATTCTGGAGAAGAAGCGGATGGTTTTGGTGGAGTAAAGACTGATAGTTCTGGTTCGCTAGCAGGAGCATCAAAGGCTGCCTTGGGCGGTCGAGTAAAGTCTGGTGGCTTTGCCTTGCTAGCAGGCGCACCAAAGAAGGACCTAGCGGATAGAGCTGGCGCACCAAAGACTGGAGCAAAAGGTGATGGGTTTGGTGTTCCAATTGGCGTCCCCAATGGCGTGTCAGAAGGTCTACCGAAAGCCGCTACTCTCTGGTGAGTATCGTCAAGAGACGTCGCAGGTAGTAGAGTACTACCAAGAGAAACCGGGGTCCTATAATCCCAGACACCTGGTAGAAAGCATAACTTCAAGCAGTGAGGACAGGTGAAGCGCTGCACTTGTAGGTCGGTAGGCGTAGACCCATTCATTTTTTCGAGTCTTTTGTGTATTTCTATTCCAGAGTTATCAGTACATCCCCTTATAAATATTGCTCATCCTGGGGACTGAGGATTGAATTATTTTGCCCTCCCTTAAGCCACGGTTGTCCCTGCCACGGTTTTTCCTTCGGCACAAGCGCACACACAGGTTCCAAGGTTAGCCCTGATAAGCACATGCCCTCTTTTATAATAGGTAGCGCATAATAATTGGTTGATAATGCTTGTTGGTAATAAGGGCAAACGCCTAAGTTGGCTCCATAGTTGAAGCATGTTCTGAGAATATCTAGAATTAGTAGAAAATTGTGGGTAGATGGGCCTTACGGTTGATAGCCTAGGCCCTAGGGTTATGAACTTGTGAGAGGCATTAATGTTACATGTCTATTTTAGGCTATATGACCACAGGGCATATGTGTTAAGATTGAGTAAAAGTACTAGCAGCGAGAATAACTTTTACGACGTAACCCCAAAAGTATTAGGACTAGCCCTGAGTCTCCGGCGGTCGGTATTAGCATATCATCTTTCATTCGAGGTTTCAGCTGTTTCAAGTCCCTTCTCCGCTAATTAACGCTGAATCCAGGGTGGGTTCGTGCATTGCAAAATTATACTTTTTGCGTCGGAATTTCCGGCCTGGCAGAACAAACAGAGACAACAACCTTGCTCCTTTATGTGGAATGTGGATGGGAGTGGTGCTAAACTTGGAACTGGCAAAATGTGAAAGAAAAATAAAGGTAAAAAGTAATGTGACCAGACCCGGGCTTGGACCCGAGGACCTTGGGACTTATAATCATGTGACTTGCGAATGGCACGTGAGATTCGACTACTGTCAGAATAAAGGCTTATTCAGCAGCATGTGGCACCCAATGGGGTCCAATTGTACAGATGTGTGTATGTGTGTTCAATTCTGCTAAATCTAAGGGGTAAAAATACAGTGTAGGTTTACGTAATCTCAGGCAGTAACGTAACGTATTTCCCGGGCGAGTCGGCCACCCGGTCGGCCCGGCCACCCCAACCAAAACGCGTCAATTAATTTAACCTTTCTTCTTCAACCAACCACCATGCCACCAATACGCTCTTAAAATCGTCAAAAATCGACGGAGCAAGAGGGTCGTATCTTACTTGCTATACAAGCTATTAAAAAGCAAGAAAAATTGTCGGTTCGCAAGGCAGCGCTTATATATAATGTTCTACGTTCAACGCTCCAAGATCGGCTTCATGGAGTAGAAAACCGCGTCGATACACATGTTAAATCGTTCAAATTGACCGAAATCGAGGAGAATTCGCTTAAGGATTGGATAATCTCTATAGATATACGTGGAGCGGCTCCTCGACCTAAGCATGTGTATGAAATGGCCAATCTTTTACTCACAACGCGTGGAACGACCCCGATTCAGACTATTGGGAAAAATTGGGTCATAAGTTACGTTAAACGGCACCCAGAACTTGATATAAAACACTTAAGACGCTATGATTATAAGCGTGCTAAGTGTAAGGATCCAAAGATCATTAGAGAATGGTTTGACTTAGTCCAAAAGACGATTTGTGAGAACGGGGTCCTTAACGATGATATATACAACTTTGATGAGACGGGCTTCGCGATGGGATTAACCGCAACCGCGAAGGTTATAACGAGAGCGGATTGTTACAGTCGGTGTTATCTACTTTTATAACCTGGAAATCGTGAGTGGGTAAATTCAATCGAGTCTATAGGTGTGTCTGGATTTAGCCTTCCTCTAATAGTGATCTTTAAAGGAAAAGTCTTTATCGAGGGTTAGTCTGAGGCGCTTCCGGATAATTAGCAATTCGAAGTCAGTTCAAACAGATGGAACTCTGATGAAATTAGACTTCGCTAGCTTCAAAAAGTCTTTCTTCCTTCAACTTCCTTACGGACAAAGGGAAAATATCAACTCTTAGTTCTTAATGGTCATAGGAGTCATTTAACTCCAAAATTCGATAAAATTTGCCATCAAAATAATATTATTCCAATTTGTATACCACCACACTCTTCATATCTTTTGCAACCTCTTGATATTGGTTGTTTTACGGTATTAAAATGTGTATATAGGAGAAAGGTTAAAGATCTTATGCGGGATAGAGTAAACCATATCGACAAACTCAACTTTCTCAATATCTTTCCAAGCGCTCGTATCAAAGCCTTTAAGTCAGAAACTATTAAGAATAGCTTCTTAGCGACGGGCTTAGTCCCATACAATCCAAATCGTGTGATTTCAAAGCTTAATTTCCAACTTCATACACCTACACCACCTCCTTCAAGAGGTAGCCAAAGTAGCGCGTAGGAGCCAAAGACGCCATCAAATGATAAGCAGCTCCAGAAGCAAGCTACTTCGGTTAAAAAGCTCTTAAAACAACGCTCTAAGAGCCCACCAAGTCTCGTGAATTCTGGTATAGATCAGATATTAAAAGGGTTCCAAATAGTGCTACAAAAGAACGCTTTTCTTACGCAAGAAAACAAGCTTCTACGCGCTAGAAACGAGAAAATCAAGCAAAGAAGAGGAAGATCTAAGCGGCAGATAGCTCATCCAGAGGGTGTTTCTGTGGCAGAGCTCAAAGAATTGGCCAAAAAACCGCAAATTCAATCTCAAGATGGTGAGCCAACCGGTCAAAATCAAGCACAAGAACCACGTTCTCGGGCTCCACCAAAGTGTTCAGAATGTGGAATTCATGGGCATAAGAGAACGCATTGCCCAAATTTGGTTAAATAGCTTATATATTAAATATCACGTTGTTTTGGTTGAATTATACTAGTTTGAATTGACGCGTTTTGGTTGGGGTGGCCGGGCCGACCGGGTGGCCGACTCGCCCGGGAAATACGTTACTTGTCAGGTTGATCCTGTAATCACAGGAGCACCTTAGGCAACGAACTGCGGGGTATCCAGTACTTAATCGGACCCCAGTGAGCCGGGGTTCCAAATTCTTCAAGTATTAGTTCTTATTGTATTGGAAAGTACTAAATACTACCTGACTTATCACCGATATCTTCCTGATTCACCTAACCACCAGGTGCCACCCTAATCTGGCACTTTCTCTCACAAAAGACCACAGAGATATTAGAAATGTCAGAGAGAAGTGGTAATAAATCAATAATAAAGCAAGGACTAGTAGATAATAATAAGGAAATAACCCTAGCCAGGAGCCAGTCTCTAGCCAATCAGGTTATAGAAGAATATATAAGTATAATAGGATTACAAATAACAGAAGAGTAATTAATATAAAACCTTACTTTTTAACATCTATTTCTAAGATAGATATTTAAAATTCCCTATAGCTACATGTAAAGATATAAAGATTCTAATAGACAAACCAAAACAAATGCAAAACACATGTAAAAAACAGTATTTTAAATTGATGACTGAGTAGAGTTATGTACGCCAAGACCTCTTTTTTATGCAAAATTGGGGTTTTCTGGGTACCCATTGGGTACCCCCAGCTTGGGTCTTGGGTTGGGTTGGGTTTTGGAGAAGTCTTGCCGCAGGCTATAGATCATGCAACGGGTGTAACCCGTTACAAAAATATATATGTATATGTATTTTTTCATTTGCAAACACAGAGAGTGCCGATTATAGTCTCGGTTGCTGCTTCTGCGAAACCATAATATCAATAGCAGAGACCATCCCTTTCACCTCAGCTGAAGAGCGAGGTATGTTGTGAATAGCACTATGATGGTAGGTATTTCGCAGTCTTGAATGACAGAAGGATTCCACAAGCCTCGCTGACTCTTTGAACACTGGCGGGTCATTCTTGCTCCAGCAATGAAGCGTGGGGATTGATAAACGTGCTTTGTAAACATCCGGACGCAGTATACAGGGAACTTCAAGAATGCTTCGATCAAAAAAATCAGAGCGTGGTCGGCCATGAACAGGCTTCATGATGTCAAAGGACCGAGCTGTTAAGCTCATGGAGGATCGAATAGGCTCCGGAAGCTGAGATATCTGAGCATCTTCGCCAGATCGAATACGCTTTTGATCGTCCAAAGATAATGACTCAAGCACAACCTTGGTGTATGTCGGGTCCGCAGAAAGGGGTGGTATGGAAGAACAGAAAACGGCAAATTGAACTGGAAGCGGCTTTCCGGGAAACAGGTGAACTTTTTCAAGTAAATAGGCTGCTAACAGCGCAGCCCCAGTGCTGAACCCAAGAGCTCCGTCAAATGGACCATGGCTTGCGACCGTATCGTCGATCAATTGGTGCGCAGATTTCATCTCGGTGGTGTTGAAATCAAGACTATAACAAAGATAGGGACCTGGGAACGCTGCCGCAATACCTGTAAAACTCATTAACACACTTGCCGACTGGCAAACGCCCGGTTTACTCAACTCACTTGGATCCGGTGGTGCTTCATATTGGCCTGCGACAAAATGAAACTCCCAGCTTGGGTCGCAGTATTTCTTAATTTTGGCCAACTGCTGCTTCATGATCTGTGGGCTTGTCCCAAAGCCATGACAGCACAGGAATTTCATCTCGACGGCGATATGGATTGACTCAAATGGAAAAGGTGTATTTTCAGGAAGAAATATATAGGTCGGAGCTCATGTGGTGACTTTGGAGAGATAATAAGAGAAAAGGACTCGGAACCTGAAATAATCAATATTTTGTGGGTATCCCGTAAACTTGACAATTTTTTGAGCGAGAAAGATAGAAGTCGGTGAACGGTGAGAGCACTTGAGAGGTGAAGTGATCTATCACAGGTGTTTATGCACATGTGGAGTCCACGGTATTCCGAGGGTTCCAGGTGCCGTAATATCAGTTAAACTGGAAAAGAGATAAAAAAAGGCGAACCAACCAGTTATGTATTCGAGATAATCTTCTACGCCACAAGGAGCTGAGCTAGTATCTGTTCTAATTATCTTTGCATGATGGAAAATGATTACATATCGTTAATTCGTGGATTATCGTCAGCACTTGAGTGTGAACGGCATTTTCATGCAATGGAGTGGAGCCAGGGGAAACTTATAAGGCAAAACAAGACGAGCGTCGGATTTGCCCGGGCTCGTGGGCGCTGATCGTATGCACATCTGACAGTGACACATTTATAACATCCTGTGAGAACTTGAAAAGGTCAGTTCCAAGGTTATTATTGACTATAATTCTAGATGTCAATGAATTGTGGTTTCTTACAGGAAATGAATCTTCTTACCACGATTGATAGTGGGATTGGATATTACTAGTAATACCAGCAACGCCACCTGGGCAAGCGGTGATGTTCCCCCCCACTTTAGATCAGCAGAGAAGAAGTTCAATTTTATTAGTGGGCAATATTCAATGTTTGAACATTAGAAGTCGTACGAACTTGAATTTATCAAATTATCATGATGTTCGTTACTAGAATTATGTACCCATCACGCCGAGAGCAGGGCTAAAAATGTGCAAATATTTGAAGCTCGAAATAGATTCATTCGACGCGAGAGTAGCGTCGAAATGACACCCAATCGCTTGTTTTTTCCAAGGTTCAAGTTAATATGAGAAATTGATGCCCAGGTGTAAGCTCGGAACCACTGCCAAGTAGGTTCAGATTTTATTAGGATGCTCGATATTCAAACCTTCAAATGTTGGAAAGGTTCCAAGATTTAACCTTGGAAATTTTAAGACCTTATATATGATCCAGTACCTAGGTACTTGAGGATGATAGAGATTCCCGGAACAATACTTCAGGTTTACCTGTACGTGCAAGAACTGCAGCCTCGATCCATTATCACTCAAAGCGAGCGACCGCCGACGCACAATGATCCAGAACCTCGATAAAACCATTGGGGATCCCTTTTGCATGACGAGCAACCCGCATCAAAGCCTGCACAACTGCTGCTCCCTGCTCCAAATCCTCGAGGAGGAATTCGATGGGTATCCCGGTGCTCATCTTGCCAGACTCTACTACGATGCCTTTCAGATTTGCAGCTCGTATGAGGATGAAGCGCGGGCGGGTATATTTCAAGTTGCGGAAAGAGCGTATCAGGCCAGAGTTATTTGTGAAGGTAAGGATAGCCCGGAGACACAGGGAGTGAAGTCTCTTGCATCGGAGCCAACAGATCCTGCTGGCTTCGGAATGAGTTAAGATACCTAGGTAAGCGGAAAGTATCAAAGGAATCAATACCAAAGGGTCCGGATATGATACAGTTTGATAAGTGGCTGTTCAGGCAGAAGGAATGATGAACCTATTCAAATGTTCTTTTATTTGGCTTTAAAAGAGGCTTTTATATTTGAAAGACCAAGCGGAATGATGGATCATGCACATGTAGTCTTCAAGGCAGATCACAGGAGTCACAATCTACTATTTATACATTTAAGTTCAAGTCAACCGGTTCAATTAGTGTCTGATTTCATTCACAAAGGGCTCTAGAGCTTCAAAGGCTCAGGCTGCTTTCAATGGCGACGTTCATCCGCTCTTCGGCATTCGTAGCTTGGCCAGAAATTTATCTCCTCTCTCAGAGGCCTTTTGCAGGAGTGGGCGATGGTTTTCATTTTCAATTTCGAGTTCGGGATACTTCGCAAAGAAGAGTCGGGTAATTTCTGGATGAGACATCTTCGCGTTCTGAGACAGTGGCGTTTGACCATCTTGATCTTTCGCATCGACTTGTGCGCCCTTCTCAAGTAGCAACTCGACATTCCTCTCTTGCCCCTGCTCAACAGCGACATGCAACGTTGTGCAAAGGTTGTTATCCCTTGCTTCCAAATCAGCGCCCTTCTCAATAAACAGCCTCGCCATCTCCTCTTGTCCCCATCGAGCGGCCAAATGCAGAGGTGTCAAAAGATCTTTATCTCTCGCCTGAAGCTCTGCCCCTTTATCAACTAGAAACGTCGCGATTCTCCGGTGTCCATTTATAGCAGCACGATGCAATGGTGTCCGTAGAACCTCGTCTTCCGCCTCAAAAAGAGCACTTTTATCAAGCAGCAAGCTAACAATTGTCTCATTCCACAATCAGTTGCACATCGTAGGGGCGTGCGAAGATATGTGTCCTTCGCCTCCAGATCAGCTCCTCTCTCAAGCAGCACCTTGATAATAGTCGCATTCTTTTTGATCACAGCACGATGCAGAGGTGTTTGAAGAAGCTCGTCTCTTGCATCGAAATCGGCACCTCTCTCAAGTAACCTTGTCCTCAAGTCCGTTTGCGATGGCATAAAATAGGGGCGACCAAGGGCGTTTTCCACCTGGTTTGGAACTTGAATTTCTCTCAAGTGTATATAGATGTAGCAGCTCAATCACCCTTTCATGGTCATTTGTAGTAGCTGATAGAACACACAGCTGAAAGCCCTTCTCATCAACAGTGACACCCCGGCTAATCATTTGCTCGATGATTGCCTCGTACCCATTTTCAGCGGCCCACAATAACAGCATCTGGCTGAACTTTCCATCATTCTTGATTGTAGCGCCTTTCTCTAGCAGGATTTTGACAGTACCATGATTTTGACTTGCTGTCACCCATGATAAGGGTGTTTGGCCGTCATGATCATCTCCATCGATTAAAGCCCCTCTCTGAAGAAGCATCTGAACACAACGCTTATGTCCGTGCTGAGCTGCCAGGAAAAGCGCCGTTCGACCTGAAGTATCCTTTCTGTCTGTTTTGATATCACTTCTTGTTAACAGAAGCCATAGAAGCTCTTCGTTTCCATCTTGTGCGGCCCGTTGCAGTGCTGCGGGATTTTCGAAATCCATCAACCTCGATAACTCCCCGTGAGAGTAGATATGCTCCTGGTGTATTTCACTCCACCCTTCTCGTGAATTCTCTCTTTTCCTTGCCTTCCGACTGACTGGCATGCATATTCTTCTTACTGGGTATTGAGATGGTCGAAAGCGCTTAAGATCAATTTGCTCGATAGTTGTGGTTCCAACGCGCACAAACAATTCCATTTTCAAGGGAAGATCTCTCACATAAATAACGTTCAAGTCCTCCTTGTTATTTTGGTATTTGCATTGAAGAATGGCAAGTCCTAGTCCTTGGCGACCTATGCCCAGGAGCCGAAGCTCTCAATAAATACCCCTGCTGCTCAAAACAGGCGGATTTTGAATTGACACTAAAGAGTCAGATCAAGATATGCTATTAGAACTGGCAAAAGCAGCTGGTAAGGTAGCTAATAATCCAGCCCGGTGGTCGTGGTGTCTCCAGGCGAAAATAGTATGATCATCCGAGATACGCAAAATCTCTTCCTGGAGTCTGATAAAGGAGGTCTCTCGTTCACCATATATGAATGGCTTATTGACGCCAAACAAACCTATGAGACTATAGGCCTGATCCTCAACTCTCAAAGTTGCTCTCTTTGTAGCCCAAGACATCTTTTGAGCAACACTGAAATCATCAAGATCTTCCCGTCCAGAGAGAACACCTATAGGTATCTGCGTACAGTCAGATACTGCTTGTTGAAGCTCTGGGTCCTTCTTACTCCCCGATCTCTGTCCATGTCTCATTGAGAAATACGAGGTTCGCGGACGCAATAAGTTCTTGAAGAGTCCACCCTCTGGTAAACCATCTGCTGTCCTTGAACTGATATTTAGACGATACATCCACAAGAAAGATATAGCATATCTCAGCTTCCTCATACCATCGGTACATCGAGTTGATTGCTTCGGAGAGCTCCGCGCTGCTTGTCTTATCCATACAGCATGTGTCTATCCAGACATAATCGAACCCAATGGCCAGAGCGAGAGAACAGGATTTCTTTATCTTTTCAAATCCTGTCTTTTTGATTCGACCTGCATTCATATTCTGCAGTGAAATCTCATCTTGACCCCAGGTGTGCGACAGGATAGCATAAGGTGGGGTATTTTAATCAGTGAATCCTTCAATCTTGAAGTTGCCAGAATCATACTGTGTTGTATTGATCAACCGCATAACTTGAGCTACCTAGCGAGTCTGATGCTCAGTCAGCACATGAGTAACAACTGAGGTATAATATTCGCGGTTTTGACTTGGAGTTATGACTGATCCCATTGCCAGGGATAAGAGCTTTTATTCCCAGGTTCATGTTTTCTTTTATGAGTCATGCTGGGTAGAACTTCAAAGTTGAATGCACGTCCTGTTTAGCGTGCTTATTACCACTTGACCGATTTCCATCTAGTTGTAACTTGTAAGCCATTCCAGGATTGGATTACATATCAACTTCTCTGTTGGCATCGTCAAGATTTAACTTGAAAAATCATTTCTTAATTCAAATCTCTACAAGGTATTTCAAATGTTAAATCCAAATTTTCAAATACACACTAGATTTGACAAAGACTTGCAGGCCTTTTGGGTCCATCAAGGGTCAAATATCACGGAATAATAAAATAGAAAAAAGCCAACTGGGAAGAAAAGAAAGAAGTAGCCACTCGGGTTTGTTGCAAATGGAGATAGATTTAAGACAGCGCTGAAGCTTTAAGTAAAATCCATCATTCAAGTCGGATCTAGCAAGCGTACTTGAGTTTAACCACGAAGGCCGCACAGGTGAGTAATCAACTGAATACATGAAGGAATTTATGGCTCGAATTACACAAGACCAAGGTGATGGTGCCTTGAATCTATCCATCTTCCCTTTCAACATTTGAGGTTCACTCAAGCCATCCCATCAACACACTTGCTAACCCAGCCAGAACAAACGCAAGAGGCCGGGCTTTGAGCACATTGATACCGTGGAGCTTATTGAGAACAATTCCATCACCGATCCCCATCCCTGCCCATAGAAGCAGTATTACCCCTTGGGCTTTTGGCTGACCGGAATACCATGCGATGATGTTGGCTCCGGCTAATAGATATTCACGCACGGCGACATACCCACAGAGGGCATCGTAGGTCTTTCGGTCGTCTTTATTTGTTGGAGGCTTGATGCAAAAGATACGCGGCACAATTGTCCCATTAAGGAAAAATATGTTGGTGCCAACTGTGATTGCGGTGAGCGAGAGGAGGCCGGCGGTGTTGCGAATTATGTTGGAGTCAGAAGAGAGTAATCCAATGGCCATCGGAACTTCAGGATGTCCTCGGTCCAAGCTGTTGTGATAACTAGAAGGTTTCTTTTTTTGGTTCTCCGAATTCGAGGTTGTTAGATAATGGGTGAATTTCACTGGGGAGGAAGGTACCGAGGATCGATACGATGAGCTTTCTTGCGGGAGTCGCGCTCTTCAGGACCTTTTAATCGCGGATGCGTACTGGGAATCAAACAGACCTTGGGAATAAAGCTGATGGTGGGTTCTCACCTGGGCACCTCCTGAATTTATGCAGGAGAGAAGCCATAGAAAGGCCAAGCCAAAGGGATCAGCGCTATGCCCAGTACGGCCTCAAAGTTCAGTGAACTCATTCTCGCAATACTTTCAGACAGTCCGTACAAAGCTGATGATTTTTTCACCCAAGGGATGAAAGACAAAGAAAAGCATGGAGTAAGGTCTGTGATTACCTGCATGAATCCGAGTCTCGGGCACCAAGCATATAATATTTCACCGGATAGGGAGCGGACTTCGGTGGCCGGTGGCCGGTGCCCAGTTGTCATCCAAACACTCTTGGAACTTGGGACTGATGTACCGTTGAAATTTCGAATGGACTCCTGTGAGAAGCATGCCTTGCATTCAACGTTCCTGATACGCATTCAAAAATTCGAATAGTAGTGTTGTGGATCATTTCATCTTCACACAGTGCCACTGTGCTCGTCTCCGAGGTCAGGAGTCTGCAAACTATGCCAATATTTTTAGTATTTCATGCCAGCTAACTCAACTCCTAGTAACTGTGACGTTGCGACCGCTGTAGAAATAACTTGAAAGACCTCACACCTTGGAAATTGACTAGATGCAAAGTGGACATTCCAAAATTGAATCTCGGTCTACTAGTATAATACAGGAACCATAGAAGGCTTCAATGTACATCGGTAAATACAGAATAACCACTCTCTCTCTCTCTCTCTCTCTCTCTCTCTCTCTCTCTCTCTCTCTCTCTCTCTGTGCATCCCTCAGTTAACGTAGAATCAATCCCGCGAACACTAATTGAATTTTCAATAGGATTATTGGTAAGGATTGTTCATGAATTCAACAATGGCAGCTCCGGTGGAATTCATATCAACCACATGGCCTCCCGTTGTATGACCAACCCATCGGGTATACACCGGAGCGCTGGAGGAAGGATGCGACACGTTCATTCCTCATTGTAAAAGCAAACTTGCCATGATCCTTGATGTCGAGGTTGATAGCCCTGCTTTCTACCGGAACGCTCGCATTTAAAGAAACAGAAGTGCCAAGTCCCTGTGGAATTACCTCGATGTTAGAGCATCCAGATACAATTGGTTCCCCATTCTTAGATAGGTAGCCGCTAGGCGTGATTCTTAAGCTGTCATCAATGTGGTAGAAGAAGACGAGCGAGTATTCTCCCACGTTAGAGTGCCCCCAAAACCACTGAGTAAGGCCGTTCATGAAGGCATCGGTGCCCCAGTTCTGCAATCATCAGCTATGGCCCTGCAGAAAAGAATTATGAAATTAAACATACCTGTTCATGATATCCAGATCCATCGAATGAAAGGCTTGTGCCGTTGATATCCATATCAACCGTAGCATAAGAATCGGGTTTTGAATTTCCCCACTGAAGGAATGAACAAACTCGAAAGAGGCCCCTGGGCGGCTGAGACCACAAGCAACATGGGCAGGTGCCCTGGAGCGCATCAGGATGCTGCCTGAGACCCCTACATTGGGCAGGTTGAGAGAAAGATGGTATGCACTAAGGTCCGATGCACCAAACCAGGTCATAGCACCGTCTTCCACGTAGCCTTGAGAGCCATCATTCACAGTCTGTAGCTCTAGAGTGCCCACGGGAATCATCTCAGCAAAAGTCGTTCCATTGGGCCAGACAATATTGAGCAAAACTGCACTGTCATTGGTAAACCAGGCAGGATAAAATTGGGCAACGACCGCAGCCTTCGAATCATCAGAAACGACATCAAAGTACCACCACTGATAGGCGGATACATTATTCACGGATATGTGAGGACCATCAAAGGCCGTGAGACCAACTACGGTGTCTGTTCCAGTTATTCCATCGATTTGTTTGCCGGGAATGACATAGCTTTGGGGGGACGGAGTGGCCGATGCCAACTGCCCAAATGCGATGGCGGCAACTTGAAGTGCCGCAAAATTGGTTCTCATGATAAAAGAAAGAATCGGGTAAGGGAGAAACCTGAAGCACTTGAGTACTAGATGAGTACAAAAAATAAAAATAAAAAGAGGGTGTTTGAGGAACAGAAAATCGGGGGCATTGGGATCTTTTTTAAACTACTAGTACTCCGCGTGGCCTCTTAGAATATGCTACCTCCGGCATAGTATTTGCCAACTACATCCATGAGCCCCGTGAGGTATTCGTCAGTGTGGATTAGACCTCCGGAATGTCAGTGGTACGTGGATACATGTCTCCTCTTATTCAGCGGCGTTAGGGCTGGGAAAGATGCCAGGTGTATTCAATATTCAAAATGTTGGAGCTTGAATCGGAGATCTACAGGAAAATTTGCGGAGTCCGCTTATTAACGAACAACTTGAAGTAAACGGTAAACGTGGCGGAACTCGGGATGGATATATATGCGAATTTTTGGGTGTGTTTTCCAAGGTTGGCGATATTATGTATGAAACGCATAGAGAAAAAAACAGCTTTTCTTGGCTAGAGTTGCTCCATATAACTCCACATATCCCGGCCCGATGCAGTCACATGACTCATTTCCCCGCTGACTCAGCGGTAGCCTTAACGTAATCCACAAGCGAGCCAATCACCCCGCCAAAAATCGCATCTTTCAACACCCCTGCCTAATTCAAACACCTACCATGCCACCAATTCGCAATATTTCGGCAGAAAAAAATGCCAACCAAGAGGGCAAGATATTATTAGCCCTTGACGATATTCAAAATGGTCGAATTAAGTCTCTCCGTGCAGCTGCGAGGCTATACGAAATACCCTATACAACCTTGGCCAACCGCGTGAACGGCGTATCAGCACGCGTTGACACGCGCCCCAACAGCCATAAGTTAACCCAGCTAGAAGAGGAATCGCTTTTTGAATGGATTATCTCTATGGATTCACGTGGTGCAGCACCTAGGCTATCTACTGTAGGAGAAATGGCCAATATTCTGCTAGCTGCACGCGGTAGCCACCCCCCACCTACAGTTGGTATTAATTGGCCATCAAATTTTATCAAACGCCGTGATGAGCTACGAATACGCCTCTCTAGGCGGTATGACTATCAACGTGCCTTAAACGAAGACCCTAAGTCCCTCCGAGAGTGGTTTACCACCGTACAACGTGTTATTGATGAGAATGGTATCCAACCTGAGGATATTTACAACTTTGATGAGACAGGCTTTGCAATGGGCCTTATTTCAACACAGAAGGTTGTAACACGGCAAGAATACTACGGTCGGCGAGCTATTTTACAGCCTGGAAACCGTGAATGGGTGACAGCAATTGAAGCTATCTGTGCAGATGGCTATTTATTACCACCATGTGTGATTTTTAAGGGAAAGGTTGCTATCGCTAGCTGGTTCGATAATCTACCAAAAGACTGGCGATTCGAGGTCTCAGCCAATGGCTGGACTACTGATAAGATTGGTTTACGATGGCTAGAAAAGCTATTCATCCCATCAACAAATTCACGTGTCCGTGGTCGCTTTCGGCTATTGATTCTTGATGGCCATGGGAGCCACCTTACACCCCAATTTGACCGAATCTGCACTGAAAACAATATTATCCCACTCTGTATGCCTGCACATTCATCACATCTATTACAACCATTAGATGTTGGCTGTTTTGAAGTCTTTAAACGGACATATGGTCGCTTTATAAGTGATCTCGCCCGTACAGGCTATAACCATATCGACAAGCTTGATTTCTTAGCTGATTACCAACATGCCCGGCTTGAAGCTTTTCAGCCTAGTACTATCCAGAATAGCTTTTTAGCTACTGGTTTAGTACCAATTGATGCGGAAAGAGTTCTTTCTAAGTTGAATATTTCTCTTCGAACACCTATACCGCCAGGTAGCAGGCCAGGCAGCAGGTCTAGTCAATTTACACCTAAAACACCTAGAATTGTGGTTCAGCTACAGAAGCAAGCTTCAATGCTTCAAGATCTTCTAAAACAGCGATCAAACAACCCTCCCAGCCCATCGAAATTGATGTTAGATCAAATCATCAAGGGCCACGCTATAGCACTACACAACACTGCGCTACTAGCACAAGAAAACGCCAATTTACGTGCTACGAATGAGTAAAAACGACAGAAACGCAGTCGATCAGCTAGCCAGATACTATGTGATGAGGATTTAACAGTCGAAGAGGGCTTACAGCTAGCTCAGCAGCTAGAATCAATGGATAGAGCTGCTGGTGTCGAATCACACACCCAGGTTGAATTGCCTATTCAGCCAAATCAGCCAGCCCCCAGGGCTCAGCCTAGGTGTAGTGGATGTCGAGAGGTTGGACATAAGATTAATGTATGTAAAAAGCGTTATATTTAGTCGAATTTATTGCTGTTGGTTGAAATATTTGAATTTTAAAAATTTCTAGTTGGGTGGGTGATCGGCTCGCTTGTGTGATCGGCTCGCCTGTGGATTACGTTACCGCTCTTGGACTTCGGGAGTTGACCACCTCGTTATTATATCCTCTCTCCTCTCTTCTACTCAATACACTACACCAGCAATCGGCATCCACGGTTATTTCCAAGGTTCAATAGTTTGATGTTCTCAGCTACTCCTCAATGGCTCATCAATGGCCATATCGGAACGTGTGCCGGGACTTAGGAACCCTTTACAAGGAATTTCATTGATTCCCGCATCACTTCGATTACTGGATCTGAGTCAGACGCCTACCCTTCCATGTTCAAGTTGGACTTCGGAGGTAACAAAATGTGAAATTTGCTCTATTTAAATCGGGGTCGATCCCCGTTGAATATAAATGTGTCTCTTTTAAAACTCAAGTGTCCTGTCTCTGCAAATATATTTCATTCCAAGGTTGTTCGTCGAGATGCGCGATGGGGTGAAATTGAACGTGGAAATTTGCACGACACCTTCAACTGGGCTTACAAACAAGCTTGATGCAATGGTTCTATCTGTATGGCGGGCAATTGCTGACTGGCGAAATCGCAGATTAACTTTTCCTCCAAGCTATCTCACCCTGCGCTCAAGACCATTGCTCCCTGGGAGGGTTTCACCGATATCTACCACCAGTTCGCCATCCGTGGAGGTATGCCCACGCATATGCCTTTTGTCAGGGCGCTTACAATGTCTTTCGCTGGGTCCAACTCTATCGAGAACATTGCTGATATGGTCACCTCAACTCCCCTTTTGAACGAACACTGGGCGGACAGGCATGACCAGCTTGAGAACATTCAAGTCCCCATGTACATTCTGGGATCATACACCAGCATGTTTCACTCTTTTGGATCATTCGATATGTTTGAACGCTCAGGCGCGAACAAGAAATGGTTGCGTGTCCACCCACACTATGAGTGGTACGATTTGTATCGCCCTGATGCGCAGAATGATCTTGCCCGGTTTTTCGATCGTTACTGTAAGGATATCCAAAATGGATGGAAGAAGAGCACTTCGCCCTTGCGCCTGTCTCTCCTGGGCTTTGAATCAATTCCCGACGTGATCGAGCGACCCGAGCGAGAGTTCCCGTTGGCATCGCAACAACTGCAAAGGTTTTATCTCCATGGTGGGGATAAGACGCTGAAGTCTGGAATGGCATCTCAGATTTCAACGGTAACCCATCGGGCTTGCGCTGCTCCATCTGTAAGTTAATCCATACCTACTGCATTCATACCTTCCAGATGTCCCATATTGTTATAGAAGCTGACTTGTTCTCAGGACTTCACCCTCCGTTTCGATTCTCACACGGAGATTTCCGGCTATGCACGAGTATGTCTTTGGATGTCCACCGCGGATAGAGATGATATGGATGTTGTTGTTCAAATCAGAAAGATCGACAAGAATGGCGAGATGCTGAGCCACGTCAACTTCCCTGTTCCTGTTCCCAAAGACCAAATCCCTGATTTCAATATTGCGAAGTATCTTGGGCCCCAGGAATGCTTCGGGCTTCGCATGCAGTTTCTCGGGATGAATCCAAAACAAGCAGAGATGGCCAAGTTCTCTTCTACAAGCATGACATTCAGAAGAAAATAGCTCCCGCTACAATCGTGCCCCTGGACATTACCCTTTGGCCAATCGGTATGGTATTTAACGAAGGTGAGGGTATCTGTCTGAGAATCGCTGGTCATGACCTGGCCCTGCCAGAGCTACCTCTACCCCCAATTCTCTCTGAGATTGGTGCACCGTCAGAGCCTTCTCTGCATCAGCTCCATACGGGCGGCGAGTACGATTCCTATCTTCTCTTTCGTCTGATTCTGATCGTGAACTTAAAACTTTTGATCTTTGATCATTCAAAAAGAAATCAACTTCACTTTTTTACTCATTCTCCCAAGTAACTACCAACACATTCATGGATTTCTTTCAACACACAACACACTCTATCGGCTCTCATGCTCCCTTGTATCTCTGGTCTTTTTCCCCCACGTTCAATGGATCGTGACTCTACTTCTGGCCAATGCCTTTATAACAATGCCGACTCCCGACGTCAATCCCACTATGTTTAATTAAATCACTAATTACTAGCACTGGAGCTATGTAGCCCCATTGAGGAGGAAGTAGTTGAGGGTACGGAGTATATAGTAACTGCCGAATGCTCATGCGGCATGTGGAGTATGTATTCGGTACTGCTGGTTATCGATCGGTGCATCTACGGAGTATGCCAGTGGAGGTATACAGGTATCCTGAGCTTTTATGAAGATACATGTGCATAAGAATTAGTGCTGCTGCCTAAGACATGGAGCAATATGAACTTGAACTCCACAATTATCAATGTTATTACCATAGTTATGATCTACGAACCTATTAAATTCCAAGGTTCTAATATTACTTTACTCAGCAATATCCGTCTCGGCCAATCAGAGGATTCATTCTAGCAGCCGCCCCTTTCCGTTTCTCTTAACAAATTGATATCTACCCACTCAAGTTCTCCTGCAACATTTCAATGATCGATATATTGACATCTGAAACTTCCTTCTAAAATACATCGTTATATTCTTACTCTTCAAAGAACCCATTTGGCCGGACACAGTGTGTCTGGTTCCTTCGTATGTCAGAAGACACCCAGACAGGCCATGAACGCACGAAAAGAGCCTATGCATGCGATTCATGTGCTAAGCGTAAAGTCAGTGCCACTAATCTTTGTAGATTGCATTTGAATTACAGTGTCTCTTTCCTAACATAGTATTAGATTAAATGTGACGGGTCGACAACCCCTTGCGAATGGTGCCGTATCCACAATTTTGAATGCACCTTTCGTCGGAATGTTCGCGTCGCTGCTGCCATGCAACATTTACATGATACATCGAGGCAAGTCCAAATTGCCTTAAGACTCGTGGAAATTGCTCAAGAGGAATAAAAAAGTAATGATAGAAATCGCATGTGCAGAGTTCACAGAGGGCAAGAGACCAGAAAAGCCCAAGACCACCCACTGGCACTTCAAATTTCAAAACATTCAACCTCTCCAGGCGACAATGCACATGAAATGTCTTTCCTAAATTCATCGGAAGCCACTAATCTGTTGTCCCATATAATTCATTCGGATCATGCCCTTGGAATATACTCCGAGAATTTTCTTCTAACCTATGAAGACCCCAGTGGCTCTTACACTCTGGGTGGTATTCCATTCTTCTCCAAAGAAGGCATGCGATTGATAGAACAATGCACAGGTGAAACTGTGGACTTAAATCCATTTTTCGATTTGGACCACCTTGGAAACGGCGAGGACCCCTCAATCCTGAAGCCGCGAAGCCGCATTTCACTTCAAGTGGCCAACTACCCCTTCCGAATAGGGGTGTTCTTCTGAAACACATTCACACATTCTGGCAGTCTCCTCTGTCTCGATTGTTTCCTTTCCTTGATGAAACTTTTTTCTCCTTTCACAATACAAGCAGCATATGATGGTGATCTAACCCGGTACTCGCCGCAGAGAGCAGGTGCAACAGCCTGCATTTTTACCTTTATGGCTTTCATATCTTCCTTTCCAAATTATCTCGAGGCTTTGTCTAACGACAAGACACATCAGTATGCATTCAAAGCTCGAAAAATTCTATCTGGCATCTTACACAGTCCACCTACATTGGATAGCATACAAACCAGGTTAATATTGCTACATTATAGTACAGCTTTCTACAGGTTTCACTTCTTGCTAATGAGGTCTTGATGCAGATCCTATACTATATAACCCACCATGGGGACCAATGCTCAACGGATATGCTACTTGCATCTACTGCACGATCCCTCTTCTCACTTGAAGGTGATAAGCACTCACTCTATCCATCCAAGTCACAAGAATGTGATCAGTTCAAGTCTCATGTGCGCAAATTGCTCTGGGTTGCCTATGCTATCGATAAAGAACTATGTCTACGTACTGGTCGTCCTCCCACTTTACCAGATGATGAATGCGATCTTGACCTTCTCGATGTGTCATGTCGCTATGAAAATGGACCGAAAAATTTGGGACTTATAGGATTTTTCCCTACCCATCTTCCACTCAGCATGCTTCAGTCGCATATATATACCGAGCTATATTCAATAAAAGCACAGAGAAAGTCAGAGACAGAGCTACTGATGTCGATCCGAGAGCTTGATCGCGGGTTAGAGGAATGGAGGAATGCGATTTCCGTCGCTGAGCACCAGGTCTATAATGATATAACCGAATCAGAATATAGGCTCAAATTACATACTCGATTTGAATTGCTACAAATGCAGCATCGTTATTGTGTGATTGCAGTCCATCAATCTGTCAGTCGCTGTAGGCTACACATCAATGAGCAAAACTTGAAGATCTCCATGGCTGGGATTGATTCGAGCCTTCAAGTTGCTGTCAATGAAAGCCGCTTGCTGTTGGAGAACATCAACACAGCAAACACTGGATTTAGGTTTGACCGTGACACCTTTTGGTATGTGATTCAGAGAGGTTTTATTGTTCATATTCCAAAGCTATCAGCTCTCTTCGTCGGAATGTTTTCTCACAATGGAACCGAACTCTAGGTTTCATCTTTTCTACATCTTGATGTCGATAATAACCATCTTCAGCAACGTGATCACCCACCCATGTGCATCAGAATGTATTGCCGATGTTCGATTGATAACGCAGACTGCAGAATCCATCAATGTCGCTGCGACCAGCCACCCAGAGCTTGGGACTCCAGACGAGATATACTATGTGAGAGGATTTATATCCCAGTTGTATCGCTTGGCAGTGACTGCGATCAAACGCCATTCATCCGTTTTAGATTCATGAAAATATCCGCTGGGTGGTAGCGGAGAGGGGTCTCCTGGCTGTACTATATCGGCCACCATTACCATCATGATGTTTTACAAAAGTACTTAGAGAATCGACGCAACAGTTGATCACCTGGGCAGAAATATCATTGATGTGAAAAGTAAATTCAAGTTGTGAAAAACGTGTCGCATTATGAGACTTCCATTGACTGCTAATCAAAGTAGCCTGTCTAATAATATTATATATGGGACAAAAAAACGATAAGACAACCTTGGAAAACTACCAAGTATGTACATAGTAACTGATATTTTTCTATTTGTTTAATATCTATCAAATACCAGTGGCCTTGGTGTACGGTTTAACGCTTCTCGGATTTTCGATTATCTTCAATTTGGTGATCATTTCGCAGTTCTTTATTTTCAACACTTATTTATCGCCCCATCAATCTAATTATGATCGACACAACACAGGGATGACTAAATTCTTGTCCCCATAAAATTGGGGGCTATACTTGATAACTGCGAGAACTCGGACAACTTGAACCAGAATAGCAAACCTAGTGCTAGCGTTCTCCACTTAAATTCCACACCTGTACATATCACGGTGTGACCTGGGTACGCATTTCAGTCTCGTTCATATCCCCATGATCCTCACCTCGCGCCATCTACATGCAGTTCTAGGTATTTTTCACATCTGTCAGAGCTCACAACGCAAACTCGAAAATGGCTGAAACATCTAATTCATGGTCAGTTGACTCAGCACATGCACCCAATAATCATTCAGGATTCCTGCTGATATCTATAAAGTCCCATGGCTTCGCTGCCCAGTGATTGCTGGCTGATCATTCTGAAGCATCTCGAGAGAGAGGATTATCGGTCACTTCTTCTTGCATCGAAGAGCACACATCCCTTCGTTGAGTCTTTCCTATTCAGAGAAATAGCTTGGGAATGGCGTCCAATCCCGTTCCGCAAAATTCTGCTTCTCTTTCGCGCGATACTGCAAAAGCCGGAGCGCGCATCCCATATTCAACACTTGAGTCTTCTCTCTCACCAGTCAGTCTCGACTATGGATGAATGGGAGCTTCCGATTTGTGAGGTAGATCCCAATGAAGAGCTCTTGGGCTTCCAAGATGTCTTGCGACAGGCTCAAACTATTGTCAAGACTGCCCATTTCCCCGATGCAGAGACCTGGATTGGTACTCTGGAAAGTGGGAATCCTTACTCCTTTGTTTTTATTCTTCTCTCTCAGCTCCTTAACCTACAATCCCTACGTCTTGATTACTCCTTTGTGTGGCAATCTGGGTTACCGGGATTGATGCTACAGCATGCTCTCTCCTCTTCCTCAAGCCCCTTATTATCCAAGTTCAGATTACTCAGGGACGTGGATTATGGCGGAAATATTCGTCGCGACAAATTATCCGACGGTCCCGACGTCATTGATGATGAGCCCGGCTATCCTCAATGCAATCCTCAGCAATTCCCTGCTTGGTTCTATTTATTATCTTTAAGATCTCTTACAATATGGCTTCGCACCAAGCAAGGGGTAGAGCTCCCTGATGGTCCTCCTAATCTCTCGCGTCTCCAATCTCTCATCCTGGCTCGAGCGACCATTCAGGAGACCAAGATTCCCGAAATCCTTTCTCTCGCCCCTCACTTGGAGACTCTACATTTAGGAATGGCCTACAGATGGGGTGAAGAAAGAGCCCTTTCAAACGGGCCATTTATTGTTCAAGGACTGGATTCCATTCGAGAGTCCGTCACAAACCTTTCTATTGGCATCGAGTGGTTTCCACCCACCACATGTGATGTTCTGCTACATGAAGGAGAAGAGGAGCTTACCAGACCATTTGATGGCCTGATAACCCGATTTCCAAAAGTCCGCTCGGTCGAGATAACAGCAAATCTACTTGTAGTCTGCTCAACAGACCCATCAACGGACCTGACATCAGTGTTATCTGACCAAGTCGAGCAACTCTGTCTGCGAATGGACTATGAGACTGTCTACTGGGATGACTGGGGTAAAAGAATCCTCGATTTAGTCACGAATAATGCTCCGAAACTAAGATCCCATATGCCTGGGCTGAGACGAGTCTGTGTGCGAGGTTGGTCACGAGTTTGGAGCAACCCTCGCACGAGCCAACGAATTGACTTAACACGGGCTGCTTGTGCTCAGGAAGGAATTCACTTCGAGGTGATATCTGATCAACTTTCTAATGGAATCTGGACTGAGACTCGGATATGTCCTGAGCGAAGGATTCGTTAAAGAGTTGCAAACCTATTTTGCATCTTCTACCGATTGATGTGGGTGCGTTCATCTCCGGGATTCAACAATTTGAGCCCTTCCTTTGCTTCTTCGAGCTTCTGAGTTTCCTCCTTTGTGTTCCTTAGTGTGAAACAGCAACTCTTTTCCTCTTCTTTCCTCTTTTTAATCACGATATGAATGCTTCATAACATAGTATATGATTTTTCTCGCTAGTGCGTTAACGTGATCTCTTCTCATTGTACTCGGCACCACCATTGATGATGATGGATAGATTTAATTTTCCTCTCTGTACTACGGATGGTTTCTCAAGCAAGATCCTACTCAATTGTGAAATAAATTCCTAGTGAAAAGAAAATAAAACAACCTTAAAAAATAACAGCATTGGAAAGGATGAAACAGACTGATCTTTATTTTTCAGTTTACCTCCAATCTCAAATGTTCTGGAGTAGCGCCTTTATCTAGATATTTCATGGTAACCTAAAATGAACTAAGTCTCTATATAGAATTTCCATATATGTTAATTTCCTAGTCTCATTTGACAAAATCCTAAACTTGACAATCGATTGTCAAATATGACAAATAACTTCACATCTCTGCACTATCACATATGTAAGATCTCAGATACATGCGAGCTATGTACTATTTCGAGTTGTAGTACTTAAGAAGCCCCTGAGATGTCACTGACACTGGTAAACTGTTGGCATAGCTCACGGGCTCCGTGTCACTGGGAATCACAGTCATAGCGAAACTGAGTTTTGACAGAACATTTTCGCATCCAATTCCACCTATCTTCGAGCAAGGCTCTTTGATATGACCGCCAGTGACTTCACCAGCATCATTGTGTTTGCCCTGCCACGTCACAATTCTCCAAAAGCCATCTTTCCATGTTAGATCTTCGTTGAGGTTGGCAATAGCCACCAACATTGCATTGAATCTCGCCACATTTAGCATCGAATTGGTGTTGTGCTCCTTTTCTTTTCACTTCCTTTTTGCAAGCATTGAGTGCATTGCTCACAGTATCGGGTACGGTATCCCACAACACTCCTTTACATGGGTTTTTCTTGCTCTCAGTTCTCTTTGTGACTTCATAGATTAAAGAACCTGTGCCCTTGGCCGACGATGCAAGATAAACAATTGTGTTTGTTTTTTCGGGATTGCTGTATGCGATTGCTGTTATAACCAGTGGCACCCTAGCTATGATTTCTTCGTCCTCGCTTTCATATGCACCCTTAAGCATAGATTCATAGCCATCCTCGGCTACTGAAACCACCTTTCCGGGAGAGAGGAAGGTGTCGAATATCGCGATAGAAGTCCAAATGTAAATTGATGGCTTGCCGGTTTTCGTGTTGGTAGGTAACGTTTTGTCCTGGTATACCTTTATAAATTCCGCCAGAGAAAGATTGAAGGCGAGGAAGAAAAAGAGGTATATGTTTCGGAAGATCATAATGGCGGTTGATTGGGGCCACTCAAGCTCGAGTACTGCAATGACTTGGAGGCTTGTTCGCGAAAGAATGGAAATTTGGACACCTCCCGATGTCGATAGTGACTATTGAGTGATCTCTTGAGATAAGGAGAAAAGGAGTCTGAGAGAAAATGGAGATGATTTGGACCGCAGCTCTGGATACCACTAGGTAGACATCTGGAATATTTGAAGGTAGTTGGGGTCATTTTAACCTTGAAAAGCCTTCGGGCTTTCATATCCAAAGTGTGAGACTGCCGGGGGTCAACAGACATCCATTATTTCAATTTCAAGTTTACTTGCATGTGGTGTTATTCTTAGAATTGGAGCAAAACCGAGAGTAGCATTCAAAGTACCGTCATATTGAAGTTGAGACAGCCTATAGTCCTCATTTCATGAATACTTTGGCCCCAATAAGCTACCAGAATACTAGTCCGTCTTCAATGGGCCAATTACAAGTTTGAAATGCATGAGACCTCAGGAGGAGCGGGTCAATATAGAGAGCAATAGAATCAGCGCAAAGCTATGTAGTGGAGAATAATCCCTTTATTCCCCGAGAGGATCTGATGAAAAGGGAAGAATTGGACGAAACTGTCCAAAAAGAAAAGTGTCAGATGAACGTTCATAGAAAAGATGGTCCAGATCTTGATGTTGAATCCCGAATCTCCCGGACATCAGGACCCGCTCTCGCACTCGGCCCACACTGGCAGGGGTCCATTCTTCAAAAGTTTGCCGGTTGTCCGATTGTTGTCCGATTAATGCATGCAGTATTCTAATGACCCTCAAACGTTTTGAACATTGATATCGGACATTTGCCACTAGAGACCCACGATCTTGAATGGCCCCCTCGGTCCCTGGGTCACCTGGGTCACTGAGTGGCTCATGTAGTATTTATCATGTAAATTAGACCAATGACATAGTCATACCTGTGAAACTCGCATGCGCTATGTCTTCTTCCAAGGTCGATAATGTATGATGAGACACTAAGTGAGAAATATCAGCTGTTTTAGGAAGCGAAATGAGAAGCTCCAGTGTGACCAGAGAACTTGCTAGGGGGACGAAATATGGGTGGCGATGGCATGAGAAGAGAAGTAGGGGAGAGGTTTATGCTATCTACAGGTAGGGATACCTCGTAAAACTACTTGACGCGAGCTCGTCGTTCGATAGAACTCTCATGAACAGTTCAATTGGTCTGAACCTACCCCACGCATCAAACTACATGTTGTATGACCAACGCCCTAATGCCACTCCAGGCTTTCTCCGGATGTCTGTACTTCAGATGTCTTTACTTCATATCTATTGTATTTTCCCTGGCCCTGGTGGCGACAATCAGCTCCAAGTCCAAGATCTATGCAGTTGATTGATTTCCGAAAGGATTCAAAATCCTGGTTCCTGGTTCCTGTTTCACAAAGGAGCTTCGCACTCATCGGGTGCGAGATAGTAGGCACGGGTTTTCAATCGGAGCATCATTTCGCCCCATGGATCTCGGACTTATTTCTATCTTGCGGTATTTTTCTATATTCTATAGGTAATATTTATAGCATACTATGTATGAATTCAAGTTGCCCTCAAATCAGAATTATTCCATAAATGACTGCTCTCAGTACTCTCCAATCTGTCAACATCGAGCTCTCGTGACTGAACATTCCTCACCATGGTAATCAAGAGCACTATATTTCTGCTGCTTCCTTTATTGCAGGGAGTTAGCGCAGACTGGAAAACCACTATCAAGACCAATCTCGTTGTACCTAACACTGCGACTCCGGTCATCGACTATATCACAAAGCCACGATCCGATTCAATGGCAGTGACATCTCCGTCAGCGTCCTCAACCTTTGACCATGCACGCAGTCATAGAGACAAGTTTACCTCTGTTGTCACTGTCCCAGATGGCAAAGTTCCCATTATTCGTTTCAGTCCTGTCACCTCTACGACCATCAATAGTCCAAGTGCCCATGTCCGTTCATCGAGCACGGTATCAGTTGAGAGTTCATTGCGGACTACGAAGTCTGATTTTACTCCTTCTGTGACTTCCAGCTCTTCAATTCATTCAGCTACAAAGGAACCTAGCTCGACAACCGACAATTGTGAGAAGGATTGTTTGACTACACAATCTAAAAGCGAGTTCGTTGTGTCGCTGAGTTCATCTAAGGACTCCTCAGAGTTCACACAGAACGACCCCTCTCATACAAGCTCCGGTCTGTCTGGACAGAGCACCACATCCGGTCAATCAACTTTCAAGCCAAGTACTCCAAGTTCCACTGAGAGAAGTACTTCACCTGGTCATACAACCTCCAAACCATTGATCCCGGCCTCGACACGGTCAATCCTCTCCAGTTTCTCACAGATCGACCCTGCCACCTCGACCTCAGATACACAATCAAGTAGCGTGAACTCAGGAACATCGACAGATCTTTTAGATTGCACGTCCAGTAGCACTGGATCATCTTCATCTACTTTCTCTGTTCAACAACGAACCACCTCTGAAAGTGCCTCTTCTCCGACTGGCCACATGGAGTCAGGCTCGAGAAGTCCATCTAGTAGCTCTACCTTCTTGAAATTAACGGCTCTTCCAGCTAGCGACTCAGGCAGTACTGGATCCACTTCTTCGACTTTGTCGGATCAACAATCGACCACATCTAGTCAGTCAGCTTCTAAAACAACAGCTGATACCAGCTCGACATCGAGTGGGACTACATCAAACTCGCTTGGTTCAACGGCTCTAGCATCCGCCCCTGATCTTGAGTCTCTCACTGCAACCAGTGATTCTGCAATTGAGATGTTCGCACCTACAGCATCACCTTCATCTGAGGCGTGGGGTACATTGACTTCCCTGCCGTCTGGTACGATAACTGGAGCTCCAGCCAAGACCGATGTCATCAATATTGCATTGCTCTTGAGAAACACATACAATAAAATCGGCGATCTCAAAAAAGCCCCAAAGGAGTACAAAAAGCGCATTCAAGATATTCAGGACCAATCTGAAAACTATCTGTCGAAGGCAGGGTTTGATTCAGGCAGTTCCCCTTGCTCTAGTTCTAAAAAGAGATCCCTGGAAAAGAGAGGTCTCTTTAGTGCAGTTAAGAGTGTTGCCTCAGACGCGGTCCATGCCACCGTGGACACTGCAAAAAGCGTTGCTGAAGCTGCTATTAGCTGCATTGCACCCATAGCAGATGACATTACAAGCGAGATTCCTGATGATCCAGCGGACTTGACAGATGAAGTTGAGAACAGAGTTAAGAAGGGAACAGAGTATCTTGATGAAATCAGCAATATTGTGGATAGGATGGAGGAGAAGGTCGACGATAATACCAACCAAAGTGCATCTGAGTCCGAATCTTCTCAATCATCCACAAGCTCTGAGTCTTCTACATCTTCTGAATCAACTACATCCTCCGAGTCATCGACCTCTTCTGGGTCTTCAACTTCTTCTGGGTCTTCAACTTCTTCTCAGTCTTCAACAGCCTCATGCACCTCAAGCACTACTGTTTCGGAATGCACATTCTCTACAATTATCTATTCGATATCTGGTACAGGCACTACTGACTTGAGTACGACCAGCACAGAGATATGCTCAAAAATAACAGCCTGCAATGCCTCTCCAACAACACTGAGCACTACAGTCACTGAAGATTCATGTCCTTTGAGAACAACATATTCCGTTCCTGCAGCAGTCCCAATCACGCCATCTGGATACACTGGAACCGCGACACCTGGCTCTACTGGTACTTCGGCCTTGACAGGCTCAGTCCCTTCGACCGCTGCACCAAGCTCCACGTCGAGTACGACAGCAACTACAGAGTCAACAGAATCAGGATCTGGTAGTTCCTCGGGCATCGGAGGTACATTCAGTACCTCTGCGAGCTCAACCCACAAGTCTGGCGTTTCTAGAAGTTCCACCCTTACAAGTTCTTCTCCCCAAAGCACAAGCAACGCCGGTGCTTTCACGACTACTGCATCAGATGGTTCTGTCTATTACTGTGGGGACTCAAAGTATGAGAGCTCTGCTTCCGATAGCATCAGAACATGTGTGACCTCAATGTCCTCCGTGACCATGATACCCTCAGTTTATGTGTCTTGGTCCGCTTCTTTGGCCTCATCTGAATACGCCAAGTCTGCATCTGAAGCCAGCGCTTCAGCCTCCAACTCGAGTCCGTCAAGCACATCCGCGAAACCCACGTCCCAAGCGAGCTCGAAGAGCTCGGAAACTAGCAGTTCAGAAGCCAGTACATCAACATCGGATACCAGTACAGCGAGCTCGGAAGCTAGTACCTCAGAAACAAGCACCTCAACTTCGGAAGCGAGTGCTACAACCTCAGAAGTCAGTACGACAAGCTCTGAAACTAGTACATCAACATCGGAAACCAGCACGTCGGAAAGTAGCACTTCGACTACGGAAGCCACCACAACGACCTCGGAAGCTACGACCACGACCGCAACAACAGCCTCATCTACACCAACAGATCAGCTTTACATTCTCTACGAGGATCCCGAAAGTTCCTTGTACGAGTATTGGAAAATTATGGAAATTGATCTTGACGATACCGATCCCGACTGGTGTGATCTGAGCCCGTTGGGTGCTGCTGAGGCTTCTGGTGATATCGTTGAAGGGGATGTCCCTAATCCGCCTACAATTGATTTTAGCTCAGACGCGGACGTCACAGACGACACCTTCAAGGATTGCGAGTATGAAAGCGACAGTGCAACTCTCATATGCTCAGACTTCACTGTCGTCTGCGAAACTGATATAGAAACTAGCATGGGCACACAATATTGCTCGGATACATTCTATGCGCCGAAGGTTCGGTGTAGGTGGGGCGCAAGTGATAGCACTTGAGTACACATACATAACACACGCATGCCAGTGTGGATTCACAGGCTCTATCTCTGTATTTGTTAAGGTATAGATACTAGAGGCTTCAATCCGATATTGTATACATTTGTGAAATTCAATTTCCTTGCCTTTCTTTCTCGTTCAAACTTGAATACTTCATTAATCGAAAGATGAGCTATATTGGCCATAGACCTCGGGAGTACTTCAAGTTCAAAATACACGGACATCTGGATTCAAGTTATATGTCGCGTAGTAGGCTAGTACATGTAGTAGCCACTGGCAACTCACCGGATGTACTACCATGGGGCATATACTACGTAGCAGTAAAAAATCCGGCACTAACTTGAACAACTCCGGGGCCAAGGTTTGAAAATTTGAATGACTCGGAATTATTAGGTGAACTTTCAAATGTTGGAACTTGAAACAAGAACTAAAACTAGAACTTTGAGTACTACTCCTAATACATAGTAGTATTTAGTACCTCCTCAAATTATTCCTGTATATAATTCCGAGTCATTCATCCCGAGGTTAGTACTACCGCTAGGACATTTCCAGATCGCTTCCATTCAATGCCAATATATCTGATTCAACTAGCTCGATCTAAAGGGTGTTCCTGTATGTTTCATACCATTAGTTAGCGCGCGCCTCATTCTAATCGGCATTGTGATTAGAGCTGGTCTTTGGGTCTATTCTAACCTAATTAGTCTAGTTTAAGCAAAAACAAACCTGAGACTAATATAATCCCTGAAGATTGATAAGAGTAGAAATGCTATTAGTGGTCCAGAATGGATTCGACCCATTATCTCTAAATTAAGGAGTTTGAAGGGATGCACATATGTGCAAAAGGTGAGTTCCTGGCGGCATTTCCCGATCGGCTTTGAGAGCCCTGAAGCACGGATAAGAATAAAAGCGGACATATGGACATCTGGATGTGTTCTCGGTAATCACGACGATCAAGACGATCAATGAGATCGTCCTCAACATTAACTTGAAGAAATCTTTTACTTTCGGGACTGTCAACTTTAAAATTTTGATCTATGTAGAGCCTCATAAGACATAGGTGCACTCATATAGTATAATATAATATATTAATACTGTTCAAGATGATCCTATAAGTCTCATAATTACTACTGAAATATGATCACCCATTTCTAGCTGTCTGATCTCTCCTATTAGACTAAAAGACGGTGAAACCAATTCCCCACTTAGCATTCAGCCTACTTACAATCTACATGTCAGCTTTTATGTAGTAGGTTTCACTAACACCACAGGAGTAATTGGCATCGCGGGCGGCATCGGCGGAATGAATAATATGAGTATATCATCAGCATAGTACGGAGTGCTACGTACTCTATGAAGTATCTGATCTGAATTTTGCCGAATAATGTACATAATACTATTTTAATTCTCCGAAGATCCTTTCTTTTTTTAATTCCTTAGACTCCAGCATCATAGACGTCAATTGATCGCGGTTTCAGAGATTGTCCAGCTCTCCGGAAATATTCTTCTCCCTGGGTACCTATACTTCCGCGATCCACATGTGCAAGCACTTGTACCTTCAAGTTGTTCTTCACTCATGGTTGGTCATAGTATCTAAATATTGGTATGTATTTAAAACTGATATTCAGATATTCAAACCTTTCCACCACATATGCGCTCAGATATAATAGCCGATCTAGTTTAAATGTTCGACATAATTCAACATTTGAATAGTAACTCGGGACGCGCCCGTCCCATTAGCTTGGCGCCCCGCTGGCATACGAGTCACGACTTCAACCCAGGTGGACCATTCCAAGGTTCTCCTGCCGCGAGGCTACTGATTTTTTTTTTCTCCTTCCAAAATCCTTTTTGGGGCTGGTTTTTTCTCTTGCCAAGCTTGTCTCAAAAATACCGAGAAAGCTTGAATCATGTCAACATTTTTGAATCATCGGGTAAATTCATTAGACATTTATGCTAGTGACTCTTGCCAGTGATTTTACGGATTTTCAACCCCAGAATTTTAGGGTAATATCAGAAATTCAGCAATTTCATGACTAGCACATTAATATCAGTAATTCTTAACATTCAAATTCGAGTTGCAAAGTTGAAGGTTCCTATAATCTGAATCTGAATGGGACTCGGGATGCCGCGTGCGTGCGTATCCCGAGGTCCGCTTTTGTTTCAAATTCACTTAAGTTCACTATATATTAATTAGGCTCTCGGTAATAACCGAATGAACAGTTGAACACTGTCAGTGACACCCAGGAATAGTGGATTTAGCTTCTAGGGCGAACCTTGGAACTTCGAAGGACCCAGCCTTACTAGTACGAGTACATTGTACCCCGAAATTACTCAGATATAGCATCCGGCACTTGTCTAAGTGCATACACTTTCTTCAACCTGGGAAGTTCAAGTTGTCAAAGAAAGACTCAAACACATACTATGCATGCAAATGTTTGCGCATTGGATACCCGATTTTGAACCCCCACATCCCTAATCCTTCATAAGCAACATTCAATAGACCAACTTGGAATGGAGATCACTTGAATGGATCAAAGTCGTGGAGAGAAAACATTTGAACATTAGCGTAAGCCGGATCCACTGGGATCAAGGGGCATCATTCATTCAACCTCATCCACGGGTTGAAGAACTTGAAGGACACTCTGGGCCACGTCTCTAGAGAGATATCAGCCTAATTTTGGTTTCCAATGTGAATTTTGGTTTCGAAAGGGTTCTTAGCTTATACTTCTCTGAAATTAGACTCAGTATAACCTATCTACTATAACATGATGATCATGCAGGGACTGCTTAAGTGCTTCATTAAACACAGATAAGACGCATCGATTTTTCAGGATCTCTAATGGAGCCTAAGTCGATAAGCTATGGAGATGTTAAATCGGAAAGAGGGTAAAGATCGACATTTGTGGGGCTAGTTCTATCCAGTCAATCCACCATCAGCTACTAGATCAAAGCACTAGACCATGTTTTCTGGAAGCCTTGCGTAAATTCGCCCCTCCGAGTTTGAGCCTTCGATTCTCCATACTCATAGCGTGTTTTATCGACGATAGGGCTAAATTTTTGCACTCGAAGATGGATCTGGATAATGATACGAACATGGTATACTAGTCAGTATATGGAGTAGCCTAGAGGGTGGATCAAATTTGTACTCATGCGCCAGGGGCGAGGATATAAAGCCTCACTCCCCTCTCGTATAATCTGAATTGTGAAGATACTGAGAGTATTCACTCATTCAGCCTGCGTGTTGTCTTTTTTTCTTTCCTTTAATACCCTGACCTAGTCCCTCTTTTCTTCTTCCACCTAGGCAAGATGCACTTCTCAAGTCTTATTGCAGGGCTTGGTCTCTCGACATGCATTGCTGCCGCAGCCACACATGGCTCGCATCACTCTCACTCTAAGCCCAGTGTGCAGCCTGGTAACAATAAGGAAACCAAGATTCCTGGCTTTTTCACTGGTAACTGTACCGAGGAAAAGATGACCGTTCGCAAAGAATGGCGTAACCTGTCAAAGGCTGAACAGAAAAACTTCCTCGATTCTGTGGAATGCCTGATCAATAGTCCTGCTCAGTCTAGTTTGGCTGCTACTACTAGCCGATTCAGCGACCTCCAGGCTCTGCACCGTGCAAAGACCAATACGGCCGTTGGGGATATTATTCACGATGTGGTAAGTTATTTTGTATTATTCATATAGAATCTCACTAATAACCAAAATCAAGGGACAATTCCTGCCCTGGCACAGATACTACATGCATATCTATGAGACCCTTCTTCGTGACGAGTGCGGTCTGACTGCTCCCATGCCGTATGATAATCCCTCCTCCAACCCTATCTCTCTCTTGGGAATTTGTCTGATTTTTCTTTGAACAGTTACTGGGACGAGGTTTACGATGCCGATAGTGGTGATATGTGGCAATCAGCCATGTGGGACGCTGAGGCCTTTGGTGGAAATGGCACAGGATCTGAACTTTGTGTTGAAGATGGCCGGTTTTCCAACCTGACACTTCACATTGGCCCCGGAGACGAGGATACTGACTATTGTCTTCGTCGGTCTTGGGATGGTGCGGACGCAATTGCTAATGCCAATAGCAAGGTTCTTGAGACGTGTAACTCCTACAACACTTTCTCACCTTGGTGGTACTGCATTGCTGAGCTCCCTCACAAGGGTGTTCATACCTACGTTGGTGGCGTGGTGAGTGACATTCCTTTTTCTTGTATATTAATTTTGTTTCATCTCGCTTACTTTCTTTTTCTAGATGGCCGATATCAAGTCCTCACCTGGTGATCCCATCTTCTTCATGCATCACATGTACATTGATCGAGTTTGGTGGCTTTGGCAGAAGCAGGATCCTCTCAACCGCCTGTACGATATCAGTGGCCCTTCGGTGAACGAGTCGGCAAATGCGGAGCCTGCTGGAGGCTGGCAAAACACCACTCTGCACTATGAGCTTTCTTCGTACAGTATCATGCCCAACACAACTATTGGGCATGTGATGAACTCCCAGGGTGGTTATCTGTGCTACGGATACGAGTGATCGGATGTAGCGAGACTCATCCAGCTCAAGGGAAGATCAGTTTCTGCTGATTCTTGCAGGTTCAAGATGCATTCATTGTTTCGGTACATCTGCCGATACCTAATACTTCAATCTTCCAATTTTCCTATGGCATTTTTGCTAGAATCAGAGTTTTATTTATTTAGAAGACAACATCAGTTGATAGTTCTTAATTCAGTTATTGACTAGAGTTTTCATCTGATTTTGAGTGAGGCGAATGAAATTTATCTTTAAAGAAAATCTTATAATATACTAGGACTATATCCTCAGGTTAACAAGTAGCTATATCAATGATACATCATTCTTTGAAGATGCTACTCAGATAAGGGATGAAGAAATATCAGACGAAGACAACATAGGGGATCATCTGACACTAGCAACCAGCTATCCATACATAGGTAGCATGTGCTATAGATAAACATTGAATCATCTAAATAAACTACACAAGAACCGATGTCGGAACAGCCTTCAAGTTTGAAGTATACCCCGAAATTTCGGCATACACTATCCGAAAATTCGAGTCGATGCCCCACTTGTCCGAGTCAGAACTACGCCCTTCACGCCCTTTGATATAAAAGCACAGCGGTAGAACTTAGATCTTAATCTAGCATTGTCTCTTGAATTCGACACTATAGCTCTGAGGGATGAAGATATCCCGTGTAAATACCAGTAGTATAGCACTTCAACCTTGGAAGTTGTGTGAGTTGACATTGAGTACCTTTAGCATAGAAAGGCCATACATTACCTAGGTAGGTACATGATGTATACATGGAAATTTCACTAAGCTCGGACATTTAGCCGTGGGTAAAAACATTGAAAGCTGCCAAGTCTCAGATACCTTCAAGTTGTACCTCCATGGCGGGTCCAGATATAGGCGCTAGGTGACTTTTAAGTATTTCCAAGTCTCGCAGGGCGTGATTTCTATCCTTCTGATAATTAGTTGAAGTCTTGGCACCAGTCATATCAATAGCGAGATCTGGAGTGACATACATAGAATTATAGTGACTTGGTTTGACTTAGCAATAGTTAAGCGAATGAGATAATTCAAGGCTAGAGGTCTTTGGTATTTTTCCAAATATTTCCTCAAATGGATAAATAGTCGCGATGAGAAGTGTGAATTCCTATGCTACATAGACCATAATTTCTAATTTCATCAATATGCTAAACTATTAATACTGGCTAAAATGATCTTTGATGTCAACTCTCGCGAAAAATTTGTCTTCGCCTCCACGTCGCGTCGCCTGAAGTTACGTCTATCGGAGTTGACTTCGGAGTAAAAATCTCATCCTCGGACTAAAGCTCGGACTAGATCCCAACCGAAACATGCTTTTTGTCACGCCACTTAGAATTTTTAGGCAAACAGTAACAGATCATTTGGACATCATTGAGTGAGATTCTAGATCTCTACAGAACCCATTCAAATATTACTCTTTCTACATACTATGTAGATCACGAACATTGAAACTGTCGGCCTTAGATTCTCCTCCAGTCATTCTCTTGTATAGTCACCCCGCACTTTGAGTCATTCATAAACATAAGCCACTTCGTAAACTCTCTCTTATATTAGTTACCTTACCTTGAAAAAATAGAAATTGTCTAATATCTCTGCTTTGAAATCAGTGTCATTATTGAGCAATTTGTCTAGATTGATGTCGTAACATTTACAGCAAAATTCAAACCTCAATTGTGGATGGCCGCTGGTAACCGCGATCCGACCGTGTAGAATGTCTAGGCCCCATTACTCACATTTTTACTTCAGCTGCCGCAGCAATCAAGTGGAGGCTCACATGCACATGTGAGGCTTTTTTCCCTTTCTTTTTGCCTGTTCTTTTTTTTAGCTACGGGAAGTGGAGTCTTTCCGATCTCAAATTTTTCCTTTGGCGTCGGAGTTCAGTGGATATTGGGCACATAGTCACTTCGGAGTATCCATTCTCAGCCCTTTGAGGTTTGAATTTTTCACTCTAGATATGCACGTGTATTTCTTTGTCTCTATTGAACTGACATCATAGTTCAAATGTTGAAATCTATCATTTTCAACAGTAGGCATCAATTCTTTGATTTGATACTTCTGTGTAGGCACCAAAATATAAGCAATGAATGACATCTACAGTGCATGCGCTAGCACCTATGTCAGAATAGGCATCATTAAACTATAGAAGATCATGATATCAAAGGCTTTATGATACTAGGCACCCAGAACTTAAAGTTGAACATGTGCGAGGTATCAATCTGAAACGGACAAGTTGTCTAAGGTGTGAGTCAAGGCTAACTGAGCGCCACTAACTAAAGATGAGCTCCCAGGCGCCCTTTCGTATTATGAAATCAAGTTAGACATCTAGAAAGCTCCAAAAGGTAGCCAAGATGATCGCGGATAGGTTCAAATGGCAGTGTTCACCCCGACTATCCTAATTGGGAACCCGACGCGTCGGGGTCTCTAAACAGTGTTAGCATGTGGCTTAGTACACGAAATCTCATTTATCAGATCAATAATACAGGGATATTATTCACCTTAGACCCTTATTGGACGCCCTTAGAAAGTTACTTGTGAGATTAGTAATCCTAGTATTCCTTCCAATAATTACCATATGTAATTCTCAGGCAAATTTCACATTTTCCAAGTCCGAAAGTTTACTCCGATAGATCCACCATGACTCTGACGTCGATTTCTAGGCCTCAATAAGTTTATTCTAGCTTCGACTCATGATGATCGTATAGTGGGTCTATAATGAGAATTTTTATATTTTTACATTTTTAATATTATTTTTATTCTAATTTTTCTAATTCGGAGTGGATCACGGAGTGACATGAAATGTATGCACATGGGTCTCACCAACAGCGCATCTACTATATAAGACACCATTCTCCCACGTAAAAAGAAGTATCATTCTCGATCCATCACACATAAAGATCATCATCCGATCCATCTTGAAACCATTTCATCTCTCGAATCCATCATTCATCCTTCAATAACCAACTTTGAACACCAAAACAACCATCAAAATGAACCTCCTCTTCCCTCAAGTCTACCACACCACCAAGGTCCCTAGCCCGGCCACTCCTCAAGAGCCCGAGCCTTGGGTTGTCGCACTGAAGGACACCATTAAAGACAAGTACAAGAGCCGCTCAACTGCCTCAAGCAAGAGCTCCATGACTCTGTCCGACAACGCCTCCACACGTTCTGCCGTTTCCACCGCGACCACACTCAACATGTCAGCTCTTGAAGCCCCCAAGAAGAAGAAGCACTGGTACTCCCTGGGTTCCAAGTCCAGTGAGACACTCGCAGACCCCAAGTTTGTCCGCAACTCCGATAAACAGGCTGCCCTTAAGGCTGTTCACAACGAAGCCGTTGCTAGCTACTTCAGCACTCGCTAAGTGCTAGCATCTTTGCTTTTCTGCTCTGATATCAACTGAGCTTGACCTCCTTAATGACGCCTGAAGCAGTTTATCAACTGTCTTTGGGTTATCCCCTTTGTCAACTGCGTTTCCTGCGACTGCGACTGCGACATGATCGCGACACGATCTTGATCCTTATTCTTCCTCTTTGCGCTTCACGATGAAACGACATGATTACCAATATTAATGCTCTGCTTTCTGCTTTTATCAACACTCGAAAATGGAGAGGCCGATCGGGCCTTTCCGACTTGTTTGAATTTTGTTTTCAATTTGAATGGAGGGAAAAGGGCGCTGGACTAATAGATCATTTGGATGTTTTCCCGTTTGAACCCTGTTTGGGTTGATATTGAATAAAAGTTTTTTTTTTTAAAAAAAAAAAAACATTCATATTTCAGATATTTCTGCCTTGATTGTAGAGTATGTAAATGAGGCTATTAACAATGGATAATAAAACAAATCAAACTGACGATAATAATGTATGTCCCCGTAAAAACGCCATGAAACGCACCGTCATCCGTGCATGTAAATCGTCTCATAGACCAGTCAATAACTCTGCCATCGAAATTGGCTTTCGCACAGCATTCGAGAAACCCTCATGGTAGGTAACCCAGACCTTCCTGCCAGCCTTGGAGGTTTCATCCATTTGGTTGTTGTTCGAGTCTTGAGGGTCGGGAACGGGCTCTTGAATCACTCGTCCAAAGAAGTCCCGCTTGACCAGGCCAGCCTTAATCTTCTGGGCTGGATCACTATCATCGGTGGATTTTCTGGGACCCAATTTACCCATCGACGATCCGCTCAATGTATCGGAATGCTTTCGCATGGTCTCTTTGCGGTACTCCTGATCCAGAACCTGGCGTACTGCAAAGCGGACTGGTGCATTACCACTGGAACTCACGGGGCTTCCATTCATTTTTGAAAATGTCACAAGGGAATCAATCGGTCTGATGATAGGGTTTTGTTAGTCTCCTTTCTAGCGTGAATTTCAAGGTAAATATCACTTACGGCTCCATTCTGTAGGCCCATCCACCATGGCTTCCTCCTTCATGTTCCACCCGGACTTTCTCAAAGGTGACGCCCATACCAACCATGACTCGTACAGCTGACTGGACCAGAGCTCGTTCAGATTCCTTGCGGACGCTAGCTGTGCTTCGTGATTCGCCATTGCCACGGATAATAACCGGCTTGACGTCAGGTGATAACATGCGGACCAGATGCGGGACCAGTTCGATGACCACATTATCCGTAGAGCGGAACATTCGAATCATTGGCGCCGAGAATGAAGAGTGGAATGTAGTGAGGGCAGCCTTATTCTGCTTCTGCGCTTCGAAGGCAGCGAAATCTGCCCTAGGACCTGAGAAAGGATGTTCCTCTTCAGCTTCTTCGTCATTCTCGTCCTTATCAGCGGCTTCTGTCTTGCCGCTAGCAGTTGCAAAGAGATGATGAAACGCGAGAACAGACTGGCTCATGTATGGGTGCAGCTCCCATTCCTGAGAAGAGTGGACCTTCGAGGAGATTGAATCATGGAAGTGGAGCCAGTCGTATGCAGCATTCGGTTTAGAGAGAAAGGTATCATCTTGATACTGTTGAAAGGGGTATGCAGCAAAACAGTCGTTGACACAGCGGTCATGCTCGCCACTTGAATCAATCATCTCTCGCAGGCGATTAATTCCATGTCGTTTTCGTAAATCTGCCACTCCGACAGGAACACGACTGTTGGCGCTGTCAAATCGATCCTGAAAAGAGTCTCTGCCAACTGGGGCATCCGTAAAGCCTGCAGCCTCGGTGAAAACACGATTGATAATCTCACGGACACCACCACGGCTCATCTCCTTGAGAAAAGAGTCACCTTCGGTCGATGCACTCAGAACTCGTTGCTCAAGCCAGGCTCGAGTGAGGCGCAATGAATTAGCACGTTCGTTGCGCAGCTTATGCGCCACCCACTCGGCTGAAACAAGTACACTGCGGATATCACCTTCAGCGGATCCTGAATTTTTGGAGTTGCGTTGTCTCCTGGCTGACAGTCCCCAAGATGCCTCACAGAGTCTTCGAGCAGCATCTCCATCACACGGAATTCCTTCGCGGGTGAAAATGGTTTTGATTCGCTGAACGACATTCTCCAACGGTGCTTGGCGGACATGAATCATTTCAGCAATGGAAGACGCCCTCAATGGTCGCAGACTGGGATGGTATAGATCATTGCAGACAAGAATAAGAGGTCGAAGGAAACAGAAGTTATCTCCCTTGCGTTTCTTGTCAGGATTCTCGCCAGACTTATTCGAGTTTCGCTGGTCAAGCAGTACCAAGTCGATGAGGGCTTTCATGAACCCGCCCTCTCCACCGCTGCCAGCTCCACCAACAACACCATCAACCTCGTCCACCACCACACAGACAGGCTTAGCAGCACGGCGCACCTTCTGCTCGCCAACCTCAACATTGGAGCCCTTGACATTCTCTGTTCCGAGAGCATCCCGAATTCGTCCCTTCACCACATCTCTACTCCGCTCGTCACTGGCATTGATCTCCAGGACTTCATAGCCGGCCTGTCTAGCACAGACATGTGCCAAGGTGGTTTTTCCCAATCCAGGGGGGCCACTCAGCAACAGAACCTTTCGGTGGATGCGCTCATCCTCATCCTCCTTGTCGACCTTCTTGGTTCGAGAACGAGCCAGGCCAGGGAATACGATCGGCTCCCAAGCTTTCAACCACTTCAGTACCGAACGATGAGTGCGTTCGTCGCCAATAAGGTCGGTAAACTTGCGAGCCCGGTACTTTTCGGTCCACATCATGGAATCGATCTTGTTCTGTTTAGCTTCCTGGTCATTCATTTCGATTGACCGTTGGACTGGGGCCGGTCGAGGAAGCTTCGAGGAAATCTTTGTTTCCTTTGCAGCCTCATCCATTAGTCTATGAATATCGATTCCATAATAACTTTTCTTCGCTCTCCCGGGATCTGTTTCGGATCGACTCGCAATGATTTGTTCGTATGAAACAGACGCGCTGGCCTTCTTCAAAGGAATGCGAAACGTCTTCCCATTGCATGTTTTGATTTGGAACGTCTTCGTAGCAGCAGATCGTATTGGCACAGGTGTATCCTCGAGGCTCGGTATCGTCGGCGTAGGTTCAGTTGTTTCCGGTAGAGTCGCAAAGCTTTGTGGCTGGTCCGACAGCACAGGGATGGTGTATGATTCTGGCAAAGCAGTGTCTTGCAACTCAAATTGGCTCATTAATTGGTCATCTCGGAGAGCGGCAAGATCATCGTCCTCATCATCATCGTCGTCGACAAATCCTCCCAAAATCCTTTGTCGTTTAGGTTCAGTTTGTGGGCTTTCGACTTCCGCGGCCTTTCTTTTCTGTGAGTCGCCAGTTGCGGCTGGACCGGGTGATGAAATGAAAGGCATTTTGGGGAAGGGTGGTGAGGAAGGAAAGAAGGCTATATTGCGTCTTGGGGTCACAGTATTCGCTTGACAAGTTGCGACGGATGCTTTAGTCGGGGTATCTAAGAGCACACTCTATCAGAAGTTATTCCTAATGATCATATGCTTATAAGTACCACCAACCAGGGTTTATATCTTCGTCACTTCGAAATACATCAGACAAATTCCAAGCACGGTGCTGGATCACGACTTTGTTACGGGTCTGTTCCTGGCGATTGAGATGAATAGCCTCTATCTCATCTGAAAACGACTCGGAGGGAGGTTGTATGATTTGATGGGAATCTTCGGAGTGGAGATGAAGGGCAGGGTCGAAAGAGGGCAAAAGATTAGGCGATGAGGGAATCATGCAAGCGTCTCAAGGCCATTCTCAATATGAATTAGTTGATTCTGGTTCCCTCTTTGATAATGAGAGAGACGCGCCGACGCGCGCTGGATTACACGCTAAACCCGATTAAGCGATCCACTTCTACATACTAAAATGCACTCTGTACTCTGTAATCCATAGTGTGTGCACTATGCAGCTGTGTGCAGCTATGGCATATGTATATTTTCATCCTAAACAGAAATTGGCTGAGAATAGGGTCTGAGCAGATTTCTTCATGTCAAATCTATGTATAACTTGCAATGATGTTTACTAGGGTTCTCTTGAGTACTCCGTATATTAACCACCACTTAAGTACTGATATCGGATCATCATTAATCCTTCTAAAAGGTACCTAATCAATATAGGCATCCACCTGCATCTGGGGCCTAGAGCCTGATATACCCCTTGATTCATTTAACATTTAAACCCATCTGGTATGCCAATATCTCTTGTTATCATACCTCCTAATATCCCATAATACCATGGTCACCATGGATGAAGGAACCAAAAAGGCTCGCAACCGCATTCTTGGCCAAATCAAAGTGGTCCTTTCAGAGCTTCTACGAAATATCGGTTCATGCACGATGCGAATAGTTGGTGACACTCCAAATAGTGTTCTCGATCATGAAGATCTTTTAGAATCTGTACGCCCATTTGTTTCAGAGGTCGAGGAGTGCATCCGACAACATCACCCAGATGATAAAACTCTTTTTATTGCTGCCAAATTCTGCCTTGGGAAACACTCCTATTTTGTCGTTGACGTTAATAACACCCGTTATAACTATGAAACCGCCCATGAATGCGAGGAATTGACTCCTGTCTATTACCTTCGCCTATCAAGAAGACAGCCCACAATTCTTCGAAAACCACCGCTGGATGCAACACTCTCCAAGATTCTTATGGTAATGCACTATTGGCATGGTCAGGACCCTCTACCTTTATGTGACAACCATTTTGACCCAAATTTTTGCTACCCCAACCCACGCCACCCCGAGAACTCTGCACAAGAAGATTTGAGTACATGGACCTGATTCGCGATTTTCAATGTTTACAATGACATGTATCTGAAGATCACCCTGTTTAATGCCCAAGGATGTCTGTCGGGGGAGGGCTGGATCAAGTCTATAATATTTACGCTCCTCCACATGTGCATATATCGCTCTCTTCGCCCTCCACTGGCAGCTTTAAACGTGACGAATGGAAAGAAACCTGGATATGGGAGAAAAGAACTTTAAGGGCATTTGTTTCAAGTTGTTTGTAATATGAGTTTGGCGAGGTTCAAGTGACACATGATCATATGTACATAGTTCAAGTTGAGTAGTCCGACATGAAACAGAGCACTTGAGAAGACAGCACTACATAGAGCCCTGGAGTACATACATACACATGAGATATACCTTGGTACGTACTATACCCAACATTGAAGATTTCCACCTATACCAACTTGAGACAACTTGAGAGCTTCGGAAATGACGATATCGCTCTCTATCCACATAAAACAGATTTACCCGTCAAAAGACGCTTCACTACTCGATGGTGTCGGTACATGAGTGTGGTGTGGGCATCTTCCTGTGTTGGTCTCGATAGAAGTGACTTGTGTGGGGTTCCCAGTCGCCGGAGTACAGTTCCCTGCGCAGTTGTTCGCAGGCCCAATCCTCACGGCTTCAGACAAGCATCCACAGAGTTGAAAAAATGTCTGCGACCAATGACACATCTGTCGCGGGTATTAGTGTGTATCCAATGCTGGGCGCTTTAGTTTGTATGAACATGCCTTGCTGAATTGCTCTTGGGGTTTATCGACTCGGAGTCAAAAATTGATAGGTCAAACTTGAAGGTACCTCGCCAGTAAATTATACCTAGGTATAAGGATGGAGATAATCCAAGTTGGGTTATAGAAGGAACTTGAAATAAGGGATCATGGTTATGGACATGGATCCATCCTTATATAGATAAATAGCAGTTGAGCCTCACTGGCACTGCCCACTGGCAGGTGGCAAGCACTCGATCAGTGACAATACCGAGGGAGGACTCTCTTCCCCGATTAAACCTTGCTAATTATTTTAGCAGCCCGAGCGCATGAGCTAAGGGGAACCAAGGGGCCAGCAGCCACAGGATCTGAGCCTCGTTATCTCAAGGAAAAAAAGGAACTGACAGCCAACCATTCGGAGAGGGGCCTCGCCGTGTCAGCGCACTCTCATTGTGATTGACAGGCATGGGTTTTAGCACAAGGCAGAATTGCCATAGCTGTGTGAGTTGCAGGGGATCGCATAGGCAGCCAACCATTCGCAGCAAGTTCTATTGGATGCTCACACATTTACCGCAGCTTGTGGCTGCAGGACGCGGAATCTATTTCCAACAGGAAGCCCTTATCACATCCCATAAAAGGAGAAAATTGGGGCTGGCAACGGGGTCTGATTCTCTCGGTCCTAAGAATGAGTTGGCACTTAACAGGGATCTCGCTGGATGAGCGCATTTTCGTTGGCAATGATTGTGTTATTTAAATAGATGATCCAACAGTTGGCGGCAAGTTCCAAGATTTTATTGAGGCACTCAGCAATGTGGCGTGGCAGCCGCAGCTTTCCCCGTTCGATATCTCTCTGAGGGCACTGCCCTACTAGGTAGTAACCTCTTAGCCTTCAAGTTCTAGGTGCTCTAGTCCCGCTCCGCAGATAAGTACCATCGCTACCCTGATTTGTCGAAGGGAAAAATGACAAAATAGGTAACCCGGGGCCGTTTATCAGCCTCATGTCCATGCCGCAGCCTAAAGCTTGTCCATGTCTCAATTGAACCAGGACTATATCACGATATTTGATTATTTTCAAATAGGGGGAACCTAATATGAGCATCAAGATACTACTAGTAGTTATACTAATGGATACTAGAAGGCAGTCATAATAGGTGTTATATTGCAAATTGACTGGGCCGGAGCAACTCCAGTCCTCTTCGGTGGTATACTGTACGATTCATAGAACATACAAAACAAAAGCTCCCAACCTGCTCAAATGGTCATGGAAAAGAAAAAAAGAAAATACAGTAATCGCCCAGATTTTATCCCTCTAAGCACTCTTCAGCTTCTCGGTCAACTCAGGCACCTTCTCAAACAAATCACCAACCAGACCAACATCAGCAATCTGGAAGATAGGAGCCTCAGGATCCTTGTTAATAGCAGCAATAACCTTGCTGTCCTTCATACCAGCCAAGTGCTGAATAGCACCAGAGATACCAGCACAGAGGTAAAGCTGAGGAGCCACGTTCTTACCAGTCTGGCCAACCTGCAGACTGTTATCGGCGAAGCCGCTGTCAACAGCAGCGCGGGAAGCACCAATAGCGGCACCCAGTGAGTCGGCCAGGGGAAGCATGATACGGTCAAACTCCTCCTTCGACTTCAGACCACGACCACCAGAGACAACACGGTTTGCGGTGGCAAGGTCGGGACGCTCAGACTTGGCCAGCTCCTCGGACACCCACTCGGCCAGTGCGGGGGAGTTGGAGTCAACACCATCCACAATCTCAGCGGAGCCACCCTCGGTCTCAACGTCTTGGAATGCGGTTCCTCGCACAGTGATCACTTTAATGTTGTCACTGGACTGCACAGTCAAAATGGCGTTACCGGCGTAGATGGGACGGACAAAGGCTGTATATATGTTATTAGCACTCCACCTGATCACATGTCAAATCGGAAGTTTGTATTTTGTAGCGGGCACGTACTGTCTTCACTCTCGATTCCGGTAATATCTGAGACCTGCTGAACGTCCAAAAGAGCAGCCACGCGAGGGAGTACGTTCTTGCCGAAGGCTGAGTGTCCAGCGACGATGTGAGTGTATTCGCCCTTCTTGATGTTCTCAACGAGGAGAGGGGCGTAGTTTTCGGGAAGGCCCTACAAATAAAAAAAATATATCTTGTTAGACTCAAATCTCCCTATAAAGCATCCATGACCTCGGGAAGTGAATAATCACCTTCTCATAAGCATCGCTCTCCACCGCGACAACCTTGTCAAGACCCTTAATCTTAGCTGCCTCGGCGGCAGATGTTCCCTTGACACCAGTACCAGCCAAGAAAGCCGTCACTGGGCCACCGAGCTTCTGTGCAGCCGCAATTGCGGAAAGAGACGAGCTTTGCAGCTTGCCATCACGTTGTTCGAGGACGGCGAGGGTCGAGAGAAGGCGAGCCAGCGCCGAGGTCTGGTTCAGCGATCGAGTAGGGTGGATCTGTGAGCGGACAGCCCGCAGAACAGATTGTCTAGCGATAGGAATCATGATGGTGGTTGTGGAACAGACGTTATTCTCGTTGTTCTCAAGAAGTTTGAGATCTCGGCGATCCGCGGTGATGTGAGGAAAGTGGTTATCATCGGACGCCAAGACCCGCCCTCCCGAGGTCGGACTCGGTTAATGCAGGCAACATATAGCCTGATTTACAAAGCACGAGATAAATGACGTGTGAAATAGCTTCAATTATAGAGATATGGCTATTCTATAATATATTTCAACCAGTTTTTGTTAATTTGCATGTGATATATGAACTACAGTGTCAAAAGTCTTCAGAAATAAAAAAGAAAACACGTGATATTTTGTACGCCGAGAATACCTTTACATGCAGAACATTATCTAGGTAGAAACAAATAGGTAAATCACAATCATGAAGTAGACTTCTTCTTCTTCTTATCCGCCTTGGGGGCGACAACAGGCTCTCCATCCTCAAGGGCCTTGGCCTTGAGCTGTTGGAGCTTGTTTTTCCGTGCCGCTCCCGAGGAAGCCTCCTCCTCATCATCAGCAGACTTGGACTTCTTGGTCTTCTTGACCTCGATGGGCTTCTCCTCGCCAAGAGACTTGCGCTTCTTGTTGTTGCTGTTCTTTCCCTCGATGGCGGAGGTTTCGGCCTGTTCCACCACATCGGCATCCTCTACCCAAAGTTCACTGGCCAGCCAGATGGGCATCGCCATGGTGTTGGCGCCCTTAACGTGAAGAGCCTTGATATTCCTCCAACCCTTGGAGATAAACTTATCGGTCATACCCTGGACAGTGGCGGCAATGTTCTCAGACAATTGCTCAGCGGTGAACTTGGAAGAGCCAACACGGATGGCAGCAGTAGTGGAAGGTGCAAGGTGCACAGCGGCGCAAGACAAAGTGCGCTCAATCTCCTTAGCAACAATGAGGGGAGTAGCAAAAGCGGCGCTCTTGTCCTCCTTAGCAGGCTTCTGCTTGGCGTCCTTCTTCACACGCTTTCCATCGACCTTCTCGATCTCGGCAATACGGATAGGAATGGGGCGTTTGCTGGACTTGTAGAAGACCTTTCCGAGGGTAGGCACCAAGCGAGTGATAATGCGGTCATCAGCGAGGAAAACATCGTGCTCAGCCAGTAGTTGGCGACGGCTCTCGAAACTCTGGTAGCGGGCCTTGAGCTTGCTGAAGCCAATAACTTTGTCGATGCGGGAGGAAAGTTCTTTGGGGAAGGTGGGGTCGGCAACGATATCCTTGACGCCGCGCTGAGGGTCGGCGGTGATCAAACAGATGCTGAGGGAAGGCGACGAGTTGAGGGAATGAGGGAGGCTGATCTTTCCAGGCTTCAGGCGGTTCTTATCGACCACGTGCTTCTTGGTGGTCATGATAAGCCAGACGGCTTCATTGTTGACGGGGGTCTCCTCATCATCGGAGTCGTTGTCACCAATCAGGGTCTTCTTGGTCGCAGACTTCTCCTTCTCCTCCTGGTTGGACTTGATATGGCGCAACAGCGCGGAGGAAGCTTTGGTGACCTAATTTTAATTAGTATGTGTCCGATTGAATTTTGAGGGAAATGAATACAGACCTGGGGCTTATCCAGCTGGTAAGGTGAACCAGAAGTCACCTTCGTTGTGAGTGTAGTAGAGGAAGTCATCTTTGCGGGTTCAAATGTTGTAGATTCGACTCCGACTCCAATTTTTCGGCGACGCTATCAAAGACCAAAAAAAAAAAATTCCTCAGGAAGGCGGTGGCAGTTTGGGCTTGGCAGTCGAGACCCCATATGTGCCTTGATGCCTTATTCATTATCATCACGTGTCTATATGTTTATCTTATCGGTTTCTTATCTCACGATTCAAGATCGCATCTGAATCTGAGTCCACGATGATACATAGAATAATTCATCCCAAATCGATATTTTGTTTCATCCATTCTTTTCAAGCTGAATGATTATGATCTTCAAGAATGAACCATTGACGTCGAGTGTTCAACATTTGAACATTGCACATGTGTGAACTTCAAGTTAAGCCTTAGAAATTGCCAGGGCCCAGGGCCCGCATTTTTTGCATAATACATATATAAACTTGAGTCCGCCCGGGCGTAGATGTACATCTACCAACCCACAGGACTTACTAGTAGTAGCCCGTGTGCATCATGATGTGTATGCAAGCCCGAATTTCCCAGGACTTCAATTCAATTTTGCATTTACTATTTTTAAACTGTAGACATTTCAAATTTGAGTCAACATCCTTGGAAAGATCCAAATATTAATCCAATTTGAAGCTCTCCAAGTCAACTGGTTGCAGCTCGGACTTGTGGCGGAGCCGTGTCCCACATCAGCTGCAAGTCAACTACCGGTGGAGACATCTGGACGTTTCAGACTCGGAATATGTATTTTGAGTGCTTCCAAGGTTGAGAACATCGGAGCCTGATTATATGAAACTGTCTTGGATTCTCAATAATCCCGCAAGGGCAATGCCCAGGTGCCCAGAGTTGTGGCTTCGCCTAGATGGATTACTATTAATAGTGTTGCGTTTGGATGGACTTCAGGGCATGTGCAGAGAAGCATCGAAGAGCCTTGGAATATTTGCTCTCAGTTGTATTTGAATCTTTGATCTTAATTTTACCGATGAACAATTTCCAACATTTCAAGTTCAAATTCCGCCGTTTCCAACTTGAATGTTCAAATGTTTGTAAGTGTTTGTACTCCGCATGGCTCCCGTGACTTGACAGTCCGTGCAGACCAAGAGCTCGGCATATCCACATCTGCACATTGAGGCAAAGTTGCCGATTAAAGCACTTTGAGTGGAGGATTGGAGTTGAGATTGACATTGAATTAAATGGCATATGATATTTAACACGCTATTATGCGCCCACTGGAGTCTATGGAGTCCAACTTGAAATCTTCAATACTCGTACTCGTACTTCGTACAGCTTATCGCGATCTAAAGATCCCCTGGGAGCCTCCCGGACCACAAGGGGACTGGGTTGCGCCTAGCATCACTAGTTTAGAGTGCCACGCAAGCTGCTCTCCACAGCCCCCAGATTGGACCCCCAAGGCGTTCGATCAACACGGACTGTTCAGTATGGAGTACAGTACTTGACTCAGGAGACAGGTTGGCTTCGTGGTAGTAAAATCATTATAACCAGGTATTTCAATGTTTGTAGTGGATTTTGATCAGAATGAATTGGCTATCTGGTGATAATACTTCTCCTTTGTTTGTTTTGTTATAAGTATGAATTAGTCTATGATGCTGGTAATTATTCAATGTTTGCAAGCGCTGTACAGAGTAAGCAGCATGAGTTGTGGTCGCACTACATGGCCAGAGTAGGAATCTCAACTTGAAGTGCTCCATGTTAATTTAATATCCGTACCCGTAATGACGGGACTTGAACCGAGCGGACCCTAAATGACTTGGAGCATGGAACTTTGTATTGGCAACTTCAAGTTGAACAAACAGAATTAATGACTCGGAGGTTGCACACCTATCCCGACCAAGCAGTGTTACGGCGTTATACTCTGTAACGAGTAAGAGTCCAGCTTAATTTGACAATTTGGCATAGGATGAAGCGGTGAAATAAGATGTGGATCGACAAGACTGACCAAGGTCTTAGCATGTCTATCACCATTTCCAGTGTGACAAAACTGGTATTCAGATTACCGGATGATGCAGGTACAGAGGCGAAAAAAAGACCCCAGGGAACTAGAGTGGGCCAGTGCGCCACGTCTGGAGAAGACCGAATCTTTTAATTAAACCAACATTTTGAACTGTTCGAAGTCGTCATCTTAGGTGGATCTTGACCCTTTAGGGTCCTGAACCCTTCCTACTTTGGTGAGGAAGAAGGCTCAGACCAAAAAAGGCAGAACTGAATTTTGTGTGGTAGAAGAGATGTTGGGGATGAGCTGTTTGTCTTTCCCCTGCAGAGGGCCGAGGCTTAGCTGTCAGGGTGGGGGGAAGAAAAGGGTCAGTGATGATATAGCCCCCTGGCGTGTGATCATCAGAGTAAGATTAGCCTTCAAATATTGCGGAAGATGATGGACATGAGTATAACGGTCTTCTTGTTTGCATGGAAAAGCAAAAGAAATTCTGTTAAGAGAAAGTTCAATAGAGTGAATTCTCTTCAAAGAGGAAATGCCATCAGTGGTGAGTACATTGATGGTACCCATGGATACGCGAAGAATGGGCAGATTTAATATAAAATGATTGGTGTACCTGAAAATCAACCCCACATAAGATTGAAGAAGAGATTGATTGGCTTGAACCCCTGATATATTAATTTCACCAAACAAACAGATCATTATTTTATTATTTTATTCTAGAGATGAATTATAGTATAGTTAATAGGGTAGAGATACGAATGATCATCATATTAATCATACCATAATAAAATTATAAATAAAAATATACATATAATACATAAAATACTTATAATACTCATAAGAGAGAGTACCCCTTTTTGACCCTGCAGTTGATGTGGGGCGTAATGTAAATTGCGGAAACCCTGTTCCTCCCTACTGTGGTGCTCTCCCTAACTGTGGTCCCTGGTCCCTGCTCTCCCTGTGTACTTCCTACTTACTCTCCCCTCTTTCTTCCCCCTTCTTCTCCAGCCTCACCTCGTGTTTTCCATCCGACCTGAGAGATTCATTCTCTCTATTACGTTCATTTGTATCTGGAAAGCATCTCGTCACTCTCTTTAATTCCCAAACAATTTCCAAGGTTCACTTTTGTGTACAGCCCATTTACGCACGCGACTGGCTTGCTGTGATTTGATGTACGTTCAATCTGCATACACAAGTGGACTAGATCTGGGTCCCTACACATCATCAAGGTTGGGATGGAATAAAAAACACGTCCGAACTCCATTGATCAAGATGCGACGGTCACCAGGCTCCGAGGGACAAGATGCGACAGTTCCTCGAAGCCTGGTGCCATATGCGATCGATCCGTCGCATTCACGCATCCGCCATTCACGCTCGAATCCACCCAGATCTTTACACGACAATTTAAAGTATCACCCCCACTAATCAATTCTCTATAGAACTTACAATTTGACTCGTTTCTCCAATCGCAATGAAGTTCAACTCTGTTGCCCTGACCCTGGCCTCCGCTGGCATGGCGGCCGCCCATGGCCACCACGGTCACGCCCGCTTCCACCAGCGTGCGGTGGATGCTGAGACTGACCCTGCTGCCGCCGCTGACCCTGTCGTCTATGAATTCGTTCTTTATGACCCTTCTCATCCCGACTCCCCTGAGAAGCTCAGCCACGCCGCTGCTTGCGATGGTCTTGCTGATGACGAGTACGAGTGGCTCGATGCTGCCGTCGCCGCTGCTTGTGCTACAAGCACCTCGACATCTGTGACCCCTACATCCACCCCGACCCCTACCTCGACCTTTACTCCCGAGGTGCTGGTCCAGACCTCTGCCGTCATCTCTAGCTCCTCCTCCAGCTCCGTCATCTCCACCAGCACTGTGACTCCCAGCTCCACTAGCTCCGCAGCTCCTGTCGCTAGCAGCTCCAGTGTCAGCTCCAGTGTCAGCTCCGGTGCTACCGGCATCGATGCTGATTTCCCCGATGGTGAGATCAGCTGTTCCGATTTCCCCTCCGACTACGGTGCCGTTGCTCTCGACTACCTCGGTCTCGGTGGTTGGGCCGGTGTCCAATACGTTAGCATTGTCGACGAGCTTGTTAGCGATATTGTTACTGCTATCTCTGGCGAAGGCTGTACCGATGGTGGTATGTGCTCTTACGCCTGCCCTGCTGGATACCAGAAGAACCAGTGGCCCTCCACCCAAGGTTCCACTGGCCAATCCGTTGGTGGTCTCAAGTGTGAGGGTGGCAAGCTCTACCTCACCAACACTGAACTCGGCAACACTCTTTGCATCCAGGGTACTGGTAACGTCTTTGTCCGTAACGAGCTCGGTGATGATGTCGCCATTTGCCGTACCGACTACCCCGGTACCGAGTCCGAGACCATTCCTCTTGCTGCGTCTGCTGGCGGTACTCACGACCTGACCTGCCCCAACAGTGCCACTTACTTCCAGTGGGAGGGCAAGGCCACCTCCGCTCAATACTACGTCAACAACAAGGGTGTCTCCACCGAGGATGGATGTCAGTGGGGCTCTAGCTCTGAGACCATGGGCAACTGGGCCCCCATGAACTTCGGTGTCGGATACACTGATGGCACCACCTACCTGTCTATGTTCAAGAACGAGCCTACCACCGATGCCGATCTGAACTTCAAGGTCAAGATTGTTGGTTCCGGCCTCAGCGATGAGTGCAGCTACGATGGTGAGGGAAACTTCTACAACAGCGCTGGCAAGATTGCCAGTGGCACCAACGGTTGCACTGTAAGTGAACCACATCAATATTCCAATATTCCAATTCTCCAAAGACTTGTACTAATTACCACTTGTCTTCTAGGTCGGCTTCTCCACCGGCACCGCCTACTTCGTTCTCTACGAGTAAGCTCCCCACTGATTCCTGGGTCCCCGGAACCCCGACAAATACGATGTCCAATGGAATCCCATGATTCTCTTTTCCAAATTGCCCTGTTGAGATCGGTTCAAGGGCCCTCCTTGAGCCTCTATCTACTGTTATTCTGTTCATATTATGGTTTGCCACTTGAAGGGTTGCTTTCTTCTATGTACCTTACATTTTTTATTATTCTTGCCTTGACGTGGGTTCTTCGGGGGAAATTCCATACTTGTTATTTTGTTTTCTTTCTTACCCAGGCGCGTCTTTCCAGGAATTCTCGTGGGAATTCGTTGCTTGATTTATCCAGTACCTCAAGTGGAACCAATCTTGATCTTTCAATCTATCCTTTGTCCGCTTTAGCATTGTTTGACTTGCAACGTGATATGTCTTCATTTTTCTCTGGCCATTTCGTCTGATTTTTTGCTTGCTGTGTAAGAAGTATTGCTTTGCCAGTTATATGATGTACTACTCGTGGATAACACCATCTGGGCAACACAGCAATCAGCCATACCATACATAGCGAAGCCTCAATGGCGACCTCAAATACACTCAAGCTCCTTTTTACTACTTTAAACTTGATTTTTGAGCTTTCCAGATTCATGATTCCAAACATGCTTCCAAGGTACTTTTGATCAATGGCACACATCATCTACCATCCCTAACATTTACTGCATCATTAACTCTTACCCGATCTGTAGTTCCCTTCCTGTTCTGACAGCACCTCGGCACAGCAAGCCCCTTCCCAATATATTCATTCGGGTCAATCTCCAAAGGGTTATATTTGTTTGCATATACACCTGCATCGTCTTCAAGTTCAACGATGTTAATCTGTAAGACTTCTGGATTGGTGTCATCGGTTGGGACAAGATGGTAAAATGTAACTCCATAGTAATCAATCATGCTATAGTACACAGGTATCAGTATAGGCTATTGAAGAAATAATCATGTAAGAGAATAAGTTACTCTTTTGGTCTGGCCTCTACCAACCAACCTTTGTATTCATCCCGCACTACCATATCCTCAGCGACATTCGGCCGTACATTTCGGTTATAGATTGCCCGAAACGCTAGCTCCGCTAGCTTGGGACCACCAGGCAAAGGAAAGCTGTGGGGGACGTGCCATGAAACCGCTGGAAGAAGCTTCTGAAGAACTAGCAAAGGACTTTCGATTTGGAATCGAAGTGGTTGCTCTGCTGAAGGGAAATGGAAGCGGTGAGGGGGGTTTACAAGGCATGATGATGGGATATGGAGAGGAAGAGCAGGTTGATCTGAGGGATCAAAGCAGTGGATAGAAAAACTGTGAGTAGAGTTGGTGAGGCATGGGATGTCAGAGAGAGCCATCGTGTGGGAAAGTGTGTTGCTCAATGGTTGAAGTGGTGTCAACGCGACAGGAAACTCCGTCCTTGACTTAGCGTAAGATGCCATACATACATGGCAGCCGGACTTGATATGTACAGAATCTCAGGTGGTGAGAAGATTTGGTGGACGTCGTCAGACTCGTCACATTTCAGCCGCTTTGCTTGGATCAAGTGGTGTCCTGACACATGTGCATAATTAGTCTTTCATGGGTCTATGTTAAGAACCATGGGGTCGTGCTGATGATGCGAAAAGGCCGAGGCTGAAGACTCGGAGGAGGAGCCTTGGATAGGACTGGCCATGGTGGTTCGAGACTAGTGAATTTAATCAACTGTCAGTAGTTAGTCCAATGTTTTGTTTACCCAAATAACTGTAGCCACTGACACGCGACAACCGTCTCAAAAGTTTGAAACAAACTCCAATATCTTATCTATTTCCACTTCATATCCTTCCATTGTTTACCATATTTTTCATCCGCACATCATACATGTTTCATTCGGCTCAAAATTCATTCCAACCTTCCATCCATACCTACAGTATCAACTCTCGAGTTCAGATCATATCAACTCCCATAATGTCCAACACGAAGCTCCCAAGCATGCGTTCCATCTTCAGCGACGTGATCCTACCAATGCGAGACCCTTACATGACCCAGATTATTAAAGGCGTGAAGAACTACGAGTTTCGAAAATATCGCCTGAAAGCCAGCGTGAAACGAATTTGGCTTTACCGGACCGCTCCCCATTCCAGCATCACACGTGTTTGCGAAATACTCCCAGCCCGGACACGAAATCCCGGAGATCTTCCACTAGAAAAAGATGGACTCGGCGATTCGGAGTTTAAGAAAGACATAAAGACTGGGATGGCTACGACTATGCCTATCAAATTGTGACTGTCCTTGGGCTGCAACGACCGATACCACTGAAAGAAATGAAGGCCAAGCATGCCTTCAAGTTGGCTCCAAGAGGACTGGTTTATCTCCCGAAGACAATCAATGAAAGTGTTGTGTTGGAAGATCAGAAAGTGGTAGGAAAACCACTCCATCAACTTGTTGACTCCACTCTAACAGGAAGGTAGTTACTGGACAGGAGATGAATTTCGAACCCATTCGGAGTTTGGTGAAAATTGATGCTTTCTATTTGGCAGAAAAACCATGTGTCATGTCACAACTTTTCAAGGTTATCAATATGGTTTCTCATGCAGTTCCCTGTTTTCTTTTTCGACATACCGCAAAATGAGCTGAAGAAGCACGTTCCAAATAAAACCACTCCATTGTTGAACGTTCCCCTGGCTGAGATTCATACTGAATATGGTAAACCATTCATAATGTTTCCAATGAAAATATTTTCCTTTATTTGTGGCTACTAGTAGTGACCCTACGAGAAATTCTTAAAATCTGATAGATGAATCAATTAATGCATTCAGGTGTCTGAGTACAACGAGAAAGATCAAGATTGTTCTCTCATTTGAGTTGCTTAACTACTGAGTCTCAACCAAAGGAACCCTTTTATGGACTATTCCAAGCGATAGCTTCTGGTCCTCAAAGAGAAGGTGTAGATAATGCAAGCTATAGCCCCTAAAAAGTCTGTAGGGTTCATCAACCCAGTGTTCAATCTCGCCCCACAGAATCGAGAGGTCCCTTCCCTCCTCCCTGAGGACTCGGTAACTAAGCAGGTACTCTTGGCCGGCCTTCTTCAAGTAGTCGTATGCCTTTTGCTGCAGGTAGAGTGACTTTGACACTTTGGAGCCCGACCAGTCCGAGATAAGAGGGGTGTAAACAATCAAAATTGGCTTTTGAAGGAAACGCCAGAGCAACTGTCGACTAGTATTGATATTGTATAAGCCGAATTATGGAAAGCACTTCAAGTTGAGTTTCAATGGAAGTAGCCCTGCCCAGGTGGAGGTATTGAGGACTAACCTTGGAACATTTGAATACAGCACAAGATTTGAATGTAGTATATACAGGCTACAGCAGCATCCATGACCAGAATCATGATCTTCCGAGGTTTCAACATTGGAGTTGATTCTTACCTACTAGTCAACTGGTTTATATGACACCATTTTGTTTGAATTAAGATTACCGCGCTAGCGGAATACAGGACAATGAGGTATCGAACTAATACTTGTAGTGTTCAATTAACACCCTCCACCAACAATACTAGTATAACATGAAGCCAAGATTGAGAGGCGGTGTGGAAAAGAGCAGTCCGGTGGTATAAATAGGGAGCATGGTTTCAATTATTGAATCTGCTACTGCTACTAGTCCCCAGGGGCCTTCTTCAAATATTGAAGTGACAAAGTCTTTGCATTTTCCATCAAAACATCACCCACCTAAGCGGTCAAGTTTATCATCATTTCAGGAGCACTGGCATTCGCCTACAAAATCATACGTCATGATACTTAGCGGACGCGAAGTCGTGGCCCGTAACATGGTGCGCAACTTACAACATGTCGCACAACAGCGACAGCCATGCGGTGTCGACCTTAGCCTACGCCTGGTTTCCCAATGGTCCTCAGCGGCTAGCATTGACTTCGATAATACCAATCGCCAGGCAGCCCAAACTTCTAGCCTGCCTTTCGACAATACCAGTCACGCAATCACCCTGAAACCTGGAGCATATTTAATTGATTTTAACGAAATTGTTCATGTGCCACGAAATTGTATGGGAAGTCTTTTTCCTAGATCGTCACTCTGGCGGTCTGGTGTTGGGATTGCTGCTGGGGTGGTCGACGCTGGATACGAAGGTGCCATGGGAGCCTTGCTGGAGGTGAAAAATCCCAATTGAATTATCCTTTACCGAAATGCCAAGCTCACGCAGATTGTATTGAGGAATTGGGGGAAACTGTTGAGGGATACAATGGTATCTACCAATCCTCGACGAGCAGTGCTGGGCGCGACGGGGCGTCTAGTTAGTTAGTTCTTTATGTTCTTAACGGCCAATGACCTGTTGGAAGCCTTGGCATTGGCATTATATCGGTCTTGCAACAGATTCCAGAAGTGCCCACAGCACTTGGGGTATTTTCATATGAACCGGGCGTGCCAATTACCAGTGAAAACCTTGGAAGCCCTGGAGGCTGATCATTATACCCCCAAGCAAATTGGAAACATCACAATTGTAATATCGAAGTTTAGCGAGAAATTCAAGAAAACAAATATCATTTATGGACACAATCCTGTGGATTGAGACTATCCAGATGTCAAAATAAGACACCATCTTTCAGCGAGCTCTAGTGGTCGAGCCCAGTGGAATAACCTTCCAAGGTTTAGACCTGCCGCCAAAAGTTTGACGTTGACTTCTTCTTTCATCACTCTTAATGATTTGTACAGGAATCTGTAGAGTGAAGTCATATCACCATTTAGTCACTTCTACCACAGACTAAACTGATGACCTCCACCAACAACTAAAAAGTATTGTCGCAGTTGCGACCGGAGTCGACCAAGAGCCATCAAAATTGAAAGTTTGCTCCCCATCCATTCAAATGTCGCCACACCAAGGGCTATCACCCGGAGAGAGGACCAGTGAGCTCCGTAGAAGGTACCAGGAGAATGGTTCTCAAAAAATAGCCTTACGAGTTCCAGTCCGTCCATGTAAAGACCGCGACTGTTCAAGTTGTCGGAATAACATTTGAACCAAGGCCGCGTATGGAGTAGGAAGACATTAAATACAATATGTCCCGTCAATTGGATTCTTCGGCACCAGGTGTACAATCATATCTAATTCAATCTGACCAGTCGAGTCACCACAAAGTACATACAATGTCAAAGCGACTCGATCTGCAGGGAGTGCAAAGTCCAAGTTCAAGGCAGTATAACATAGCGACTGGAGCAAAAACAAATGTTACCTACCTGTGTCATTATAAGACGGATGTGCTTAGGCTCCAGGTATGTAGTTCAATGTTGGTTTTAAACCCGGAGAATCCAATATTAAGTCACGCAAAGAATCAATGACTAATTTCTTTTGAGTCCTCGAAGAAGTGTTGAGCATGAGACGAGAGCTAGCCATTGCGATATCTCGAGTGCTATTGAAAATTAACCACTGGATAAAGAGGATCATTCCAAGTGATATATGAGCTAGGTGCTACCTGGCCTGGGAATCGAAGAAGAAATAATAGATACAGATGGAGTCTAGTATTTTCCATATGCTGTAAAATCAATGTTTTGAGCGATATCGGACTTCAAGAACATACTGAAGTACTAATGGCCCTGCATTGAAGACAAGAGAGAATCTGGTGTCCAGCCATCATCAATCAAAAGTGCATCATTGTCATTGCCAATGCAGTAAAGCAAGTTGAGGAGGCATTTCTCAACTCCCTGGCGCGCTTCAAAACTCAGCATGCCCAGAACCTGTACCAAGTCCATGACATAAGTTACCTTGGAATGTCCCTCATTTGAGAGCATTGTAAGGCTTTCATACAAGATAGAGCGTAATCTGAGGATTGAGGATCTCCACTCGTGCTCGGAGTCCCTTAATAGGCTTTCCAAAAATTCGAGTGGGTTCAAATGAGGAAGTGTTATTGAATCCTGGCCGGACAGAGTGCATATTGATTCCTGAACAAGGACACTGATTGCAAACAAACATCCCGAAATTTCTTCGTACCAATTCATATTGTGAGGGTCATTGGAAGAAAGATTGCCTGAGAGCTGGAAGCTTTGGCGTAAGAGGCCCACCGCGGCATGAGTGAAGGGAAAGGTAGATAGTCCTCCACTAGATAGAGAGCCCATGAAAGTTCTCATATCTTGTATGAATGATATTAACCAAAGACAGCGAACTTTTTGAACATCGAGAGAAGCGGTTTGTTGCAGGGATGAGGCAGAGAAATGAGGACGGGAGATTCGTTCAAGGTCATTCTTCCCCTCAAACCATGAAGGCCGAGACATCAGGGACACACTAGAATTAATCAGAACGGTCGCTATACCCAAAGACGAATTTGCAGACTGATTTTTGCTTACAGGTAGACTACGAGCTCCAAGCGCCAATTTCCATGGAGCGCTTGGACTCCACCCTTGGCATCAATCATCCCTTGCAATCCAAGACGGTGTATTTGCCAATTCTCCACTATACCCCAGTATCGCTAATTGAAGCAAGTTAGAGTTGTGTTTCTCGAAAGCATTTGCGCCTAGCCAACATACTTCAAATGTGAGTAAGCGAACAACAGCAGCAAAAGCGTCATCACTTAGCGCCTTTTCAGAATCATCAAGCCATATGCGCAAGATCTTGACAGCCTCAGCTTTATACTTCAAAGCATCGGTAGACTTTGTACCTCGTTGTGGGGGTGTACCAGCGTAAAGGTGAGAGATATGGGCAGCTGAATGCGCCATGATGCAATTGAATGATGAAGCGTTCGAGAGGTCCAGCGGGAACCAAACATCCCTCATTGGATTAAATCCCGTGACGCCCAGATCTTCAAACATCATGGTAGCATGAGTAAGAATCCCTGTAACCTGTTATGAAAGTCCCACAAATATGAATCGAGTCTTCGTACGCACAGTGGTGCAGAAGCTTCTGGTGCTGAGTTGTCAAATGAACGGGGCATGTCTGAAACGGGTCGGTCTTGGAATTTGCCAGTGCAAAGTTCATGCCACACAGTAACTGAGCCGGAATGCCTTGTTGATTTTCTCGACTTTGTTGGTTGTTGTCTGAACCCGTCGTACCTCCAGTTCGCTGGAAGCTTGAAGGACTACTGGTCCCTGATGTCGAAGACGCTTCGCCATGCCCTTCTTTCAGGCGTGGAAGTAGACTTCGGGATGGTCTCTTCCCATGAGATGCCTTTGACTCCTGGTTACGGCGATGTCGCCTTTTCCAGTGTTCTCTCATAGCTTGGCTCCGCGCTTCCGATTGTGTTTCTTCCGTCACGAACATGAACTGAGCCGCCCCGTTTGAGCCGCTGGAAGGCCGTGGAGACATTTTTATCTTCGATATTTCATTGTGCACGAAGATTTTCTGATTCAGTAGCCAGGCTAACAGGCTTGACTCCAAGTTTGGAACAGTATCGGGGTCATTTAAATCCCTTGTATCCGACAGACTCGAGAAAGGATTGAAAGAGACGGTGAAGGAAGAGGATAGAACAAGGATGATCACCTGATCTGCACCAAATTCCCATAGCACTCATTTCCAGTATGCATAATAGACCAAAATTTAAAAATGGATGGTCAGTGAGTCAGGTCATTCAGGTGGGTATGACAGTTCGTCACTATCCCGAGAAGAGGTCGCAAGTGGGGGCCATGTAACACCCGTTATCTGCCGTAGATGAGGTGGCTTGTCACAGACTCACAGCCACATTCCAAAGTTACTGAACATTTGAAGGGAATCGATAATTATGGAATGTCAATTAATGATAAACTTAAGCTGATAAGTCCAACGAAAAATTGTCAATAAACAAAATATCGAGTTGAGTACTATTCCGTGAACAAGGCAAACACAGGAAGTGCAGAAGATAAAAGAAGAAAAATAAAAAGGAACCATCATCTAAGTCTCACGCGGCCTTGATCTCTGCTTCAGTTCGCTCCTCCAATCTTGAAGAAAGCTTTTTGTTGACGCGACTGAAAAGGTCTATACTTCAAGTCAGAAATTTACTCAAGTAGACTCTCTCGATTCAATGATCTGCTTACCGTAAACAGCCTTGCGCAATTCGGGATACTTGACACCTTTCACACTACCAACAAGATTCTCAATAAGCCTCTCTTGATGACCAGGCTCTCGGCCAATAACCTCCCACAGTTGAGCAGGTTGAACAAAGTCGGCATCGGTGATCTCGCTAGTATAGGCCGTGACCTCGCCCGTCCACATGTCATGCTCAGTTTGCTGGCTCAACGATTGTGGAGTTGTTCCCTTCACATCTTGATAGAACTTGGTAGGCTTGATCGAGGATCCAACGTAATTAGGGTCCCCGCCATAGTTATCGTCAATTCGCATCTTTCCATCCCTTTGGAATGGGCAGTAGACTTGAGCCTTGGCGGCATTGGTAGGGAGTTGCTGGTAGTTTACGCCAAGTCGGTACCGGGCGGCGTCTGGGTATGCGAATAGTCGTGCTTGCAATACTGAGTAAATTTAGCAAGAGAAATTATTCAGAAAACAACGCAAAGTCAACTTACCTGGATCGGCTGATGGAGCAAATCCTGGCACTATCGTTGATGGTGAGAAGGCGGCTTGTTCGATATCCGCAAAATAGTTTCGCGGCTGATCCGATCAGCTGTTAGAACTTTCATAGATGTATATAGAGATATCAGAAGCGATAAACACTCACATTACGGTTCATAGTGAGTCGACCAATCTGCTGCAGAGGGAAGTCCTTATGTGACCAGACCTTGGTCATATCAAAGATATTCCACTTGTATTTCTCGGCTTCTTCGGGGCTCATCAGTTGGACATAGACATCCCAAACAGGAAAGTCACCTCTCTCGATGGCCTCGAACATATCCTGGATCATATAATCAGGGTTCTCTCCAGCAATTATAGTCGCCTCTTCACGGCTGAAATTCTGGATTCCCTGCTGTGTTTTGATGTGGATTTTTGCGTATTTGAACGAACCGTCCTGCCGGTCTCAGTATGAAAGCGCTCCAGCAAAAAGTCAATGTCACCACCTACCGAGTTGGTAAACTTGTATGTGTGTCCACTGTACGCATTCATGTGGCGGATCGATTTGGGTGTTCCACGGTCGCTGAAAAGGACCATAAGTTGATGTATTCCTTCGGGGTTGCCGACGTGGAAGCTGCAGAGGATTAGGACAGGAGGTTTGCGAATTGAGCTTTTTGAATGGACCTACTCCCAGAACTAAAGCCAGTCAGATTGGTCTTGTTGATAGAGTGGACAGAAGCTTACCATGTTTGCATCAGGAAGATGGGATTGAGGATGTCGCTTGTGAGATCGGTTCAAGGAGGGAAACTTGATAGGATCGCGAATAAAAAAGACAGGCTTGGATAGTCAGCAGGATTTTTATGAGAAAACTCACAAAGAAAAGCCTACTGTATTATTGAAAACCCAGTCAAGATTTCCTTCATCCGTATAGAACTTCATGGCCCAACCATGCACGTCACGGGAGGTATCCGCGGATCCCGACTCTGGGCCGACCGTTGACACACGTTGAAGTACTGGTGTCTTTTTACCGATTTTGCTCAGGAAGTTTGCGGATGTAAAATCAGAGCAGTCACGGGTCGCCATGAACTCGCCATAGCATCTGCAAGATGTTAAGCATATTGGAGTTTGGAGCTAGCCTGGATATCATCTTACCCAACAGCTTTAGCGTGAACAACTCTACCAAGAGATCATGTCAGAACGGCCTATCACTTCAGTGAGTCTGTAGGAACATACCGCTCTGGAATTCGTTCCCGAGAGAAATGAGCCAGAGTCTCAATAAGCTGAGTATCCTGAAGCAAGCCAAGACCACCGCCTTGTTTACCTTTCGCCAGAAGGGCAGTCCTGTTACTTGCAAAAGGACAGCCTAAAGAGGGTCAGATCTTGAATCTAAGGATAGATTTGGATCAAAATATCGTATACCTTCTGCTAAAGTGTAGTACTTGTCGGTACTCATGCTGTTCGGAGCAGGGATGAGTCGGATATGGGATGAGCCGGATAGCTCAAAAGTGAAATTTCAGAAGACTTGATTTCTACTGAGATAAACGGTGAAGTACTTGAGCTTTTATAATTCTCAAAAAATCAACAATAGGAGGAATTCAACGAGGGAATAGTAGTAGATCCAGAATGCTTATGATCTAGATGACTGTGCTTGCATCACGCTTATGCTCATTGGATCTCCATCTTCGATAGTCTGGACCCGGTTCTATGCCCCTCACTCTTCCCCTAAATTTATCCATCTCCCAAAGTCCCGTTAGGTGACGCAAGAATGGTCCGTAGATTAGACAATGTCGAGGTTGACATAGACAATATGGAGTAGAGAACCTTGGCAGCACAAAGCTCCCCACTTTTGAGGGCAGGTGTTTAATTGGTCAATTAGTATTACCATATTAAGAAGTGATCATCTTGAATTTTCATTCATGACTCGCGAATTGCTAAGTTAACTATGGAGTGACATGTACTCCGTAAATATCTATTAATCCGATAGTTCCACACGTGAAGAGATGAGAAACCTGATATGGCCCCAGTGATTTGAACATTCCCATATTAGGTGAGACAATTGGATATGTGTATCTGATTGGTCCCTAGTCTTACTGCATTAAGCCTTTTATGCATCGGCAATTATTCGGACCTGATATGATTTCGTCTATGACGCGTTGGCTTGGAGAGCTAATGCAATACTACTGGAGGAATTCATGATTATCCCGTGAAATTAGTACCTTTGATTCTAGAACGGCATAAATGGCCTATCCAATACACAAGGGGCGAGTATACTTACACCTTGCTATACATCTTAGGTACAAGATCTAATACACAAGCACTGGCACATTGTTTCATTGCTAGCAGCCATTATGCTCTAACTTCCTATCAGCGAGAATTGAAGATTATGTTGAGCTGATCCAGTTACCCGATTACCTACATGAAATGGATGTAAGCTCCAGGGCTGCTTACCCACCTGAAAGTGGGATGTACTCACATAAATTCGGCGATTTCGGCCTATATAACGGGGGACACGCTTGGGATACATGTATGTACATGCATAGTAAGCGGCCGAAAGATGATGAATCCATGACTACGAGCACCAATTCCAAGACACAGAGCTACTCATTCCCCCACTCGCCCAAAGAGGGGGAACTATGAGACCAATTGGACACGGAATCCTGTAATTTAACTCACTATAACCAGGCCCAGGCCAACTATTGACGTGTTGGAACAGCCGACACCATCCGTGACCCATGATGTGATTGCAGGACTACACGAAGTCCCCCCCAGCCTGGAGTGAGGGACATGCAGTCTAGGAAAAGTCGTGAACCCCGCACATGTCGCAGAGTACCTAAAGAGAAAGCCCCAGCATAAAAGGCAGATGAAATATCTCAGAATCAAGTTTCAACATTCTTCTCAAAAATATTCTTTATCTACAAATTTCATCATGACTGTTCAAGACAGCGCACAGTTCGACTTCATTGTCGTCGGTGGTGGCACGGCTGGCAATATTGTCGCCTGTCGTCTGGCAGAAAACCCCAATGTCAATATTCTTGTCATCGAAGCCGGAATCGGCAGCTCCGAAACAAACGAGGAGATTCGCACTCCCGGACATGCGATGGACCTCCGTGGCAGCAAGTACGATTGGGCTTACAAGACAACCATGATCAAGCGTGACGACTACGAGCGTATCGAGAAGCCAAATACCCGAGGAAAAGCTCTTGGAGGAAGTTCATCGCTGAACTATTTCTCCTGGGTCCCTGGTTCGAAAGGAACTTTCGACATGTGGGAGGAATATGGTGGAAAGGAATGGACCTGGGACCCTCTTGTTCATTATCTTCGCAAGAGTGTTACCTATCACGACGATGAAGGGTTGTACCCTCCTGAGCTGAAGAAGATTGGTGAAGGTGGTCCGATCCCGATTGCCCATGCCCAGCTGATTCCGGAAATGAAGGGCTTTCGTGACCTCCTGGCCCAAGCCTGGAAGTCGAATGGAGAGGGCGGTATCAGTGAGAATATCTTCGATGGAGAGATGCATGGCCTGGTGCATAGTGTCAACACTATCTACAAGGGTCGGCGCTCAGGTAGCTTTCTTGCCGTTGATAAGCCAAACATCACTATTCTGTCCGAAGCCCATTCGAAGGGTCTGATAATTGATGAAACTCGCACCGCTAAGGGAGTTTCTGTGATCTTGGGCTCTGGCCAGGAAATGAGCTTTTATGCTACTCGTGAAGTGATTGTCTCTCAGGGTGTTTTTGAGTCCCCTAAGCTACTTATGCTTAGCGGTATTGGTCCAGCACCCGAGTTGAACAAGCACAATATTCCAGTGATTGTTGATTCCCGTCATGTGGGCCAGCATCTGTTGGACCACCCTGGTGTTCCATTTGCTCTTCGCCTTAAGGATGATTTCTCGATGGATAGCCATGTCTTGAGGAAGGGCGCACTGCAGGACCAGGTTCTAGCAGCTTATTCAAATGGACATAACGGTCCAATGAGTTCACCATTTCTCGAACTCATTGGATTTCCACGCATTGACAAATACTTGGAGAACTCACCTGAGTACCGAGAGGCAAAGGCTGCTAACGGTGACCTTGATCCTTTCTGCCCATATGGTCAACCTCATTTTGAAATTGATTTCATTCCTCTCTTTGGAAGTGCTTTTCAGTGGCACTTCCCTCATCCCAACAAGGGAAGTTATATGACCGTCATGGTTGATCTCGTTCGCCCTGTCTCTGAAGGTGGTGAGGTTACCTTGAATAGCACGGACCCTCTCCAGCAAGCCAACATCAACCTCAATTTTTTCAACGATGACCTGGATATCATTGCTATTCGGGAAGGTATCAGATTCACATATGACGTGTTGAAGAATGGCGAGGGGTTCAAGGAAGTCGTGGTGGATGAATATCCATGGGATATGCCACTGCACGACGATGAAGCGATGAAACGAACTGTGCTTGATCGCTCCCAGACTTCCTTTCACCCTTGTGGTACCGCTCGTCTCTCCAAGAACATTGAACAGGGTGTGGTAGACCCGAGTCTCAAGGTTCATGGAATCAAGAGCCTCCGTGTTATTGATGCGTCTGTAATTCCAGTTATCCCTGACTGTCGCATTCAGAACTCTGTCTATATGATTGCAGAGAAAGGTGCAGACGCGATCAAGCAGGATCATGGTGATTTATACGCATAGAATCTGTTTGTCCTGATTCGATATTTGATTCTATCTTTTCGTTTACTATTTCTCTCCCTTTTCAAATTACTTTTATCGTATTTTCAGAAATTCATGGTCTTAACAATGGCGTGGCATCGTAACTTGAACCCAATTAAATCCGTTCAAAACATTCAAGTTGAAGCGCTCTGGAGCTCAATATCGGATATTTTGTTGTAGTTTATTATAATATTCAAATCTTTTACCGACGGAAAGGAAATGGCCGCTCGAGGCGTCGCGGTAGCAGAGATACATAGTTCGTAGCCTCGGAGTGGCCCGAGTTGGGACCTCGTTTGCTAAAGTACTAGGAGACCATCAAATTTTGATGAGTACCACCTTCAAGTCCGAGTCCAGAGCTGGCAGCTGGTGTCTGGAAGCCCGAGAATTCAAATGTTCTCATGTGACATGCATTATTCTCTGCAAGGGGCATATGGCCTTACGCCTTTTTTATGCCAGTGGCGAGTAGCTATCTCATTGTGCTGGGCAACCCAACATTGCATGAGAAAGTCCTAGCATGTTGCAGCCTTGAACACACTGCCTAATGAAGCTAGTCGACTGAGCAAAGTTGTCTAGGATGACAAGCTGCAGATAGCGGTTTTCAAGAGTATGATGTCAACATCCGTTCCAAGGTTTGTTCAGGGGACTTTGGCCTTAAGTATCTGGTTGCCCCAGCTCTTGAGAGAACTAACGAGGGAATGGAAGTGGCATAAGAATTTTACTTGGCTGATTGACGTAAGCTCATATGCATTCCGACCTTGAAAGTCTGGAACTTGGAATATCCGACAAATGGAGTCTATGCACGAAGTACGGAGTCTCCATGTGCATGCAAGGTCTAGCCATGTTATAGATCCACCGCGATAAGATAAGACGGATCATGTGTTAATCCGAAGCAAGGTCCTACATATTGACACCTGAATGCCTGAATGCCTCACGTCCATTGCCCCGCGACCAGAAAATTTTTTCTTATTAGCGTGGTATTTGGCTGGGGAACCCCCAAAACCGACTTGTAAGTATACAATCCAGTTCCACGATTGTAAATACTTTAGTTGTTTTATAACGAAATAATGTTTGGACTAGTATCTGGGTGAATTTCATGATAGAATTGAAGTTTCAAGTAGAAATGAAAAATCTCATGAACAATTGAATTTCTTCATTTTTTATCATATCTCGTTTCCCCAGGAAACAGACATTCAAGACAAATTGAAGTGATTATTTTGAAAATGCCAAAGCTCATTAGTGCTCATTGAGATTCCTGAATACCGCATGTCATACCCCGACTCGCGTGTCACGGTCACGTGATTTCAGACGCGGACGCGCTTTGTCATATTTCGAGATTGTACCTAGGTACTCTTTATAGATCCGAGTTCATACGACAATCTTGACATTACCTTGATTTACACGCGTGTGATTTTTTTAAACGTCTCATTGGAGACGAAATCTATTTCAAACTTGACGTGGTAATTTGTCGGTGTGTTCGCGAAGTCCTAGTGGATCCTGTGAATCCTCGTCGGCGCCTATCGAACGCGTCTCGGGCTGTAAGCGTGCATTTCCGCGCAGGGTGAAGACCCTCCCCAAGACATTCCACCACCACCTACTTTTCTTCCCCCCATCCTCCTTCAAGCTCTTCCCTTTTCTTACGCCCCTCATTCTCCACCCTCGACACCTCCATTCTAGGAGAGCCTTGCTTACTCTCTTAACTTATTATCTTCTTCCCTCTCTCTCGTTTATTTCACAACAACTTTCTTGCCCTAGAAATACGCGGTGACGCGAGTCCTGAGCTCGACTCGTCTCACGTCTAACCCCCCCCAAAAAATCAGGAGCTCGTGTGGTTTTTAGTCATCTCGTAGACATCATGGATTCCTCTCCCTCACGGAGCTTTTTGGCTCCTGTCGCTGGCGTAAAGCGTCCAGCGTCGTTGTTGCCTGCCTTCGAACCCTTGAGCTCATCCCCCTCTCTACCTCGACCACAGAAGCGTGTGGCACGCGAACCCGCCGTCTCGACCTACCCAACACCGGTTCCAACCTCTTCAACTCATATTATGTCGTCGTCTCCTCCGCCTGCTCATCCTTCGACGCGTCGTATCTTCTCTGCCTCTTCTGAACGAGCTCCCTTGTCTGCCGTGCCTACACTTATGCTGCCTGAAAATGGGGAACCTGTTCTGATGGGTCGATCAAGTGCTTCATGCCACCACCAGCTTGCTGCAAGTCGCACAATTTCTCGTGTTCATGTAAAGGCTACATACAAGCCTGCACCTAATCCTTTCGACCGGGATAGAGTTGAGATCATGTGTATGGGATGGAATGGGATCAAACTTCACTGCCAGGGAAAGACGTATGATTTAGCCAAGGGCAAGACGTTTACATCGGATGTCAAGGACGCAGATATTATGATCGATGTGCATGAGGCTCGTGTCTTGGTGCAATGGCCCCGTAATGAGGTTGATAGAAAGGACTGCCCGTCAACCGACTCGGAACAAACATGTGATGAAGGCACTCCAACTCAAAAGACTCACTCTCGTCGAATCTTGCAGGATAGTCCGTTTCCTCAGAGTAAACGATTGGCTTCTCCTCTGTCCCCGTCGCCTGCAGTGCAACGGGCTCTTCCCCCATCGTCCCCGATTTTCACACCTTCCCGGTCTCGTGCCGTCGTGGTATATGAAGATGAGGCCTCGCCATTGAAGCGTCACAACACTGTCATTGGTTTGGCTTCTCAGAGCGCTCGTCGGGCTAGTGCTATTCTGCAGAGCGACCTGAGCAGACATGAGGAGGACTCTGATAATGATGAGGAAAATGACCCCATTGTCCACTCTTTTGGACCTTTTGGCGAAAATTTACTTCCACGCCTGGCTTCTTTCCGTGCAGACGACTCGCCCATTCGCACTGCACGATCACCACGCGCCTTGCTGCCGGCTCAACCCCTCCAACCCACTCTTTCTCCAAGACAATCCTCCCAGGCCCAGGAAAGCCACCAGTCTACCCCTACCAAGGAAATGTCTCAGTCTGACAATGAGGCATATGAGCGTGTTCGCAACCACGCTGTCAACCAATTGGCTTTCTCTCGCCTGTCCTCTACTCCCTTCTCCACCATTTTGAACAACCTGCCTCCTTCATTTTGGCGATCCAGCGCCAGTGCATCTGGCCCCTCTCGTTCTGAGATTCGATACATTTTGGAAACTACCAAATGCATTGGCAAGGTGGCCCGTGAAGGCAAGGACGCTGCGGGGAAGCCTCTTGAAAGCGAGTACTATTATGTGCCGGATGATGATGATGACGATATGCGTCGCGAGACTGTGGTTAACAACTTGAGGAAACCTGGTCTTCGCAACTGCCGTAAGCAGCACAAGGTTCGTGTAACTCGACTCTCTTTTCCATGATCCCTTCCAGCTAACGTTGTACAGCAATACTTTTGGCGCAAGCCCAAATAAATGCTTCGTATCAACAAAATTTCGTCCATCCTTCCCTTGCGGGTTGGGTTTTAAGTACATATTTGATCACCTTTTAGACGTTAGGTGACTCGCATAGCGTGGCGTGAGACATACCCTGATTTTAATCTCGCTTTCTTCTTTTATTCTGCCTCTTTTTTGTTGTTTCACTATGGAGGTTGCGGCCACAAGTCTTTTGTGGGTCGTATGATGTTCCCTGTGTTGGGGTTCAACTTTTACGCGTCATGGTTCTCTGATACGGCCGTTCTGTGATTTGGGTTATTTGTTTGTTTTGATACTTGACCTGCTTTTGCCTCGTGGTGTATGTACAATATTTCCCTTTTTGGGTGCTACAGTCCGCTGTTGACCTGGGGTTTCTTGTGTTTTTTTTCTCTATCTTGCTATCACTGGGTCTTTGACTTTGAGATAGTTATGACTTGAAGTTGTACGTTAGCTTTTGCAATAAAAAAAGTGTTAACATAGTTTGAATCTTCCTCTATTCTTCTATATAGTCATAAACTGAGCAATAGTACGGGCAATGATTATCCTCTGACAACTGAGAAATAGTGAAGTATTTGCCTCGCTCAATATACTAGTATTTACAGATCTAGTAGCTTGAACTTGTTCAAGGTACAATGACCACTACTAGTACCAGTAACACCTTGGTGGTACTGTATAGTACTCCAAGGATGTATCAAAGTTCCCATGCCCAGATGAACGCATATTTCGCCACTGGCACCACCAAGGTTACAACATCTATTCCCCCGCATCTGACATCTTAAATATTCCAAGGTTCCCATCTTCAACTTTAAGTTCGTCTTTCTCAATAATCGCAGAGAGCCAAACCAAACAATCTAAATCAATCACCATCCGAGTCTTTCCACAATATCGATCATCGACCCCATTATTCCACAAGCCCCAAATCACGGAGTGGATATGATGCAGTCTTCAAACAACACCTCATTCCCAGATCGAACCAGAAAACAAGATCCTCCTGCTTCTACTAGAGCATCCAATGACTCCTCCAAAGACACACATCAGAAATCATGGCAACCAAATATGGACCGTCGGCAGAGCTGGAGCAACCAAGATCGCAAGCATCTCTTACAGGGAAGATTGTTGAGTATGGAAGAGGATCGGCAGACGGGATTCTCTGAAGCGAGTCATGGGCATTAAGGTCTTCGATGTGCTTGGGATCAATTTTGATTTCTTTCCAATTTTGCATATGGAAAATTTACCATGAACTTATGTCTACCTTGTTTCAAATACGATCAGACTGAACCTGTGTTTTTTTGGTTATAATTGAAGGCTTTCCATTTCAAATTGAAATCTGGAGGCACATGGTACCATACTGGGGCAGTTTAATCCATCAAAATCTAAACACCGCTACATGGACCGTGACCTCAGCTTGACGTAGTCGGATTATCTACCCACACCTGGGGCATTTCATTCAAATTTTATGGTAAGCAACAACCTTGGCCGCAGGATTTATTAGTAGCACCGGCACCGTGACTGTATGTATCTGTCAATGATTTCAAAATCCATCAGTTTATAATTCAGCCCGAGTATTCTTGAGTAATATTCAGCTCAATTCATTCAAAATGTTCAGATTTATCTTGCTATCAAAGACATAGATTGTAGACGAGGTTCGAGTGTGACAAAAACCCCCAGATACCTAGATTCTAAGGTTGATGTCACTATGACCTGCGTCTTGAGTACCTAGACTAAATGCTCTTACATTTGTCACAATCGAACACCTGGGCACAAACGTTTCATATTATCTTCAAGGACCGATTCGAGCTACTACAGTACTAGACTGAGTCTTTGTACCTAACATGAATGTTGAGCTAAATGTGAACTCGCCGGAGCCTGAGAATTTCGTCAGTAATTTTACCTACGAAGGTGCAGTGTCCCGCCATGACGGACCGCGCTGGGATATGGTCGATTGGTCCAATTTTTGCATATCCTGTGCACTCGAAATAGGTGATAAATCTCCTGATGACAACATTGAGCGCTGGCTGAAGCATTATCGAGCGTGTAAGTTCTGTTCCGAGTCCTCGTATCTAATAGGTAACAAGCCTACCTAGGACTGCTCAGTCTGATCCATATCATCTTATTCTAGTATACCTGACCCCAGAAGGTGCTGAAATAAGCGGTATAAATGTGGCACAGTTGTGTTGGAGAGATGCAGATTATTTTGGCTCTGAAAAGATGAGCTCTTGGTATGGAATAGTCCAGAAGAAGCCAGCCGAAGCTGTGGTTTTCCATGACGTATGTTGGTATCTGTTGAGCCTGCAGTTTCAAGGAAATATCGATCTGGATTGCCTTTTTGAAGTCTGTCAAAACATTCCTAAATATGGCAGGCAAGACGTGCATTGGGAGGGTAAGTTTATTTCAGGCACTCAAGTGCTCCATCGGTGATCTGCTTCGAACTTCAAAGCGTAATACTAATAGAAATAATGGATTCAAATAATCTGCTTATAACAGGTACACTTCATCAAAACGGAAGAATTTGTCCCTTAAGGAACTTATCATTCTGAGCATTGGAGATGACGCAAATCCACCGGAACCTTCAAAGAAACGGAAAAGAGATGCTACACTCGACTCGAATTCCGACTGCTTTCGACTTTTTCCTCCCGAGATACGAGCCCAGATTGCAGCCAATATATCTACTTCGGATTTCCTGAACCTGAGACAATTATCTCGATAAATGACAGAGGTCTTCGGAGACCAATCGTTCTGGAAGTCGAGATTTTTACCTCGCGGAGATCGTGGATTTCTATATGGACTTATCTCGTATGAACACCCCGGGCACGATTCACTTAAAGAGTAGCGATCTATTTACCGGCGCACTGCAAAGATAGATCGGTCCACAATGCATCTGTGGGAACTGCAGCAACAATGGCGAAATAACCAATGGCTAAGAGAGGTATACAATGGTCAAAGCCTCTGACAAGCAAATCAGCTTGTATAGCAATTTACTCAATGAACTCCATTGGAAAGGTGTTTCCAGAAAGTTGAGATGCGATCGAAATATCCAACAAGGGCAAGATTCAAGTCTCTGTGAACGATGCTGGGCGGAGCATACGCAGGCAGTTCCATTGGACAGATCAGTCAAGAGAATAGCCGTGTATTTGCTGCACGAAGGACTAGATACATACATCACTGGGTTTGGTCTTATAGAGGCCCGGAGAGACCTTGGGTTGGAAGAGCCTAAGTTAATATTTGGATATCAGTTACCAAGTGAGTATATGATAGTGGATCCCCATGGGAAGCAGTTAAACGGATTTACTGTCTTTTCTGGAAAATCTGGGATCCATGAAATACGACCTATATTCAACAACTTGAAAGACACTCCTGCCAGTGGTAGATGGATAGGACACACAGAGGGGAAAGATGTTTGCAAGACAAGCGATCTTATATTGAAATAAGGTATCCAGGCATTTTCAGTGAAGTTTGATGTGAGTAACACTTTCCAACTTGAGAACAAAAAGAGATCTAATTAAAATATTTGAATTTTAATAGTACTGTAAGATGATTGAGTTTTACATAGCATAGTGATATAGTCAAGCTGAACCTATGTCTACTAGTATGAAGTAGGGCGTTTAGTGACTATTTGCCTACAACTACCAGATAAGATCAACCAAAGGGGAACCTATACTCAAGAACAAATATACGTTCAAAAATAAGTCTAGTATCCAGTTAGCTTAACAAGTACCTGCTCTGTTCCCTACCCTATTACCTATCCAGTTGACTAAACGTCGGGTGTCAAAGTGATCTTACCGTGGATCTACAAAAAGTCCGCATCTCCGCACCGCCTTGAGAACCTGCCCGCTTCTCCCGCACTATCACTGCCCACTACCACCTACAAGTTTCGCTTTCACATACCAGTGCATTGCTCACCTAGACTCACCCAATGTGGTGTTCCGCTCACATCTATTTCCTATCAGATAATCTGAGAGGACCGCGCGCCTGATACCTTACCTCTCACCGGCCATGGAGCGGCAAAAGAAAAGTATATGGCAACCCCGGTGTATTTCTAGCTCCCTTACCCTAGCAATACTGACTTTAGTTCTACAACAGGGGAACTTCGCGATCTAAACGAGAAGGCGTGGGCTGGTGAGATCGGTATTAACTCCCCGCGCTTAGTCCATTGGTGCGGTCACTTACTATCCCATTATAGGCGTATTCCCTGTTAGCAAGTCGCTCGACTCCGCCCTCAAGAAGAACACCGCATTTATCAAGCGTCTTCGCACTGGGATTAGCGCTTCCTCACTTTCTACCTTCCTATCCGACATCCGCACCTTATCCCTCCACAAATACCTCTCCGAGATCATCACCGCCTGTTACGAAGGTCTATGCAAGCTCAAGTCGCCCGGAGAGATTGCGGTCGGCGTTGAGATCGTATGCGCTCTACATCAACGGTTTGGACCAGATGAATTCACTCGGCAGATCGGATGGCTGCTCGGTCGTGGTTTGAGTTCCCCAGATAAGGCCGCCCTGAAGACTCTCCCCCAGGAGTATCGCGAACGGGAGGAGAAAGAGCGCCTATCACGACACCGTGTTCTTCTACGTGTGGTTACAGAGCTATGGCTTGTTTCCGTTCTCAAAACCTTGGATGATGTTGAGCGCCCCGAAGAGCTAGGCGCAAAGGGCAAAGATGGAATCGGAGGCAAACAGTTGGATACCCCGCTGAAACCCAAGGTCCCAGCTGCGAGAGATCATGATAAGCAGGCAGAGCCATTCCCTCTGGAAGTGCTGAAAGAACTCTTGGGCCATGACCGTGACCACGCCAATCTGCCGCTTGCTGTTCTCTTTGTAAAGAGCTTCACCTGGGATATTCTGGGCGCCAAGCTTGCAGACGAAGGTCGGAAGAATGTGGAGGTTGACGGTGCTACAACAGTTGCCAGTTCTAAACAAGAGGCAACGGAGGATGACAGTGAAGCTGTTTCTGAGTCCGACCCACCGCTGATCTCGGAGAAAGTCCAGCAACGCTTCAAAAATATTTTAAACCGTTATCTGGATGACGTCAAGGCGCATGTTGTGCGCGACCAGAAAGCGCTGGCCTCGCAAAGTCGCCGAAACGCTGAGGCTTATGTCAAGAGCGGTGAGATCTTTGAGGACCGTCAGTCCAACTTTGAGAAGCAGTCGAAATCCCTGGAGAAGCTTGTTGCCAATACACAAGTGTTGTGTGAAGCCCTCGGGGCTGAGATGCCTGATCTCGCCGAGAAGGAGACGAACGATTCTGCAAACAGTGGTGGTATTGGTCTTGTCAAGACCACCGATTATCTTCGCGGACAGGGCGATGGCGCAGGTATTTGGGAAGACGAAGAAGAGCGACGCTTTCACGAAAACTTGGTCGACCTGAAAGGAAAGGTTCCTGCAGTTCTCCTTGAGGACGGAAAGAAGAAAAAAAGTGATACCGAGGAAAGTGGCAAGAAAAAGGATGCAGATAATCTGACTGAGCCTGTTACAGAGAAGCGTGGAACTTCCGATGATAAAGCCGCGGCCGACCTTGAGGATCAATCAATGGCCATCGCAAGCAAAACAGTCGGCGCCCAAGTTGACTCCCTTCTTAGCAAGCTTCCCGAGTTACAGACCAAGGACCAGGTCGACCAATTTGCTTTAGATTTCTGCTTTGTCAATTCGAAGGCCTCCCGGAACAGACTTGTCAAGGCCGTATCAGATATCCCGAAAGGCCGTGTCGATCTCTTGCCCTTGTACTCCCGTTTGGTTGCTACGCTAGGCCAATATCTTCCCGACGTCCCACAAGGATTGACGACCTATCTGGATGAAGAGTTTCGAAGCTTGCAACGTCGAAAGTCCAAGGAGTTTTTGGGTCAAGTGCGCATGGGTAATGTTCGATATATCGCCGAACTGACCAAGTTTGGCGTTGTACCGGAGCATATCATCTTCCACTGCTTCAAGGTTTCGCTCGATGACTTTTCACGAATGAACATTGAGATCATTGGCAATCTTTTGGAGAACTGTGGTCGGTATCTTCTGCGCAATCCTGATACTGCGCCTCGGATGGCCTCTTTCCTGGAAACTTTGAGTCGAAAGAAGACCGTTCAGCATTTGGCTCAGAATGAACGCATGGTGATTGAAAATGCTATCTACTACGTTGATCCGCCGCCGCGACCAGCTATTCAGCAGAAGGAGCGTACGCCGATGGAACAGTACATTCGCCGCCTGATCTACCTGGACATGAATAAGCGCAACTACGCCAAAATCCTCAAAACCATTCGCAAACTTCATTGGGAGGAGCAGGAGATTGTCGATATTCTGGAGCGCGTTTTCAGCAAGCCCGTCAAGGTGAAATATGGTAGCATTCATCTTCTAGCAATTCTTGTCAGCGCTTTGTACCGATACCACCAAGAATTTGTGATCGGTGTTGTCGACAATGTTCTAGAACAGATTACTCTTGGTCTAGAGCAGAACGACTTCAAGTTTAACCAGAAACGGATCGCCGAGGTCAAGTATTTGGGTGAGCTTTACAACTACAAGATGATCGATTCCCCCGTTATCTTTGATACACTGTACCGCATCATGACCTTTGGTCATGAGGGCGGTACTCCCATCCTGGGCGGATTGTGTTGCTGGACCTACCAGATGATTATTTCCGAGTTCGTCTTGCTTGCACGCTGCTTGATACCTGTGGTCACTGCTTCGATCGGGGATCTGCAAAGAAAAAGCTCGATTTCTTCTTGAGTTTCTTCCAGTACTACCTCTCTACCAAGGATCCCTTCCCCATGGATGTCGATTTCTTGGTCCAGGATAGCTACTCTTCCCTTAGACCTCAATGGAAGCTGACCACCGATCCCGAGGAAGCGACTCGTATTTTCAGTGAGGCTGTCGCTCAAAACTACAATGTGCAGGACTCTGAAAGACCTATCGAGCCCGATGATGACTATGCTGACAGCAGTTCCTCTGAGATGGGTCTTGAAGAGGATGCGATGCCCGATATTGAGGACGAGCAGGAATCTAGCGATGAAGCCGAGGTGGGACATTCAAAATCCAGCACCCAAAAAGCAAATATTGACACCCGACAGACATCCGGACCTAATCCAGAGATGAACGATGAGTCCGATTTCGAAGACGAGCAGATTGTTGTTACACGCCAGGAAGAGGAACGGGACCCCGAAGTGGAGGCTGAGTTTGACCGGGAGTTTGAGAAGATGATGGCCGAGAGCATGGATTCCCGACGATTCGAGCGCAAGGCGATCTTCGATATCCCCCTGCCTATGAGTATGAAACGCACTCGAGAGGCAGCTAATGAAAGCTCTTCTGAGTCCACTCCAGCGGAACCCGTGGTGGCTACGACGAAGACCATGCCTTTCTCGTTGATGACGAAGAAGGGCAATAAGCAACAGGTTCGATTGATAAATCCATGTGTTTTTGTCATATTGACTTTCCAACTAATTCATTTTAGACTCGTACCATCGACCTTCCCTCGGACTCAAGCTTTGCTATTGCCATGCGTACTCAGCAGCAAGCAGACCGTGAGGAACAGCAACGCATCAAGAACCTTGTTCTGAACTATGAGGCGGCGAATGAACCCGAGCCTACAGAGAGTAAGTCAGCCATTGGTTTTCTGCGACACTCTCCACCTTTTCGTTCTTTGATTTCTTCCCCTCTTCTTCCAAGCCGACAATATCTGACTGTCAAATGAAAAGCCTTCGAGAAGCGCATTCCTGCCAGCCAACGGCTAGAAAAGCCAAGTGCTGCTAATCGGTCTGCCTTCCGATCACGCAAGCTTCAACTAAGTGATGTGAATTGGTAACATGACTACTTTGACTTGGAATCAACCCCGCAACCATTGCCTTCCCGGCAATACCCCCTTTGCAAAGGTACACCAGAGTTTCTCCGAAACCTTGTTCGAATACCACCTTTAGCAGTAGGTGCACAGGGCGCCTCTTCAACGCATGACTTATGCGAGCTTGCTATCATTTGCGAAGAGAGAAGAGATCATTCTCACTCATCGCCAACAGGTGTAATATGCTTGAAGCTTTACAGGAAGATCCGGTATTACCAAGAATCCACTTCCTCATTCCCCCGATGTTCCTTGCATTCAACCATCCCCATGGAGGTCACATTTGGGTTGTTTGGTTCCGGGCATCATGTCTAGAGCCTTTGCTCCTGATGGTCGATCTCCGAGGATGAGAGACTTGCGCAGATGAGAATGAAGATACGATGCCCTTTTGTTATTTCGGTTGGGCAACTGCCTTGTTTTTACAGCAGAACCATTGCCAATATCCTTTCCTAGTGAATTTAAATCAATATTCAGTGAAGAAACTTCTAGTAGATCATTCCGAGTTGTAACAAGGGTACCCAATCCCACATGCATTCAAATGTTGATATTGAGGTGCCAGTGTTTCATAGCACTTGAGTATTAAGATCAAGACTCAAGAGTAATGTGGGGGACTCGGAATACATTTCAATCACCAATAGAATTTGTTCTTTCTGCCAAGATCCACCCACCGCCATTATAGTGGATCGATAGAAATAAAGTAGCCAATGAGGTGAGATACAAGTTGCTGCCTGAAAGCCTAAATTTAATGCCTTAGATTTGCAAGGGGTAGCGTCCTAAGGTGCACTCTTACTATCCATGATCATCAGCAAAGAAATAAAAAGATTATCATAGTCAAATAAAGAAAAGATCCTGATATTTGACTCCCTTAGAGTGTCTCATTAAACATATTTCATTTTGGGATAGATTTATGCTGGGTAGATGCTTCCAGTAGTCTGTGAACAAGCGAAAAATTAACAAAAAACCACTAAATAATCAACCGGAGTCCGATATTAAAGCGGTAGTAGCTCCGACTTAGAGCTTCTAGGCAAGCCCCACATTGTAAAAGAAATTCGGCATATAGAGACCAAGGTAGGCAAGTCCAAGCCAGATAAGAGAAGTAAAAAGATAACTTCCCTCATTAACCACTAAGATGGTGTGATTAGAATTAGCGTGGAAACCTTTTGTCTTCAAAAAAAGAACAAATCCCTATTTATTTTCCCATTGACAACTTGACCGCGCAGATCATAATGGCGGGGATTTTAGAGGATCCAGAGAATGCAAATAAAGGTACTGAGTATGTTGTACGAGATGTGGAGGATCATCCACCCCCACATCCCTATGATGTTGGAGATGTGATCCCCGATGATGGGCGCATCGTTACCCAACAAGAACAGACGAGTCTTTTGCGAGGATTGTCTCAGCGACATGTGCAAATGATTGCTATTGCAGGTGCTATTGTAAGTGAATATCTTGAGGCTGGTCAAAAGCTAGATGGGTCTGGTTGTTGTTACTGACATGGTAACTATTCGATCTGATATAGGGTACCGGTCTGTTTCTTGGTCTTGGTAGCTCGATCGCTACCGGTGGTCCACTTGGCGCTTTGCTGGGATATGCGCTTGTAGGATTGGTAGTCTGTGCTATACAATTCGCTCTGGGTGAGGTATCAGCCTTGCTGCCCGTGACAGGTTCATTCGTTCGCCATGCTGAGGTCCTTGTTGATCCTGCGATGGCCTTTGCAATCGGTTGGAATGTCGTTTACGGATGTTTCATCAGTGTCCCCAGTGAAATCTCGGCGAGCGTGGTGTTGATCCAATACTGGACTGAATCAGTCAACCCTGCAGTTTGGGTGACTATCCTCATTGTGGTATCGGTTGGTGTCGCGGTATCATTCATCGGCGTGTACGGCGAGATTGAATTCTTCTTCGCAATTCTTAAAATCTTGCTGGTTGTCTTTGTCGTTATCCTGGGTCTGGTTATCGATCTCGGTGGCATCCCAGGCAAACCGCGTTTGGGTTTCCACTACTGGAAGGATCCTGGGCCACTTGTTGAGTATATCGCTTCTGGATCTTGGGGAAGGTTCCTTGGTTTCTGGGCTGTGATGACGAATGCAGTCTACTCCTTTGCCGGCGTCGAGTCCTTGGCTATGGCCGCAGCGGAAACCAAGAACCCACGGCAGAACATCCCCAAAGCGTGTAAGCGCGTGTTTGCACGAGTCACGATTTTCTATCTTGCCGCAGTTTTGATCGTGGGTATGTTGGTGCGAAGCGACGATCCTCGTCTTCAAGATTACGCGGAAACTGCTGCTCAGAGTCCCTTCGTCATTGCGGCCAGTGACGCAGGTATTAAGGCCATTCCATCCGTTGTGAATGCCATTTGTCTGACCTCTGCATGGTCTTCCTCCAATCAGAGTATCCTGGCAGGTACCAGAACTCTCTATGGTCTCGCAATCAAGGGTCACGCTCCCAAGATCTTTCTTCGAACTAACAAATGGGGTGTGCCGTATACGTGTGTGGCGATGCAAGTTGCATTCTCTTTCTTGGCCTATATGTGTGTTTCGAACAGCGCACTCACTGTGTTTTATTGGCTTGTGGATTTGACCGCTGCTGGCACTCTGATCTCATGGATCACTATTGCGTTGAACCACATTCGTCTGCTTCAAGCGCTCAAGGAGCAGGGGATCTCCCCACAATCCTTGCCGTGGCACAATCGCATAACCAGTATGTGGATCTTCTACTAATTTCTAACCCTGCTGATTCTTCTTGCTAACCTCATTCCAGGATACTCCAGTTGGTTTGCCTTGATTTCATGCGTGGTCATACTATTTACAGGAGGGTTTGCAGTCTTCACCAAAGGAAGCTGGGATCCCGCCACGTTTGTCTCTTCATATCTGTACGTGATACCTCGCCAGATAAACCCTATCTTACTTGTCACATTACTAACATCCCAATAGGGATATTCCGTTGGTGCTACTCGCATACGGAGGATATAAGCTAATTCGGCGCACCAAGATAATCCCCTTGCAAATGGTGCCAATTCGTCAAGCATTAGACGAAGCAGCCAATGACCCCGAGAATGTGCCTATCAAAACAGATACCATATTAGCGAAGATTAATATCTTTTGGGGCTAGATAACAGCATCTTGAGCCAGGGACTATCATCGGGCTTCAGGCTTTAGTCTGAGACCTGAATGCAAGTTGTTAGTTTATGTTTGCAGCATTCAAACTTGAATTTCCAAGTTGATACACCTAGTAGAATATTGCACCAGAAATACCTAGGTAATATTTGAATATAATTAATTGACCTTAAATGTTATTGAATGTAGAGCTAGGAGACTCCGAGTCCTTTAGTACTACAAGTAGTAACAGCAGTACAAGAATTTGGATAAAATGAAGTTCAAATGTTCATGATACTATCTGGTCCACTGAAATGTTGGATAAAAAGTCTCTTGAAGCGTGAAAGAGATTGCTGAATAAAGGAGAGGTCATCCTGGCCTCAAAAGGTCTCAATTTCGCGAATCTTCAAGTTCTCTTTCAAATGTTCCACACATAAGTCTTTCCTTCACCGTATTCATTCTATCACATCAAGAGCCGCATTTGGAATATTTCATCTGAGCTTGACGCAGTGGCTAGAAGCTTTTCCATCATTTTTGTCCAGACTTCTTGAATGAACGGGGAGAAAGGCATATCAGATGACAGAATGGCGGTAAGAAACTCATCCAGTAGTTCCTCGAGAAGATCAATCAAATCCTTCCATTCATCTTGAAGTTGTTGAATCTTCTTTGGATCCAGAGTAGAAAAGCTGTGATTGCAGGTGTGGGAGACGCCCAGCTTCAAAGGTGAAAGACCGAATAAAAGCGGCAGGTTGAGGTGCGAATATTTGCAAGATGATGATTCTCGAATCTCCGTTCTCGAAATTGTTCTGATGAGCCCCATATCGTAAACATGACGGCCATGACAGGCTTGATATGTATAAATAGTCGCAGCACAGTGGTCACCTACCGCACATGAGCATGTGTAGTTCTGAGTGTCCTGGATGGGATCTAGAAGAACTTGAATGATTTCCAGGAATTGAATAATTTCAGGGCCGTGAATATTCTTTTGAACTCAGTGATGTACATTTACCTAGCTATAGCCTTGACCACCTGTGCAGGCTTCAAGTTCGACCAAAAAACCCCTACAATGATACTAATAGTATGTAGTAGTAAAGACCGTATCAAGAAAGTCAACTTGAATGGCGGAATGCTCGAAGACACCAGTTCAAATGTTGACTTGTCACTGGATTCTTGATATCAAGACATTCATCCAAAGAACAGTAACTTGAGGATACCTACATCACATGTGCATGTGCATGATTTAGCCAAAATTTTGTCAGAACTGGGGACCACCGAGGTGGCCCATATGTTCTCTCTAGATATCACCTTCCCTCTCTCACAAATACATGACACCCATGCATATTCATCCATCACGTCCTTTCATCCTCGAACAAATTTGAGATTAATCGCCTCCAGGCACCTGGGGCTTCTCCATGTTACATAAGGGCGAGTTGAGCGACCTTAGCTATGTGCATCAATAGATCGTACTACTCATACAGACCTAGTAGTAAAGGCAAAACTATACTTCTACACAGCTGTATATATGTATACACGTAGTACCTAGATAGGATTATGCACATGTATATCGAACATTGAAGAGTTGACAAAATCTTATCTCGCTTTTCTTCTAGTATCTGATATGTAAGCTATCTATCTAGTAATAGTATAAGAATTAATAGTACTAGCAGTTGAGTAGTCCTATACTACTACGAGTCTGTCCTATATCAATATGATATGTCCACATGCATGTATGTATTTGTTGAAAAAACCGCCCACTTCGGAGGTCTCCGCTATATGCAAGCGCCGAGCCGGTATTAACATTTTGAATCCGATGTAGGGACTTGAACCTTGGAAAAAAGTGCATGATTTTAGTACACCATAAGCTTCAGATGTCCATCTTCCTCTCCGAGTTTCACCTCACCAACTTGAAGCACTTCCGTTCTGAAAACTTCCTATACTAACTAGGTAGGTGACGAAGCTTACGTAAATACACAAGGGAACCGACGTGGAATTGGTAGCGACATAATAACTTGATGACATAGGACACATGTGTAGGAAGGAACTTTCCATAGGGATATCATGATGTAAGCTCGCGTACCATGCTGAGACAATGAATACATGGATTGCTCATAACTTCAAGTTAAAGGTAAGAAATAGTGTCATAAATGCCTCCAGACTTTAAATACATGCGAGCTTTGGCTTTTGAATACTAGAGTGACTCCCAACCTCTATAAGCGTAGTGCAATCGCCATGCTCGAGGTCAAAGTCCAATGTATCTGGATAATTCCCTGCTGAACGATCTTCGCGGTCGCTACCAATGGTATTCTTTGCAACATGAAGGTTGCGCCGGCCATTTGATGATCGCTTAGAGGTGGGGAGGTGGGGCTCAATATAATGCCTGAACAAGGGGGGTTAAGACAGGCAGGCTGGCAATGATAATGCTCAGCCAGAGCTCGAGAAAGCTGAAAAGGCCAATTTGATAAAGACTGTGAACGAAGTCTGCACTAGTCGCTGGACTAAGCGTGATTATAAGTCGCATTATCATCACCGCAACGACACTGTCAACGTCAGCTCCTGAGCCTGATAGACTGGGTTTTCTAGCAGAGAAAAGGCGAGGAATCTGATCTCACATTAATCCCATTCCAAACATAGCACTTATTGTGATCTTATTGCGCAACGGCATGTGTAGTTTCCAGAGAGCTGGTGCTGGCAATACTGCAATAACAGTATCAAGGAAGATATTGAGACTGATAGATGAAATTTCTTGATAAGTCAAAGAGCGACACGCCCCACCGGGCACTGGATTCCACCCATAGGAGACAGGATGACATTGGGTGAGGAAAACGGGAAGGAAAGCGATGAAGTAAGCAACGACTAGTCCACTGACGACGTTCACGAGCATGCGCATGGGTCGATAGCTGTTGAAAATAGTTCTGTAAAGTGCGAGAATAGACCCTTTGCAGCAGACAGTCCCGACAAGCCAAGTAACTTCATCCACAACCATTCCCTATTCCCCAAGACATTATATTAGCATCATGATAATCAACGTTCCCAAAGATGAGATGAAAGCTCAGAAGGCTTACTTTATATTGCACGTCTAGCTCCTCACTCGTCAGTTCGGTAGTGTGCTTGCCCAAACCATTTGCGACGGTCCACCAATTTGCAGCAGCCATGGTCGTGGTGCTGAGCTGAAGGACCATTAGGACATCTCCACGCTGCATGATAAGAACAACATAGTAGGGAGGAAACCAACGTATGCCACTATCATAAGATAGTCACTGAGCTGCAGTCCTCGTCGTATGAATTTGATAGCCCACATTCGCAGCCCAAGAACTGCTGTGGTGATTCCTGTGAAGACAGCCATCCATACTGCGAGCTTGATTCCAAGTCGACCAGCAACCATGACTGCGAAGTACTTGAGCAATGAAATGTTCACGAAAGGAATAAGTTTGACTTTGAGATATACTCTTTGGAGAAAGTATAAAATATTGTGACTCGGAGTAGTTGACTCATATGGACGGTGGATGATTGCGTTTTAAATGCAAAGTAAGATGAAAGCTGGAATGGTAGGTTGGGTGAACTATTCCCCATGGAGCCTTCTGTAGGGGCCAAAAATCATATCACTTACGAAAGAGGAAAAAATAACTCATTCCCGACACGAACTTGATCCCTTCAAGTTTTACCCACCTGCAGAAGCGAAGCTGCATAATGTAGGTACTACGTATGCGGGTAGTTCAGTAGGATGTTTCCTTTACCAACTAGGCCCACTAAATGCGGAGTGAGGGACCGGGCGTATTATTGTTATGATTTGTAAACTCCAGAGGCACCAGGGTTCCGACTTACTGCGTCAGGTGAAAGAATTGCTTTTTTTCCTCTTTGTTCTTTTCCACTAGTGGGCCTAGCGAATTTACTAGCGGTAAGATTCCGTACATCGATTTTGTACCCATCTTGACCCTCAATACACCCCCATTAAGCCTGCAGGTTTGGATGTCAATTTCAAGGTTGCATTGGGAAAATTCAGATGAAACTCATCTCCTAAGAATAGAAGATCTCTTCGGCTGAGAACCCCTATTGGACCAGGGGCATAGTTTGCCTCGCGTAGTGGTCCGAGGTCTGTCCTCCTGTATGTAGATAGCACACGCCTCCTTGCCCTTCCTTCCTTCTCTCCTCATCCCACTGCCGCACATATTTCATCCCCTCAGAAAATTCCCCTTCCGCTCTAAAAGCCTTCAAGTCTACACGAAATTTGTCTTCTTAGACCTTACTCAACGAAATGAGCCCTCCTCTGCCATCACTGACTGAGGTCTGGCATAATGATACGTATTCTGAGATATCTCCTTTGCGTCCCAATCTCAGTGCGGCAAAAAAGACTGTCATCATTACAGGCGCTGTAAGCTCCCGTGTTGAGGGTCTAATGGGACTTCCATTAGAGATACACAAGGCTAATTTGTTTCCTGCAAAATTGTAGGGAAGTGGCATTGGTCGCGCATGCGCCTTAGCCTTCGCTCGAGCTGGAGCAGCAATGATTGTCTTGATTGGGCGCACAGAAGAAAAGCTCCGAGAAACCCAACAGCTGCTATCTTGTAGCAGTTCAATCCATGCTGTTAGCACGACAGACGAAAAGGACATGAAGGATGTTGCGGCCTCGACAGGCTCTTGGGATGTCCTAGTGCTGGCGGCCGGTTATCAACCTGAACCATCCTCCATTCAGGAAGCATCCATAGATGATTGGTGGCAGAGTTTTGAGGTTCGTGTTCTCCATTTTACCCTACAGTAACCCGAAAATCTGCTGGATGTAAAGTTGACCGTAAAAGACCAATGTCAAAGGAACAATGATTCCTTCCAAGGTTTTCCTCCCGGGTGCCAATCCGGTTCATTCTTCCATCATCGCATTTACCGCCGCGGTCGTCTTCCCTCCAACCACGCTGGTCAATCTATCTGCCTATATCAGCTCCAAACTCTCTGTCATCAAATTCATTGAGTTCTTGGCAGCCGAAAACCCATCGACATTTGCTGTCGCTTTGAGCCCAGGAATGGTGGATACTTCTATGCTTCGGAAATCAGGCGCGGATCCCAAAACCTTGCCCCTTGATACAGGTTCGTTGAATATTTCTCTTAAAAGGTTCTTCAAAAGGAGCATTATGACTGACATGAACATTAGCGGAGCTTCCTGCAGACTTCACCGTATGGCTATCAAGTTCCGAGGCGTCATTCTTGAATGGCCGAAGCGTTTGGGCGAACTGGGACGTCAACGAACTCAAATCCAAGGCTGAAAAGATCAAGTCTGGCTTGCTCTTGACATCTGGGGTGTATGGCTGGCCCTTCAGCGCCGACTTTTAGCTTGCCAAGTAACGAAATAGCTAAATACACATAAATTGGGACGTGAAATTTCGTTCTTTCAATTTCCAAGTAATTTCCACACCGTACACTAAATCTTTCAAGTTGGTCAAGACATTGAATGGTCTGAGTCGCTGGTCCTTTTGTAAATGCAACCAACAGCAAGAAGGCATATGAAGCATATATTCCCTTGCCATATTCGTTCACGAAAAGTCACTGTTGCGTCTCAAGTGCTATCGCTACATAAGGGCTTACTAAATGCACAACTTTTCAGAACCTAGTAGTATCTATTTGCAGAAAGTCAAGGAAAGTCAAGGCTAGAAACGAGATTACTCGTTTGTAGATCAGTGTTCAGTTCTTGGCCCTCGGAGGCGAGATCCGTCCACGGGTCATATTTTTATTGCTCGGGCCTTGAATCTCTCTGAATCAAAATAGATTATGCAAACATACGGTTCCTGCTCTGATGCAGAGTCAGCATAAATCCACAGCACTGACTGAAAAGATGGATTTTTTAAGGTTTCCCGGGGATAGCCAATAGGAAAGGAGAATAGCTGTTGGATTTGGAGCCATTTGTTCTATCACATCATATAGATCCACTTAAAACAAAAGTGGAATCATCAAGATCTGTGCTTGGGGGGGCCAGACTTAGTCTAAACATGTCCATAATGAGACATTTTGATAAGGCTTGTGGGTATACTGACCTTGGGGAGAGTATGAGGCGGTCTTGAGCGTAAGCCTCCATTGGCAGGCTTGGAAATCTGGACTCTTGGAAGTTAGAACACGTAGGTAAAGAGCCGAAGGATCATTATCCTAGCTCATTATGCGCAATTTTAGAGCCAAGATGTGTCGAGCATCCAATGGCAGTCATGGGATGCTGCACAGTTACATCATAACGCGTCGCATCTTCAAGGATCTCGGGATAGACCGAGAGGAGCAGGATCGATATGCATATTTGATAGGTCGGAGACACTGGCGCTAAATGGCGCTAATAGGCTTGCATGGGGCGAAACTGTTTATGACATATATACGTAGTTTCTCAAGGTATCGCCCTATAAATCAAGCTAGTCTCTAGTTTTGCATACGCGGCACCGTACTAGTAACACGTTATTTCAAATGTTGGGGGCTAACTTTGAGAGCGGTAGGATCCCGTGAGCGGGATTCCCGTGTGGATCCCGCGAAGATCTTGCCGCGTAAAGATCTCTTAGCAATCTCTTCCGAGGGTTCCAAGGTTAGTCAAAGCGAAGTCATGTACATATCCCCACCTGGGCATGTTCATTTGGGGGCCAAGGTACGGAGTAGCAGAATCAACTTGCAACAACTGCTCGACACTAGGGACGTGGTTGTGAGAGAAAGCGCCAGATTAGGGTGGCACCTGGTAGTTAGGTGAATCAGTGAGATATCGGCAACAAGTCAGGTAGTATTGAGTGCTTTCCAATACAAAGAGAAAACTAATACTTGAAAAACTTTGAACCCCGGCTCACTGGGGTCCGATTAAGTACTGGATACCCCGCAGTTCGTTGCCTGAGGTGCTCCTGTGATTACAGGATCAACCTGACAAGTACCGTGACACTGGTACACGTACACCCAGATGATTATTACCGTGTTTGGCAACACTTCAAGTTTCTATCATCTCGCTTGCCTTGGTAATGGTTTAGCTCCGGTCCCATAACAATATTTGATTAAATGAATCCTTCCAAGGTTCCATTCATGGATGAATGGTAGGTATGTAATACCTCCCAAGGTGGTTCTCAATCTTGAAATTTCGCGGTATGTATTGTAATGAAAGTAACGGAAACGTATTTCAAAGTTTCATAATACTGGGTATTGTTACATAGGCCGGAAATTCTGTACCTACCCGTGGACTACAGGAGGCACATGATGACAATACCTAATATGCAGCCCTGAAGGTGTAGAGACATGTACATGTAGTTTGAATACTACTCTTATTTCCTGCCAATGGTTCCAAGGTTAGCCATGGCGTGATGCTGTGGGTCTGAGAGTTCAAATGTTTGCTCCAGACCTCGGGAGAACTAAAATTTTCCCGAGGTCGTATCCATGGATGTACAAAGAAATACCCTAAAGGACCAAAACATTTGAAGGGGAGAAGGAGTGCAGGTGTGCATTGAAGACTAATATGCCTATGCGAGGTGCTATATTCTTCTATGTAGTAAGGACAGCCTGAGGGCAGTACTAGGTACATAGGTAGGGATACTCAAGTCACGGTGCTATGTATAGCATCCGAGATCGGTAACGCCCGGGCCCGGGTCGTATGTAGACTCAGAACCTTCAAATGTTGGAAGGATACCTACACGTACACCTGGCATAGTACTAGTACTAGGTAGGTAGAACACCGGACAACTTGAACCCGTGGACCCTCGGGGCCGGCGGGGCCGGGCCGTCTTCCAAGCCTGAGATTGGAACCTTTATGTTGGAACATTGAACACCCCCGGGGCCGTGGACCTGGCATGACTCGACCATGTGACAATACTAGTACGTAAAGCCTGGAGTGGTAGCCTTCCAAGGTTGGAGACAGCTGTCCCCACCGTGACTAGTACCTTCAGGGCTAGTACGTAGGTAGGTATGGATGTACACCGGGCGTCACGGTGCATACTATTGCCCAGGTGTGACTCCAGGATTATATATATTCCAACTTGAAGGTACTATGCCCAGGTGAACGATCCCAGAATTTGAACTTGAAGTTTCAACCTTTCAACCTCGGAACCTTGGAACGTTTGAATCATTCTGCCTCCCCTACCTATCAACCATTTTTTCCGACTCTCTTCATTTGCTCATTCATTTTTTTCGTGTCACTACCAATATGGCGTCGAATATTCCTGCAAAGGCTGATTACCTCATAATTGGTGGGGGAACGGCCGGTTTGGTGGTTGCAAGCCGATTGTCGGAAGATCCCAAAATCCAGGTGGTGGTGTTAGAGAGCGGTCCGAATTGCACTGCGGACCCTCGCGTGAAAGACCCAAACGCCTGGCCCACTCTGAGTGGCTCAGAGGTCGATTGGAAGATGAAGACCGTACCTCAAGTATGTCTAACATAGAATCCAGCAAATAATTTCTACTGACGATTGAATTGTTAGGCAGGTTTCAATGATCGGGAGCAAGATCAAATTGCTGGGAAGATGTTAGGTGGATCCTCGGCTCTGAACGGGATGGCTTGGGTTCCACCCTCTCGTGCCGGGGTTGACGCCTGGCAAGCTCTCGGTAATCCCAGATGGAATTGGTCATCTGTCTTGCCCTATCTCAAGAAGTCGATCACCGTGACAAAGTCCGGAGAAATCACCGGCAATGGCCCAATCCAAGTATCTTGCCCAGCGCTCGAAGAGGGAACAATCAATCAACCTCTGATTGAAGCTTGGAATGAAGCGCTCAAGGGACAAGGCTATGACTTTACCAGCAACATCATCGAAGAGCATGAAACAATTGGCACCCGCCCTTATACAGCTACAATCGACCCTAAGTCTCATTCCCGTAGTAGTGCGGATAATACATATGCCCAGCAAAAGCGATCAAACCTGCAAATCATCACGCAGGCAACTGTTCACAAGATTGTTTTCAGCCCCGACTCCAAGGATTCTCGGGCTCTTGCTACCGGCGTCGAGGTCGAAGTCAATGGTCAGATTATCCATATTCATGCAGAGAGAGAGGTGATTCTCGCTGCAGGTGCTCTTCACACTCCGAAGTTACTTGAGCTATCCGGAATTGGACAAAAGGATCGCCTGACTCAACTTGGCATCCCCTTGGTAGTGGATCATCCAGGAGTAGGTGAGAATCTCCAGAATCATATTTGGAGCGTCCTGCCTACCGCTCTCAAGGTGGAAGGGATTTCGCCTGGCATCAAAGCTTTGGCATTCACCCGTTTGGGTCAGGATGACCAGGAGCAAATTCTATTGAAGGATTCCGTGGAACATTCTTCGAGCCGCATCATCAAATCCATTCTGCGAGAATCTGATAATGCTTCGGCATGTCTTGCCTTCAGCGTCATGCCTGGAGGAGTCGCTCTCCTTATTGCCCTCGCAAGCTTTCCGTTTTCTCGTGGAAACACCCACATCTCATCCTCTGATATCAATGACAAACCTTGCGTTGACCCCCAGTTTTTCCAAAATGATATTGATATCGAGATTTTGGCCCGTCATATACAAAATCTGCAACAGTTGACCCACGCTCCTGCTTTTGAGAATATCCTACACCCAATCGAAGTAGCAGACTTGGAAACCACTAAGGAAACATTGCGCGAGGCATCTGCCTTGGCTACTCATCACTCTTGTGGAACTGCTGCTATGCTTCCTCGTGAAGCTGGTGGTGTGGTCAATGAAAACCTTCGGATCTATGGAACAAAAAATGTGCGAGTGGTCGACGCCAGTATCTTTCCACTCATTCCCCACGGCAATCCCATGGCAACTGTATATGCAGTCGCGGAAAAGGCTGTGGATATGATGAAGGATTCCGATCTCTCCGAAGACTAGAGAAAGAACCCCAAAGGATGTTGAGGTGTTACAACTAAAACTCTGAATATTTTCCCAGGCTTGCGAGGAAATTCAAAATCAAGAAGAGGATAAATGTGATTTCAAATTCTGATATGAATTTCTTCAAACTAACCATTCATTTCCGTATGTGCTCGTAGTTATGCCCTCGGGATTCTAATGCACTAGTAGTACTCCGATATGTAGCCTGATCAATATAAGGTTCCAAGGTTGAACGTTGTTGTAAGTGACTCCGGAGGGATGTCCAGGTAGTCCAATCTGTCCAGCTGGTTTAAACCTTGGAATTAACGAAAATCCATGCTATTGAGACCAGGTAGCGGTAGCCCACCTAGTCCTCTCAGCATCACCTTCTCCCTCACACTGTTCAATTATGTATTTCCAACTTGAAGGTTCAAGTATTCTCAGAACCTTAGAATCTCACACTGTTATTTCTTTCCTCTTAACCTTATTTCCTCTACACAGCAGCTACTGCCATTCCTAATAGCACTTGAGGTTGGTTACTATTTATTCTACACCCAACGAATTCAAGTTCGAGCAAAATAAGAAATTCATTTGAATTGTCACACTCCCCTTCATAAGAAGATCCCAAAGTTCGCCCGATATTCGGATTATGCTTCCAGATCATGTCTATTAGCCTCAATTTTGTAATTTCCTGCACAGCTGACCGTCATTGTTCTCGACCCATTTGTCACTTCCCACGCTGGTAAGCCCATAGAGAACCCCGTCGGGATCATACTTGGACTTGATTGTTTCAAGCCTGGCATAATTCTTTCCATAAAATACATATTGCCAATCGGGTTGATTGAAGTCTGCTTCATTAAGATACGCACCGCCTCCGGGGCTAAGAGCCTCTAGTTGTGGCACGAGCTTGTCGGTTATAAGTTTCTGATTGTTCAGGTCTGCCGTACGGCTAGTATAGTTGAATGCACTGCCAAAGGAGGGTCAGATCAAGATATCATGGCTCATTTGACTTACATTCAAGGGAGTGGGGTGGTACATACGTTCCTAATACAACAGAAATGGCCGCATTACGCCAAGCTGGATTGACTGAGGTCACGGCGGCTTGATTTTGCGAAACGTTGAGTGAGACTCCGGAGATCACACCGCCTTCTTGGCTAATAGACTGTAGGGTGGAAATGAAGGAAGCTGGGTTTGACTCCAACACCGATCGCGGAATCAACCGCCCTCCAATCTGGTACTCGGTTATGTTGACTCCAGGGTTCATTTCCTCGTAGCTAGCATAGTAAGTGGAGAACTGTTTGATTGTGTAGCCTGTATTGGATGAGAGAAATTGGTCAGTATTTTGTGAGATGGACAGCGAAAAAAAGAAACTTGAGAGGCCTGGTCACATACTGTAACTGATGTTATTTTTCTTCAGAAGGGACAAGGTGGGTTCCAACTGTTTCTGCAATTTCTGCCTTGTTCCTCCCGGCAGGGTGATAGGTGAAAGTTCGAAAAGATACTCTGCAACTTCCCAAATTGCTACAGCCCCCACATCTGTCAAGGGCATTATGTCGGTAACGAAAGTCTTGACTGCCTCCCAGAATATCTCTTTCTTGTCCGGAGCTTCAAATGTCAGAGATGCAGCAGCTGTGCTCACCTCGGGGTGGAGCTTCACTGTAAGGCTCAAAACGATAGCATACGTGCCACCACCTCCGCCAGTCAATGCCCAGAAAAGATCAGGGGTTTGTGTCGGAGATACTGTAAGAACATCGCCTGATACAGTCACCACCTCCCATTCCAGCACCTGATCAACACCGAGACCATACCATGAAGCGAGTGGACCATGGCCCCCGCCTTGAGAATAGCCCCCAGCTATACCAACAGAAGCGCAGTTGCCAGTCACAATTGCTTTTCCATAACTATTGGCTGCCTCCATTGCCTCAAATCCTTGGATTCCGGCACCAATACGCAATGCAGGTCCTGCATATGCCGAAGAGTTGTAATCCAAGTACTCTGTTTGCTTCATATTGTGGGTCCACAATGCTACAGCACCTGGCGCAGTCGATTTTCCATAGTAGTCATGCCCTGTGTTGCGGATAACCAATCGAATATTGTGCTTCTGCGTGAAATGCAGGGTTTCTTGTACATCCTGGGCATTGGTGACATTGACTGCATACGGCTGAAAGGGCCCTAAGGTGCATGAATCACTGGGGGCCAAATACGGATCACAGGTAAAATTCTGAAACCATGCCGCCATTGGAGATGAGGTAGTTGTGTAGTGGGTGATAGGATAGTCCCACACGGATGTCAATTGAGCACACTCCTGTGCGTTGTAGGGTGTGAAAGAGTCATAGTGACAAACACTGCCCAGAGGCACAGTAGGGATCAATTTACCGCCTATTGTCTCATTGAAGGCATTCCATTGTTGAGCCGAGGGCCAACAAGACTCGCCAGGGTAGCAGCGGCATGAAGAATCCGCTGTTACCGCATGGGCAATGGTTGCGAGGGGGCCAAGGGAAATCAGACGACCCAGTAGCATGCTGAAATTGGAAGTACCCAAATATCAAGGAAGAGGAAAGTATTTATGGAGATTGAAGGATATCTAGATCTCGATCCCAGGACTTTCACAGGATGTTATATAGATATTCCTTGCCTATCTAAGAAGATCCATTGATACCGGGAGTATTCGATGAATTCCAAGATTCCGACTCGGAGTTCCATAGATGGATCCTTTGCCCCTTAAATTTCTTCTGGCTATACTAGTGAATGGGGACTCGGAATACGGCCCTTCAAATGTTGCAGGGGTTCTAGCCGAGTTCATATTACAGCATAAGTTGAAAGGATTTAGCCGCTAGTCACGTCCAAAGTGGGTATGTACTTATTTTACCTAGTGGGACTCGGACCGGAGTTGTAGCCATTTGTTCTGATACCGCACCGTACGTACAGGTTCACGTTCCTTACGCGTGTTTTTTTACTGTATGTACAAGTTTGTTATGTCGGGTAATTTAACAATACGCACTATCTAGGTACCTACTACACATCTCCAGGGCTCTGATCGGACCGTGATTACGGGTGATCTCCCTGTGTCCAGTACGCCCATCAAATGGTTGTTGTGGTTGTTGATGCTAGACTGACCCGTGTAATCTGTACCTGAGAGTGCACTGCCATTGGGCGTTCCCCTCGACCAGTCTTGGAATCTTCCAAGGCTCACTACCTAGGCAGGTATCTGATACTTCCAGGGCTACCTCCAGGGCTAGGTACCTTACAGTATTCCTCGTAAATGTACCTAGATGAACCTTGGAAATACCGGGCCTCGGGATGGAAGAATTCCAGTATCGGAAAATTGATCATTTGAGATTTCAACGGGCTCACTTAATTTTCGAGATGATTATTGTAAATACCTGGGCAGGGGCCAGTGGAGAGAAAGAGCGGTGTGGGGTTGCCTAGTACATAGTACCTAGGTAGGTAGGTACCTGGGAAACATCCATGGATGGGCTAGGTAGGTAGGTACGTTCATAGATCCACTTCCAAGGTTTTTGTATTGTTTGCAGGTAATGCACGATACAATACGCTACATCTACATTAACTCCACAGAGGGGCAGGCGTCTCGTCCTTCAGAGCTTGTGCACAGGCAACATTTGAATGACCCACATAATTGCCCCCAAGATACTATGCAGCAGCACTTCACAACTAACAACATCAGTCCACATCTAAACACGGCTCATCCAAGGGAGAGAGTAAATCACGACCTGCCATCCACACCAATATTTCCATGCCAATGCGTCATTAGATTTCTTGAGCACATGAAATGCAACCCAAAGCCCCATAACGACAGGCACACTAAAGACCCATGTTTGCAGCCCCCAAAACGATGCGCAAGCGATGCTCCAAAAGAGGACAAATCCAGTGATTGACCATCTTGAGACCGTATCGCCTAGGACAATCGGCAAGGTCTGCCGTCCTCGACTTTGGTCCCCCACCTGGTCCTTGAGATCTTGAACTTGCATCGTCGTGAAAATAATAGCGGCCTGGATAGCCATCCAAAAATAGCCATTTTCGGATAGGCCATACTGAGGTGCGCCGATTGCAATCTTCAGGGAGCTGGAGAGATATAGAAAGTATCCGATTGCAATGATACCATCACGAGCGAGCCCATCTCCACCTTTTAAATCGTTGTAGAGCCAAGTAAGGATCAAGAGCCAGGCACATTCGTGTCCAGTACCCAGTGAGTAGCTTATTCCAAGGGTTGTCGGAATTGCCAGGAGCATCAATTGCCTTGTGTCATCCGCAGTTATTCCCTTTGCGACTAGAGGACGCCAAGGCTTGTTGAGTCGATCCTCTTCTTGGGACTCGGGCAGCCGTTGATTGGCTAAGTCGAATACGAATACATTGGCCCAGTTGAATAGCAGTACGCGGGGAAGTGCATATAAAACTATTGATTCAAGTGGGATGTGATCGTTGTGCGTCGTCAATAAAGGAGCCACTAGGGCAGAAAACAGGCCACAAGCTGTATTGGGGAGGACAAAGGTTGCAAAATCACTCTCTGTGAAATGCCACAAAAGAAAAGGAAGTTTTCCCAAAAAACGAGCTGAGATACAAGTTGAAGACATTTTTCAAGGTTGGCTGTCAAAGAGAATTGTCAATGTTTGAATTTCCATATGAAAATTTGAAAACACAAGGCCCTTTTATAGAACTCTTCCGAGGTCATCCACAAATGTACAGGGCCCTAGCACTAGCTCAGCTTCTTCTCTTGCACTTCATCATGATCCTTACGTATCTTAAAACTAGTTTGATGTGTTTTCATGTATTTTTATTCCGAGAGTCTCCTGTTTTTCTAGTGCATATGCCGTTCTTTTTTTAGATTTGGGGCTTAACTTGAAGGTGACGGTGTTTTCCTGCTCTTTCTCCTCTTTTATTTCCTTCCAAGGTTTTTTGCGTTCTTTTCCCCTCTTCTTCTTTCTTATTTAATCCCAGCCAATGGGCACTTCAGAAGCTTTACATTGCATTCTCTTTGTAAATTCAAAAAATGTTGCTCCCACTATCTATAGGTGCCACCCTTGGCATCGGAATGCACCTTGTTCTCTTCATTAGAGGAGAATGGCATGTCCAAGCGCCAGATATTCTATTGGGCCATCTTCTTCTCTTCATTTCTTTGGGTGTTTGGGTGAATGAGGCTGGATGTATTATCCTTGGATATCTTACTGCCCTTTTCTCGAGTATCGTCACTTATCGACTCTTTTTCCACCGGCTACGGAGTTTTCCCGGTCCTATCTGGGCCCGTATTAGCAAGATTGGACATGTTTGGAAAGCAAGAAATGCCCAGAACCATTTATTTCTCACCGATCTTCATCATCAATACGGTGATTTTGTACGAACAGGTATGTTGAAGACACATCACTGGTTTTACCCTTGGAACTGAGCCTTGGGAACAGTAGCTGACTATACATAAACACAGGCCCTAGCGAGCTCACTATATATCATCCTGGTGTCTTCATGTCAATTGACGGCCCTTTAACTAAATGTGACAAAGCTGAATGGTACGATATCCTTCATCCGAACAAGGCTCTTGTTACTGCTCGTACCAAGGAGCACCATTCGGGAAGGCGTCGACAGTGGAATCGGGGATTCACATCTACTGGTGAGTACTAGTACATGTCCCTAGGTACCTATTCAGATATCTTGAGGCGGCACTTCAAGCTCCTGTCATAATGGTATACTATAGAGTGGCTACTAATAAAGATTTGACATTAGCGTTAAAACAATACCATGAGCGTGTTCTTCCGTTCATTGATCAGCTTGAAGAGTGTATTCAAGCTGATATATCTGCTGGCAGAGTCTCGGAGACCTCAGATCTGTTTTATTGGCTCGGATTTGATCGTATGGGTGACCTGATCTTCGGTGAGGCATTCGGTATGCTATCTGAGAAGAAATGGCATTACATTATTGTTCTCCTCCAAAAGGCCTTGTCAATTCTGGGACCCATGAGCCCCGTTCCATGGATGGTGCAAATTGCGTTTCATCTTCTTCCACGAATATTGATCCTAGGAGATTGGTTCCGAATGAGAGCTTGGTGCGAAGCCCAAATGATTAAGCGGATGGGTATATCATATGATGCATCAAGGCCATCGGATATCGCCCAATACCTTATCGAGGAAGGCCCAAAGGATATGAAACACCAAACGTGGCTAGCAGGTGACAGCCTCCTGGCTATTGTCGCTGGTAGCGACCCAACCGCAGCCGTTTTGATTGTGATTTTCACTGAGCTCGCGGATCGTCCTCAAGACGTTGAGAAGATTCGGCGTGAGATCGAGAATCTCAACATCGAGGATCCCAACGAGCTGGCCAAAAATTGCCCTCATCTTGAGGCAGTGATTCTAGAGTCTCTTCGCCTCTTCCCGGCACTCCCGACAGGGGGTTATCGTAAGACACTGAAAGAAAGTATCAACATTGGCGGGACTTTCGTACCACCCGAGACAACAATTGTGGCTCCAAGATTCCCGATCGCACGTCGTAAGGCAGCCCTCTTCGACATTAATGGCACATTTTTATTGATACATGAAAAAACAGGAGAGGACTGCTTCGAAAGACCCAATGAGTTCATCCCCGAGAGATGGTACGAAAAGCCTGAAATGGGACGGAACAAAGCCGCATTTGCGCCGTTTGGAACCGGTAAGTTAATTCCGACCCTCGATCATTGGAAATCTCTCTAAGTTAGCAAGGTCATCATGCGTGTCTTGGAAAGCCTCTGGCGATGAGTGACATGAGGTTCATAACTGCACGGTTGATCCGCCGATACCGCTTTCGGTACCCCAAAGGCGAAACAGCTGAGACAGTCCGGAATGCCTTCAAGGATCAATTTACTTCAAAGCCTGGGCAACTACGATTGGTTTTTGAGGAGCGGGAGAATTAGTTCATATTTTGCTATATTAGTGCGATAGGTGTTGTAGAGCAGGTCACTACCTACGTTATCCCTTACACTAAGTTCTTGAATTACTCCCAAGGTTAGGTACATCAGTCAATAACCTTGAAAGTGTCTACCGAATTTTACATGGCAATTATTCAAAAATTGTGAAATCAACAGTAACGTTGAATTCTCAGGTTTCCATCGACCTTGCTTCTCTGTTCTAGCACGGTCAGCAACTCTTATGAAGTACTTCAATATCTTAAACTGCACATGTGCAGATGGGCTTAGTAGGTCTCATCAGGCCAGCATGGCGACCAAATTCTAGGCAGATACGTCACTCGTTTTTCATGAGATTTTTCCCGTTCTTCAAGCTCTAGAAGATTGGAAGTTTTTAATATCATCTAGTTCTCAGTTTGGAGATGTTTCTGAATCATGGATGTAATGTGGTTGGTGCCACAGCACCTGGGCACCTTAAATAGCTGTAATGGCACCAAACCAAGCATTTGGAGTTAGTATCTAGTGAGCCTTGCTATAATCACAGGTGAGAGGCTCTCATAGTACCACCTCCCTACTAATGGACATTCTGATTTTGCGCTGGAAATTTTGCCCCTCTGGCTTTACGATGCATAATTCCAAGGTTCACGTGGAGCTAGTATTTCGTCGCGCCTTTCTAGTATGATCAAGTCCGACTCGGATTCAACCTCGAAATACCATGTCCAGGTGTTGTATCTATTAGGCAATACGCTAAAGTTAGAACGGCAGTTCATTCGCTCATAATTATCAGGTGGAATTTCTAGGGTTTTTTGACTTTCTTGCAGCCCTATTTCCATTCATTCGGACACTTTTTCGGGGGGAGATGGTGAATCTCCATCAACTGGATTGCAAGTTGAAAAAACGTCTCAAACACACACATGTGCATGGGGATGAATATACCACCATGAATTTGGAGTGATACTTGTATTTTGTTAGGCAAGATTCAAACCTTGGAAGTGTTGTTCTGGGATGTGGCCAGGGCTTAGGCGGAGAAGACTTGGAGTTGTTCAAACTTCAACTTCAAGTTGAAGTTGTCACATGCATGTCCTACATACTATCCATATTTTCAAGTTTGGAATACTACTACTAGTAGTAGGTAGGCACTTACTACCTAGTTAAAGTCTGACAAAAGACCAATAGTCTGGGGGAATGGGAACCTTTGTTGGTGGTGTTCTGTTCCAATTGATCTTTGAAAACGAATTGGCTCAAGTGCTTTTAGTACTATATATTCTGATCGGGACTAGCGATCGTATTAGTAGTTTTCGAGTTCAGATACTAACCAAGAAACAAAAGAAAAAGAAAGAAAAAACCCTGGGAAAACTCTTAGGAAACATCATTTCAAGTTTCTAGCATCCATCTGCGTGGAGTTTGTTTTCCCCAATACAAGAGCCATACAGCAGAACACAATGACTATTGCCTCCAAGGTTCCAAGCCCTGGAGGTTTTATCTGTTTACCTAACGACTGCACTGGGATACCTCTGGATACCACACCAGGGGTAGTCTAACTATAGTAGGTAGGGATAGTGTTATGCAAGATCAGGTTCAAAGATATTTTGAAGAACACGACTAGGTGAAGCTGATTTCGAGCGGCCCTGTATTGAAAAGCCGGCGTGAAAGGACTTAGCAGCTACAGCCTATGATTGATTGTGGCTGTGACAGTGGCTATGGCGTGGCTAGAGAATTGGTGCCTAACGTTAGTGCCCTACTCACATTTGAACATGACCATAACAATAAGATAATATTAAAATAGATTTACTATGATCTCAGAGTTTTTCTGGGGTAAAATTCGGCCTAATTATTACTATTTTTCTTTTCTCTGATTTTCATGCGAGTCAACCTTGGAACACTCAATCCAAAGCTTGGCTCGAGGTGACGATAACCTTTTAATCCACAAGGTGCTGCCGTCTGGGCATAGTTAAATCATGGTTTAAATTCAGAAACAAGCTTTTCAACTCTATTCGAGTTCCTTTCATCTATCAAAAATCAACTGAAAATGACTCTTTAGTAATATCTTGAGATATGGAGAGTAATCACCTATGCAGGGTCACAACCCCACAATCCCACAAATTTAGAGAGCGAAAAAAACTTCACTGGGGGCCAATGGGGGGGCCAAACCGGTTCACATGATTGTATTGTGGGCAGATCGCTAATTGCAGTTCTCTTAATTATTAATTATCCACATGAACATTTGAACCCCATACATTTAAGTGTGCACCCCGGAATAGCCGACGTGCTACAGCCGATGCTATGCCAGTTTAGTGCTTAGCGCTCCTACAGTGCTACTTTTGTTCACCGATCCCCTTTTCCAAGTATTCAGAGCTGAACCATGGTCTTGCGGAGATAGAAAACAACTTGGAATGTGATAATATTAGATAGTCCTGAAGCAATTCAGATGATCGAGGTTGGAATTCAAATATTTATGTAGTTCAAGTAGTATGAGCCAACTTGAATCCAAGCATCACATATAATAGTCAGCCCTGAACTCCGTAGATTCAGGATGAGATGTGTAAATTCAATGTTGTACTTCGCAACTTGAATCATCAAACTTTTACCTAACAACGGATAAACTCACTTCCAAGATTCCTGAGCTCGTCAACACGGTCATCCCTGTAAGCGAGTTGTACTGTCAAGGTGATGACTCTGACGAGGCTCCCAAGATCCGCATAGAGGGTGTAAAATTCCCTCCAAACAAGCTCACAGCTATGAAATAATATCCACAAAGCCCACTTTGATATTTATAGCTTATCATAAGACCAAAGATTGCCAGACTTGAAGCTGTACAATACAGCTGAACCCCATACGGAGTACTCCGTGAGAATACACGTGGGTGGACGCGTCCACATGTTTTCCCATGTTTTTCCCCCACAAGTCCCCACAGTTAAATGTTTATGGTTAAGATCAACTCCCCGACATGCATTGGCAGCATTGCCCCAGGTTAACAGCTGACTCCCCCCATGGGGTGCTCAGACCCACCGGCCGACTGCTTTTCCGTTTCCCCATGTTCTAAGAACGGTTATTTGGTTTTCCAGTGTGGCGTCTCTCTTAATTATACTCGCGCGGGATGGCGTTGGATTCAAATGCTTGTTCCTACCAATCAATCTCACCGAGTCACCCCGGACTTCGACCCTGAAGAGGCCATAGCTGTCATACTCTTGAGCTCTTTCCCGCCATCTGCTATGCTTTCTCCCGTTCAGAATTTTCCATAAAGCTGGACTCATCCTCCTTTCATCCTGTTTCCCCTCCCTTTTTTTTCTCTTTCTCTCTCCATACTATCCTACACATCTGAACCTACTTCCCTCCCCTCTCTCTGAGACTATATACTGACTCCTTTACCCTCTGGGATACTCCTACACTCAATTCCTCTTCCTTCCCATATCTCTCCTGAGAGACACCATCAACATGGGCATTCTCTCCTTCGTGGAGGATCGGCCAACGCCGAAAGCAGTGTACAACTGGCGCGTATGGCTCCTCGCAGCCGTCGCATCATGTACCTCCTGCATGATCGGTTACGACAGTGCCTTCATCGGTACAACCATTGATCTCCCTTCCTTTAAATCCGAGTTCGGGTTTGACACAATGACCAAGTCCCATCTCAGTCTTATTAGCGAAAACATTGTTTCCATTTACCAAGCTGGTTCATTCTTCGGTGCCATCTTTGCATACCCAATTGGCTTTTACTGGGGCCGACGTATCGGTCTCTTAATGGCTGGTTTGGTCTTTGTGCTTGGTGCTGGAATGATGTTGGGTGCTAATGGGGACCGAGGACTGGGTCTGATCTACGCTGGTCGTGTTCTAGCTGGTCTGGGTGTTGGCATGGGCTCTAACATGGCCCCTATCTATATCTCCGAGCTTGCTCCTCCTGCCATTCGAGGCCGATTGGTCGGAACTTATGAGCTTGGTTGGCAGATTGGAGGTCTTGTTGGATTCTGGATCTGTGTATGTTCCGCTTCCCCTCTCTATCTTTCCCCTTGATGCATTTGAGAACAATTGAATACTAACAGTTAGTAGTATGGTGTTGAGGAAACACTTCCTTCAAGCACTAAGCAGTGGATCATTCCATTCGCCGTCCAACTCATTCCTGGCGGTCTCTTCCTGATCGGTCTTCTCTTCATTCGGGAATCCCCTCGCTGGCTCCTATCCCGCGGTCGTCGCGAAGAAGGAATCAAGAACCTTTGCTGGATGCGTCAGCTCCAGGAACACGACATCTACATCCTCGAAGAAGTGCGCATGATCGACCAAGCCCTGGAAGAACAATTCAACGGTGGCGGCAGTGGATTCTGGACACCATTCAAGATCGCCGCCTCTGACAGGAGAATCATGTACCGTCTCTTCTTGGGAAGCATGTTATTCTTCTGGCAGAACGGATCCGGCATCAACGCTATCAATTACTACAGTCCTACTGTCTTTGAACAGCTTGGTGTGACAGGTACCAACACTTCTCTCTTTACCACCGGTATATTCGGAGTGGTTAAGACTGTTGGAACTTGTATCTGGATTCTCTTGCTGATTGAATGGGTTGGACGTCGTCGTCTTCTGATGATCGGTGCAGTTGGAAGTTCCATCTCCCTCTGGATTGTGGGTGGTTATATCCAAGCTGTTGATCCTGCGAAAACAGCCAACGGAAAGATGACACCAGGTGGTATTGCAGCCATCTTCTTCTTCTATCTCTCCACTGCTTTCTATACCCCAACCTGGAATGGTACACCATGGGTTATCAACGCTGTAAGTTTCACCCAAAAACCTCTGACTCATGACGATAATACTGATACTGATTCTATCTAGGAAATGTTCGGATCAAACGTTCGCGCCCTCGCTCAAACCAGTGCCGCATGCTCCAACTGGCTTTGGACCTTCCTCATCTCCCGTTTCACAGACCAAATGTTCGCCGCCATGGGTGCTGGAGTGTGGTTCTTCTTCGCTTCGCTGATGCTCTGCTCGGTCTTCTTTGTTTTCTTCCTTATCCCAGAGACGAAGAGTATTCCCCTGGAAAGGATGGATCATCTCTTCGACCACAAGCCTATCTGGACGGCTCATGCCAAGGTCATGGAGGAATTGGCAGAAGAAGAGTTGCAGGTTCGTCAGGAACTTGGTGCCACCGAGAAAGAGACGGTGACTCAAGTGGAACATGTGGTCTGATCTCCTTATTTATGTTTATGTTTATTGTGAATACTTTGCGACGAAACTGTTGATGTCAGTCAGGTCCTGATTATCATGTCTTTTTATGTTAATGTTATGATTATTATCATGGTTCTCTACTAGTATTTTGAACTCCAAAGATTCTTCTTCAACCTACCAATGCCTTGTTCAAGTTATTGTAGCCCCAAAAACATTACTGAAAGGACGATCTTCCAAACTCCTGGGATTATCAATAACTTCAAGTTCAGGTTGGAGTCAAGGTTGAGCATCATGATTCCAGGAAATCAGAGGGGAGCAGACAAATGGCGCCGTAGCACTTCCTACAACAATTGAACCCTGGAATCCATCGCGATACTATCAGTAAACTGAAAATTTTCAAAATTAATAAAACATTATAATGCAACAAGTCTATTCTATTTCCCTCTTTCAATCCAATCAATAGGAACAGGGCATACCAATACACTAAGTTACACGGAGACAAAAAACCAGCAATGACATAGGAGCGCAGAACGGGGGAATGAATATGCTGAGAAGTTGAGGATCATGGAGAGGAGAATGCGGCGAGAGGTAGAATCGGGAGAGCCAGCAGACACTTTTATATAGTACACACCCCGATTCGAGCCCTCGGCATAAGATGAGGGAGGGGTCAGATCTGATAGGCGATGCGGCCACTTGGTGAGATTCGGAAATATAGCAGGTTCAGAAAAACATTAATGTATGTCTTCTGGTAGCCTACTGGGTCTTCTCCTCTACGTCGTGAGCGGCCTTAGGAAGCAGGATGTCAGCCTCGGCGGCCACGGAAATAGCCGCCACATCAGTGTTGTCTTCCTGGGCGAGAACAGGCTGCTCTTCGAGGACAGGGAGGTCCTGCTGCTCGGTAGCAGCCGGAGGTTGTTCGGAGGAGGCAGGGGCGCCAGTCTCAGGCTCATCGTCGTCTTCTAACTCGGCGCCGTAGATTTCGGGGTGTTGACGGAAGCAATCTTGCATGCCCCTAGGGAATATTAGTATGGGCATATGTCAATCGTCACAAATGATCCGGGAAAGCATACTTGAACTTGTCAATGCATTCCATGCCCTTAGGCTCCTCCTCGGAGTACACGAAGCAGCTGAAAGCCGCCTTGAACTCCTCTCCACATGGGCCATGCGCCATACCACCCAGGCAGGGGCAATCCCAGTTGATCTCGCCAGTCTCAGGGTTAAACGCGGCCTGTTGACCAGCCTCCTCTTCGAGCTGTTGAGCATTGAGGCCACCTTCGAGAGCCTTAGCAGCAGCCCGCTCTTCCCGAATCTTGGGGGTAATGGAATCGAGAGTTTGGGAGGATGCGTCGGAGGCGTTATCTTTTCGCAGGTGAGAGAGAACGGAGACTGCACATACATGATAATCATTAGCAGTGATTCAACAAGTTCAATGAGCAGAGAATGCGACAAATTCCGAGATGCTAGGATCTCGGGTACGACAAGCAGGAAAAATAGGAACAGCGCTGGCAATCAACATTCCAGGTGGACGTACAGGAAGGCTCCTCGGAGAAAGCGCTGCTAGTGTTGTAGTAGTAGATAGCACCACCAGCCAGACCCAAGCGAAGCACACTGCTCTTCAAGCTTCTGGATTTCGGTGTCGGACCAGTGCTTATCAATCGGGTTGTCGCCGGAGTACGGGCCGCGACAGCGGGCGAGCGCGCGAGCGCTCTGGCGGCAGGACGAAACATGATGCAAGAAATTGTGTCTGATGGTGGAATTGACACCGTAAAGACCTCCAAGGGGGTGTGGCGGGGAGAGAAGGAGGGTCTGTCGGATGGAGAAGATGGTGGAAAGAGAAGGTGGATTTCGGCCTGAGGTTAGAAACTTGGGTCACGTTGCAGCGCGGGTCAACCAACTTGTTACACGCGACTCTTCATCGCTACATCGGATTCTCACACAACTGGCTCATATCGTGAAATTTGGTATTGGGATGATCCTTGATTAGATATGGAGTGGAATCCGAGTCTTTTCTTTCGTCCCGAGGGAAGTCCTTCACCATATGCGCTGTTGATCTTGAACCAGCCAATCAATGAGAAGGCATTTGAGGTTCTAAATGAATATGGTAAGTGACACTTTTTGCTGTCTCTAATATTTCTGCTATATATGATCTATATATGGTCTATTTGTTGGATTTATGCATGGCTTCTTACATATGGTGCAAATAGCTTCTTATATCATATGCGCTGATGGTGGGGCCAATCGGCTATACGATTTGACGAAGAGTCAAGGGAAAGAGTCAATAATAGTAAGTCATTCAATAGTCATGAGATTTCTTCTGGCGTCCTATAATTTTCTCTATTATGCAAATGGAGCTTAAGAAACCGGCTTCTACTCAATTTTGTATCATTCAACGCCATGAAATACTACATATCCTGTCCATGAACTGACATGCATATAGCTTCCTAATACCATCGTTGGGGACTTGGACTCGTTAAATCTAAAAATTAGACAGCATTATGAGGACCTCGGAGTAACCATCTTGGAAGATCCAGATCAATACTCAACCGATTTCACGAAATGCTTGAAACACCTCAATACGCATTCATCAGAGATCATTGCCTCGCCTCGGAAACAGCGGAAAGATTCCACCTCTGGATCAAAATGGGCACCAGACTCAGTACTTGAGATTGTCATTCTTGGGGGTCTCGGTGGTCGTGTGGATCAAGCCTTTTCTCAGATTCATCATTTATACATGATGACTCGGGCCCAACGAGAACTTCGTGAAACACCACAATATCAAGATCAAGATCAACAGGGATACAAGAAGCCATCTGCTGCAGGTGGAAACCTCTATCTCGTCTCCGAGGAAAGTATTACGTTTGTTTTACAGCAAGGGAAGAATATTATTTATACACCAGGCACAAGAAGGCCTGATATTGCTCAAGCTGCATTGGACACTGGTTCTCAGCCCGAGAACTCTTCTGAAGCGACGCTTAAACGTAAGCGGGACGTGGAAGGAACAGAGTATTTCTTCGAGGAGAATATCGGTATTATTCCCTTGTCTGCTCCAGCGTCTATTACAACGCAAGGCTTTGAGTGGGATGTTCAAGACTGGCATACAGAGATTGGGGGTCAACTGTCTACGAGTAATCATATTCGGGCAGAAAAGGTCGAGATAGAGACTTCGGTATCAGTACTATTCACGGTGGAGTTGGCGCAAAGACTAAAGCGATGAACGATGCTCGATTTAAGGGTGGAATAATGTTTGGAAATGTTTACTTGATTGCTACTCCTACTTTAGAGTATAGAGTCAAAATAAAGACGAAAGTCATTAATACTCAAATGAAACTCCTGAAAAAAAGAACCGGGACCAGACCAGAATGAGAACCCAAACCCAGGCGCCGCCTCTGGCTGAAAGTGAGAAATAAAGAGAAGGAAGAAAAAGTCAGGACAAAAAAAGAACAGTACTGCATATCGCATCGTCGCATGTCCCAAACACGCAACTTAACCTGTAGCCCGCAAGCTTCAACACACAAAAAAGCGAGAGAATAGAAGACCACAATTCATCTCCAGAAACAGGGGATATCATCCAACAAGGAATAAGTACAGACCCGGATGAATTACCGGAGTTGCACAAGGGAAGTAAAACAGAAACAAACTCAACAGAAACACATTCACGTCATTCTTCCACGAAAAACACCAACCGTATTCTCGCCCATATTTCCACATAGGAAACCGCCTGTACAGCGCAAGGTAGACACAATGGAGACGAATAGACGATCTACGAGCGGCGCAGAATGGCTTCGTATAGAGTTCCAATGACGCCAATAGCGTTACCAGTCAGTACAGCCTTCCACTGTCCCGGAATAGCGAAGTTGGCCTTCTTGATCGAATAAGGACTGAACAGAGAAGCATAGTCCCAGTGGTGAGCATACACCTTGTACGCCAGCAAAGCCTTGACGATGTTAAATGTGAGAGGGTCGAAGCTAGCGTGCTCTGCAGCTTGACGCTGACGACGCAGAGGACTCTGAGAGCTAGCGGCAGCTTGCCAGCTCAGATTAATGAAGTAAGCAGCAAACAAGGGCAAGCCAAGGTTGGTGATAAACCAAAGCATGAAGGGGGCCCAGAAATTGGCGGTGAGGAGAACGAAAAGATCGGGAACGCGGAGGGAAATAGCTGGCAGGGAGACAGCTGGCACAGCAGGAGTAGTGGTGAGGTATCGCAGGGGAACAAGCTCCGCGAGAATGAAACCTGTCTCCAAAAGCACAAACATCGTTTCCACGGCCTTGAGGCTGCTCAAGGTTGAGCGCAACGCGTGCGAGCGCTCGATGATACCGGATGCTGTCCATGCACTCTCCAGTCCCTCGCGCATCTTGGTGGTCTGCTGGTCAATAGCATCGGTCACGATAGCGGGAGAAGGCGGCAGGTATGCATTAGCCGACTCAACGACGGAGCGCACTGAGCGTACGGCTGAGCGCGGCGCAGAAGCGGGGGTCTTCTTGGGAGCGGGAGTGACGGCAGCGTCATCAGACTCACTGTCATATTCGATCAGTATGTGTTAGGAATCAAGCGATGACGGCGCGTTTCATGCGACACTACGTAGTCCCGTTACAATTCGGATGAAATGGTTGGCCTTACATGGGCTCCTCCTTGGTCTTCGTAGATCGCCGACCAGGAGTCTTCTTCTCTAAGACAGGAGTCTTGGGAGTCTTTTTCTCCAGGAGAGGGGAAACCTCAACCCGGGCTTCACGCTTCACAGGTGATCCTCGCCGAGTAGTGCCGGCCAGACGCGAGTAGAACTCTGAAAGCGACGAGTCGGTGGAGAAGATGGCGCGGTTGTCACTCAAGTGCTTATCCAGAGCTGCGACAAGCTCGCCTTTGTTGTATTCATCATGACTTCAAGTAACCAGTCAACGTTAGCTTGAGCGATGGGATGCGCGACACTCGTGCGCGATCAAGGATATAACTTACTCTTGCAGGTCAGTTTTCTCGGCGATTTCAACCAGCTCCGGCTTGCGCAGCTTGTTCAGATAGGGAAGACCACTTGACATGATGGAATATAGCTCTAATCAACTATTAGAAAGAGTCATGTGGTCTGTTTTATTCGATCTTACCAATTCATCAAATCACGGAAAGCTTGAAAGTGTATGTGCTGAGGGGAAGATGCAAGGAGGGGGCGGGCATTACATGTATTGTTTACATGCGGGATCGCCAAAACAAAACACGCTTCCCAGTTTAGCGCGTTCCTTTACTCTTTTAACTTGCAAATTCCATGTGGGGAATGAAAATAATACAATATTATTATTATTATAGGATAAAGGATCTCTATGAGAATTAACTCTCTTGTATTTAAAATACAAAAAGAAAACTATTGTACAATTGGACTTTTTAAAGTCCGTCTAGTCTATAATACAGAGAGTTAAGTACACCTTTAAACAGCAACCACCACCATGAATCCTGCCCTTAAAAGTACAAGATACTTAGGACTTCATAAGGGAGGAAAGAAAGTACTTCAGAGTAGAAAGGTCAGTAATGAAAGGAAAGAACTCCCCCCCAAATAAAAACGCCATCCCAATGGAACAGAAAGAGAAAAAAAAAAAGTCCCGTCAGGGAACACATGCAGGCAAAATTACACATCATAGAGGGGAGTCCTCGACGCCTTGATAGGCCTCGATTTGTTTAAGGAGGTATTGATACATGACCAACATCGTTCCTGACTGAATGCTGGTCCATACTCCACGCGGGCCCACGCCGCGGAACCACCCCGCAAGCCCCTCGGTCTGGTAGATCATCTTCAATCCTGTGAAGACAGATGATGTATCCAAGCGAGGTGCACCAGGTGGTGAGACTGATGTGGATGGTGAAGAGGTGGAGATTGGTCGAGAGGATGTGCGAGAAGAGTGAGAATGAGATGGAGCGGGAGCATGGGGTCGATGACTTTCTTTCGGGACATGATCTCCGCTGTGCTTGGCCCCGGACGATCCAGTGGGGTTCGCCGGAGGATTTTGTTGAGTCTGAATGCGTGTTTTGACCACATCTAACGGGCAGGTTATCACACCAGCCATACCACCAGCCGTTGCTGCCGTGAGAATCTCTAGACCCAGACCAATCTCCCGCTGACCGACCCATGTCTTAGCCAGGTTTTGTTCTTGTTCGTAAAAAGCGAACTGCAGAGCGGAGAATGGTAAATCACGGAAAATCGTTGCCTTGTAACCGTGATATAAGGCAGCTGGTCCTTCTTTGCGAACAATCGTTTTCAACGCATCGGTGGTACTGCGATAGTTGTATCCGGAATGAAAGTGTGGGTTGTTGTACCGGCCCTGAAGCTGCAATCGGGTCTTTAACACCTCGGATGGCACATAAACGATTGATGCAGCCAGATCTGCGAAGAAGCCACCAGAGAGATATGCGAGGTTCTGGTTGATTCCCCTGTCCAACATCTCCCGCTTGGTGAACTCGTACACGCCGAAGAAGATCACTGTTCCCGGGAAAGAACCCCAGAAGGCCGGAATGACACCACCATATAAACCTCGTAGAATTCCCTCCTGGCGGAAAATTGTTGCATACGAAGAGGTCATCGAGGAGTACTTGGGCGGGAAGTGCGGGTCGCCTTGTTGTCGGGTCTTGACGGTATCCAACGAATGCATCAACATATCACCACAGGTGCCTCCAATTCCGCCTGCAAACATTGCCTAGACGCCAAAATCTGTCAATACTCTGGTCCAAAACGATAATTCCTATATCAAAAGGGAGGGTCTCACATGTAGGTATGGCGGACGGGGTTCTTCCTCCTCCAACAGGTGGCCATCCCGACCATGACCTGCAACAGCATCTATTCCGCTACTTCTGATCTCATTATATGGTGGTTTCTGTGTATGAGGGAGTGACGTGGGGAAACTATCGGTCACGGGGTCTCCGGTCGGTGTCGAGAAAAGCCCGGACACTCGCGAGATCAGGCTCATGGCAAGATGCGCCGAGAGACTGTGCTCCTGAGATGAACGGGACCGGGGGTGATGAAGGGGGATTCGATAAAAGAAAAAAAACAGAAAGTATCACCCCCGGTTCAAAAAGAGTTCAAAAGAATGACAAATCGAAAAGCACGCGGTTGAGTAATGGGGAGATTGATGTATCTCGGGCCGGAGATCAAAAATCTGGCCGGCGATGTTTTTTTCTCCGCCCCGATATCCTTTGTCGCCACCATAATCAGGCATCACAAAGAATATATGGAGCTGACGTCATATTATAGATCAAACAGATTTACAATGGAAAAAGTTGGAAACTTGAACAAATTGAAACATTTTGAACAGCAAGACAATAAATTAATATTATTAATCATACACATAGTTCCAGGTTAGAGGCCCGTATATAGATGCCACTTCTAAAAGCTCATTCAAAAATACCGTGACGTGCACATGTGTAGGCTTGAAATATGAACAAGCCCATTCAACGCTCACAAGACTCACATTTCACACATCTAGTTTCGAGTCTTCTTCTTCATCTTCATCTTCGCAGCAAAGCCCTGTTTCTGGAGGAAATCAGCAATCTCCTTGTAGCCACCAGTGGCATTGTAGTGCATATTCAGGCCATGACCAGTGTTGGGTTGAATGTAGGATGAAAAGGTCTTGGCCGATGGGAAAGCATCCTTAACACTAGCCGCAATGGAAGTTCCATTGCCTCCAGTTGCAGTACAATTGCCACCACAGAAAGGCACATCATTGGAACCATCAATGACAAAGACGGGACCAGTGAAGTCGTTGGTGGTAGGCAGACTACCCATAGTCAAGAGCTCACCAACAGTAACAGGCTGCTTGTTTTGCTCGGCGTAGGCAAGAATCTTAGAATCAAAGTAATTTGGGTAGAAGAAGAGGAACTCGCAGTTACCAGCATTTCCACTGCTCAGATACCCTGGGCTGTATTTGTTACTCGACTGAGTCGAAGTAGTGCGGTTCTGGCTGGCTTGCTGGAAATTGGCACCAGCAAGGAAGAGAGGTGTGAAAGAAGAGTTCAGAGAGAATCCAGTAAGGACAATTCCATCAGAGAGGCTGGGGTACTTTGCTACCAATGCGTATGTCTGAGCAGATCCGTAGGAGTGGCCCACATGGACAATCTTGGAGGGCTTCTGACGGATTCCAGGCACAGAACCGTTGCGGATCATGCGGGTGATCTGAGCAAGAGCCTCAACTTCAAGGAATGTCTGGATCTCGTTCTTTGGATCGCCGTGGGAAGAGTTGCCAAGACCAAGGCGATCATATGAGAGGGTTTGAAAGCCTCGTGACAGAGCATAGTCAACGTAGGAGTAGTTGAAGTTGCTGTAGGGGAGATCCCAGTAGCTGATATGAAAGGTTAGAAATCCTTTGTTCTGAAACCAGGCTTCAATTTACTTACCTCTTATCAAGTCCGATGCCATGAGTCAAGATTTGCAAAGTGGTGCCGTTGCTCATGGTACCATTCGGCGCGCAGTACTGAGTTGAGATATTGTAGCGTCCAGATACAGTATCATAGTCGGTCAAAGCATCATCAGTGAAGTTGCTTCCTTGGCGAGTAATATTCAACACAAACGCTGTCGCATCTGTGTTGGTGGTGGGTGTATTGATGCCGTCAAAAACACCATTGCGGGCAGAGATGGAGACCGGGACGGTAACATTGTAGCAAGTTTTCCCAGAAACAATGCCGGCCGCTAGAAGCAACACCCCAATTGTGGAAGAAAGCATTTTTTTTCTGCTATGAGGGCGATGAAATGTCTTCTTCCTTTGAAATTAGGTCGGGACGAGCGCAGGAGGCCGGCGGGACATTTCTTTTTAAGGCAAGCTAATGGCCGTGGGTCCCTAGTATTAATGACGCCCATTCTATTGTTAGATATTCAATGATGATTCAATCACTGAAACCTGCTACTATGGCCGAATCTGTCAAGTATAAGGGACTTGACTAGGCTGCGATATTGAATCTGGGTTCAAGTGGAGACATTGACCCCGGGTCTTGGTGGGCCGTATATCCAATCTGCACCAATTATTTGATTCTTTGATGTATTTAAGGTTTTTCGTTCAATGAACCTTCCTAATGCTACTCTGCATCGAGTACAGGGTAGAGGGGGCACGTCATAGAGTCTCCGAGTGGCAACGTCACAATGTGCAAGTTTGAAAAAAAAGGTTGAGATTCAATTCAATTAAAAGACACTATCATTCCATCAATTATATTCCCTGATCGTTGAAGAAGGTATCTTCATATTTGGATCAAGCTTGGAGGTGATTTCATCTGGAGTTCGTACTATGTAGTAAAAAAAAGCCTCCAGTTCCCAATGTCGCGGCGGAAACTAACGGAACTTAATCTTGAAAATCAATATTACCTGCATTAGGTGTGTGGCGATACTTCCACGGTTACTATTCTACTGTTAGAATTTTCAAACTCGATTTTCCGACATGCAGTGCAAGTGGCTGGTCGGAATGGATGAAGCCCAAGAATGAATGACATACAGTCGTTCTCGAAATCGGCTTGACCAGTACACTCTTCGACTCTCTTTCTCGACCCCGCTGCCAAGACCCTAGCGTAGATCATTAATTTGGCTGACCGCAGTAAGTTGAGGGCCACTGTAAAATGATGTTTGTATAGTATTGTAAAGCGCTAGTAAGTTTACGCGATGTGTTAGAGAAGTAATGGAATCCCATGGAAATCGATGCTGGGGGTCTCCCCCAAACAATCCGTATTTGACTTCTGTTCCATTCTCAGCCCATCCACTGCTCGTTGCCACTTACCGCCTCTTAAGGGGTTTTGCTCGGCTTACGAAATATCATCCTGCTTCTCCAGGACTTTGATGTTTGCGGGCAAACATCAGCCTTCTGGCAGCCGATGACGTAGGCCTCTGCGAATCACTAACAACAAGTCTGTCGTTACAGTAGTCCAGAAATATAAGGCCCAATTATCCCATTGGCCATCATGACTATGGCTTTCAACAAAGCCAAAGCGTTGATGCCTGGGACAATGACTCCTAATATGCACCAACGCCTGGTAATTTCTGTTGTTCACCAGCCACTCTTTCCGACAGAAGCTATACCAATGTTGATCCTGCACCTTCCATTGATTATACCTCTCCGCAACAGACTGCCCTACCAAAGGATAGCCTTTGGCTTCTTTAATTCGGTGATTGGGAAGAAGGCCGGACATATGATAAAGATCCACCGACCTATATATACTATATGATTAAGTAGAAAGTCACCCTGAATAACAGAACAGTGGCAAAAAAATACAGAACAAGACCTGGTTCTAGCCCCTTGTTTTTACTAGAGACTCTTTTTAGAGCCAAAGCTCAAAGAGCTCGTTATTCGAAAGTATCCGTATCGGAATATTTAAACAGATGATACCTCTGTTGTCGTATCTGCCATATAACAGAGGAATATTCCTCTGAGATTTGATGGAACCAATATTGATTGGACATCTATAGAGAAATAGCTAGCTGATTAGGGAGATCTGGTTCTTGCTGGCAAGAAGCTAAGACTTGTTATTTCTTTCAACTATATAGATAGCACCCAGGGTTTGACTGCTAGTCATAGAATGACTGATAAAAGAGGAGCTTTATCCGCTACTCAGCACATGCTTCAAGAACAGGACGAACAACTATCTGTTAAGGAGGAAGTTCTCGGAGAACCTCCTGCTTAGAAAGCGGTTTATGCTCTAATGCGGTGCCCTGGGTCTTGTGAATTGGGCCCTTACTGTTGGTAAGATCCTTATGGAAAAAAGCATTATAAGCTTTACTAGGATCAGCTAGAGAACTTAGTAAAATATATGCAGAGTGGTGGGGTTTTACAATCACATAAAGATATCCTAGGCATGATTCATGAACAGATCTATAGAGCAGAGAGGCAGCGGCTTGAAAAACCTAGGTCATATAATCGCACTGCCTCCGAGACAGGTTACCCTCCTATTACTATCACAAACGTCCTTCTACCACAAACACCTCAGGCAACAGGGTCATATATGTCTTTGCCGCCAGACACTACTACAACCCCCTCAGCAGACCTCCCTGGCCTTCATATTTCGGGACTTCTGGACGTTGCGGTAAGGGAATATAGTACCTGGCAGCAGTCACGAATGAGTGATGAGGTATTGAAAGCCGAGGTCAAAAAGGCATGCGATGTAGCTCTAGACGATGGACTAAATCTGGCACAAATTGATGAAGATAAAAGCCCAGATTACTTCACGAAGCGAGGTGTCAAGTGGGGCATTGCTCGGCGCTTCGTTAGTGACATTAGGTTCTGGGCCGAGAATGTGATGGTTATATGAAGACGGACAATATTTGAATTGGTTTTTGGGTTATATTGTGGTTATATTGTGCTTACTTGTTCTTCGTGCATCTTAATATAGTTGATGCGTCTTTGCGACTAAGATACAGCAAGGGTCGAAATCAGATTCATCACTTGAAAACAGAGGTTCTTTCTTAAGCCCCACTTTTAAACACGATTATCTATATTTGGCTGATTATAGTTTCAAGGGGCTAAATCGTATCGAAAGACAGTATCATCAGAGACTGATTTGATAAAAAATCTTGAAAGGCTCTTGTAAGAAGTACAATCATGACGTAGTCAATTAACACACTCCTATAACCCTCACTATTGTCACGCTTGGCAACAGTATTTGCCATGGCTTAGGGTTGAAATCCTTACTTTAGTTTACAACATTATATGTACATGGGAAGGAATTCAAGGCCTTGAACGAATGATTATATATTTTTGGTCTTGACATATACTAAATGCAAGCATCTGTCCTATTTAGGCATTGATATCCAGCGCCTCTGTTTCCCATTGCAACAACGTTTCAGCATTAGATGAAGTGTGCAGATGATTAGTCCCTAATATCTCTTTCTGCCTGTTTAAACAGGCCTGTAGTAGTTCGATGGCTTCGGTGTTGCGACCGGAAGATTTCCATGTGAGCGCCAGGTTGGCCATGCTCGTCAGCGTGTCGGGATGGTCCACACCGAGCTTCGTTTTTCTTGAGTCCAAAACCTGTACCTCGAGCTGCGCGGCCTCTTTCAACCGCCCCTGAGTGCGATACGTAGACGCGAGGTTGGCAATGCTCATGAGAGTGGAGGGATGGTCCACGCCGAGCTTCGTCTTGCGTGTATTCATAACCTGTGCACAGAGCTGCTCGGCCTCGTCCCACCGACCCTGATCCATATAGGTCGACGCCAGATTATTCATACTGGTCAACGTACTAGGATGGTCTACACCGAGCTTCGTTTTTCTCAACTCTATAACCTGTACAAAGAGCTGCTCGGCCTCATCCCACCGATCCTGATGTGAATAGGTGGACGCCAGATTATTCATACTAGTCAGCGTACTGGGATGGTCCACGCCGAGATTTGTTGATTCCGTCTCCACGACCTGCACCTGGAGCTGCTCTGCCTCGTCCCACCGACCCTGATACATAAAGGTCAAAGTAAGGTTGGCCATGCTGGTCAACGTATCGGGATGGTCCGCGCCGAGCTTCATCTTACGAGCTTCCATAACCTGCACCTGGAGCTGCTCAGCCTCATCCCATCGACCCTGATCTATATAGGTCAACGCGAGGTTTGCCATACTGGTCAACGTATCGGGATGGTCTGCGCCGAGCTTCATCCTACGAGCTTCCATGATTTGCACCTGGAGCTGCTCAGCCTCATCCCATCGACCCTGATCCCAGTATATCGACGCCAGGTTGGCCATACTGGTTAATGTATTGGGATGGTCCGCACCAAGCTTCTCCTTACTCATCTCCACAACCTGTACTCCGAGCTGCTCTGCCTCATCCCACCGACCCTGATTGCTATATGTCAACGTCAGGTTGGCTATGCTGGTCAGTGTATTGGGATGGTCCACGCCAAGCTTCTCCTTGCTTATCTCCACAGCCTGCACAATGAGCTTCTCCGCTTCTTCCCACCGACCCTGATCCCAGTATGTCGACGCGAGGTTTGCCATACTGGTCAGTGTATTGGGATGGTCCACGCCAAGCTTCTCCTTGCTCATCTCCACAACCTGTACCTCGAGCTGCTCTGCCTCATCCCACCGACCCTGATCTGAGTATGTTGACGCAAGGTTGGCCATACTGCTTAATGTATTGGGATGGTCCGCACCAAGCTTCTCCTTGCTCATCTCCACAACCTGTACCTCGAGCTGCTCTGCCTCATCCCATCGACCCTGATCCCAGTATGTCGACGCGAGGTTGGCCATACTGGTCAATGTATCGGGATGGTCCACGCCCAGCTTTATCTTGCGAGTCTCCATGACCTGCACCATAAGCTGCCCCGCCTCTTCCCATCGGCCCTGATTGCTACACGTTGACGCGAGGTTAGCTATGCTCATGAGCGTAGAGGGATGGTCCACGCCGAGATTTGTTGATTCCGTCTCCACGACCTGCACCTGGAGCTGCTCTGCCTCGTCCCACCGACCCTGATACATAAAGGTCAAAGCAAGGTTGGCCATGCTGGTCAACGTATCGGGATGGTCCGCGCCGAGCTTCATCTTACGAGCTTCCATAACCTGCACCTGGAGCTGCTCTGCCTCCTTCCATAGGCCCTCGAGTAAGTACGCTTCTGCTAACATCGCTGTACTTGTAATTGCTTCTTCATCGTCATCTCCCAGCCATTTTATTCTCTGCTCTCTTGATTTAGATGCCATGCTCTTAACATCTGCCACATTGCCGCTTCCCGAGGCATACCATGCACCTCTATAAAGCACGGTCGCCCATTCTAATAGAGAATTTTTTGATTTTGGCTGCTGAGCCATCGCTAACCGAACGTGTGGAAATAGCGACTGGCACTTCCCCCAATTCGCATATTCGCCAGTTGGGAACTCCTGGTGTAATATACTGATGAACCTTTCTCTCCATTGGTCCATTTTCCCCTGAGATTTGAGCCATGCACGCGTTGTCAGTTGTATCAGCCGATGCATAGTAAAGAAGCTCCCGGTCTCGCTAGTGGATATAAACGAAAAGCTTCTCAGCATGATAATATCATCTTCAAAATCGGGTCTTTCATCAGACTCAGATGACTCCCCATCACTAGAGTCGTTATTGAGTCGGGGGGTCGAAGTGTAGCTCGCTTCAGTGTCGAGGCGGATCAAGTTCTCTGGTATTTCTTGCCGGTCGAAAAAAACACATAAGGGAGAGTAGGTCCGCGGCGGATGACTTTCTGCGGCGAACGAAATCGAATGATATCTGCCAGGTCACGAGAATTGAGTTCTTTGCTTCCCAATCCCGATCTAGACAATCTGCCTCTTTTCTTAGAAGTTTGGTTGCCTCGCGGTCACTTGCCTGAAAGTCTCGGAGGTATTGTGCTATCGAATAGCGTGAGGCTCGAGCTCTGATATAGCTCGCCGCCTGAACGATCGCGAGCGGCATGAACTCAAGCTCTTCTACTAATCTTTGACTCTCCTTATTTACTTCTGGTTGTCCAAGCCTATTCTGAAGAAGCTCTAGCGCCTCGCACGGTTCCATTGGTCTGACTTCAATCAAGTTATTGTATTTCACCATCTTGAGCGCAACCTCTCTGCTCCGACTGGTGATAATGATAGATCCACTTTGGCTTTTGGGAATATATTCCAAAAGTGGTTTCACGGGCACATTCGTTGGTTCTTTCACATAAGTGATGTTTGAGACTGTCCAGGGCGAAGAGAGAAGTTCAGGGTCATCTATATTATCAAGAATACATATCCACTTCCCTTTCTTCTCATCACGCAGCCAGTTTTCGACCAGTTCGAATATATTAGCTTTCGGTTCCCGACGCCCGGGGATCTTAACCTGATCTGCAACGTCCCGAAAACTTTGCTCGAATCTGGCGTGATTGCTCGCGTGGATCCAAAAGACCCATGTCGTCGGTGATTCGGATCGAATCTGATATGAGTATTCGATGGCAAGTTGTGATTTTCTTCAAATCGTTAGTAGTCATCCACGTAATGGTCCTTTAACACTAACCCCACACCACCGAGCCCGACCAGAGCTATCCTAGACCCTGGCACCGAGTTCTTCTCCCGTATCTGGTGTAGCAGTGTGTCCCGACTGACAAATTCTTGATCGCGCGCGAATGGTACGGTCGATAAAGGATTAGGGGGGGGTTTCTGGTCGCTCTAAGCAGGAAACGGTGGTTAGTCAGTCGCCTGTGCTTGTCGTATCGTGACGTACCTGGAACGGTATGGAATTCAGCAGTAAATGTCCCATAATTATTTCCAATCTGTGCGCCATAGTTGACACCCGAATAAGTCGTCGATGCCATGACAGAATAGGTGTGCCTCGTTTGAAGTTCATGACATGAGCGACGTCTGGCTCTCAGCTGAAGGAGGGGCACGTACTTTCGTCCTGGTCAAGTGACTCCGGGCCGCTAAGCCAGGAAAATCAAGTGGCTGCAAGGATGGTGGGCCATGGGTGGGGTCTGCCAACACCTGTTCCTAGGAATGGATCGACCCGGGCCGGAACAGTTCGATCAAGCACAGTAGCAAGCAGATCCGTTCAGATAAAATCTGCAAATTTGACCTAAAAATCTCAAGAGGCTTCCACCGCGCAACTTTTCTAAATGCATATAAAGGGCCATGCCAAATCAAAACCATAGTTTTGATACTTCAAACGACGACTAATTTGCTCACCCACCTTTTTGTGAGGTCCGCAACTTTGAGAGGGGCCACTGAACTCGCAGAAATTTCGAGATCGCAAAGTCATGTGCATTTCCTAATACCCAGCATGCCCCAGACCCCTACCACTCAGAATCTTTTCACCTGTTCACCGAGGGTGAGCAACGGTGAGATAGATTGCCTGCCGGCCTGGGCACCCACTGCTCCCTACTCTGAGTTCTCTCCATCGAGAGGCCTATCGAAAATCAGGAAATATAACCAACTTGTAGTGTAGGTGGTTGAAAATGGCCTAGAACCCATGATTGGCAGACTGGAATTGAATTGAAGGAAGATTGCTGGACAGGATGCCCTTCTATTTGCTTTATTTGTAGAACGAAAATTCTAGAAGCACGTTGTTTCGTACAAGCTTGATATAAAAGCTAATTTTAGGTTGTAATTTACGACTTTATTAGGATACTGCCAAGTTCAGGGGAGAGGGACGGAGTAACAATAATAGGGTATCGGAGGTTTTAAATTGGCATTCCGAAAAGAACCTATGTGTTCAAGTGGTGAATCTGATTTCGACCCCTGCTGTATCATAGTTCGTCAATTACCAGACCTGCGTTTCGAAAATGCCCTTGAGCGCTTGAAACCTTTGAGCCAATAACATCAACACACCACTTTAGAAATTCATCAAAGCCTTGGTTTGGATTCATTTCGTACTCGATCCATTTTCGTTTGATGAATTGCTTTAGCTCGGAGAAGAATTCTTCAATAGGATTTAAATCTGGCGAATAAGGGGGGAGATATACCAGCTTCACACCTGAATCTGAGCATATTCGCCGGATCTTCTCAGTCCGATGAAAAGAAGCGTTGTCTATTACAAGTACTGATTTTGGTTCTGGCCACCTGTTACAGTGTTGAAGAAGCTCTTGAATGAAATCCTCGAAAGCTTCAGCATTGGTAGAGCCTTGGAACACCCGTCGCAGGACTATACCATCCTTAGCATATGCAGGAAAGATCTGATAACGTTTATCCCGGTGAAACTTGGACACGTGGACCGGTGTCACTCCCAGAGGGGACCGGCCTGTTCGTCGAAATCCAGCCCTTTTATCATAACCGGACTTATCCACGAAGACTAACTAGCATGACCAAAAGGAAGATAAGTTGTGGAGATAGAAATCGCATAGATCTATATTTCGTTCTTTGGCAATCTGTCGGGTGGCTTTCTTAGACCACCCTATAGAAGTAAGTGCCTGGCTGATGTTTTGAATCGTCACATATTTCCTAAATTCATCCTAGAGAAAGAGTGCCATCTTATTCTGATATAAGGTCAGCTTCTCTATTAAATACTTATAGAGAGCTTTAAGCATAGATAGTGTGATACTATATAAGTATCTAACACTATTTTAGGGGGCTCTTATATTACTAAATACCTATAGGTTGGACCGAATATAAAGTATAGACTGTTTGCTATAACCTGCGACACAGGCTATCTAAGATACTATTAGTAAGTTACTCTAAATCATATAATGGATAAGTTCTAGCTATAGCAGTTTCAAATTTGGTGCTATTTTATGTATTATGATAAGGAGTGACCATTCTCTGTTGGTGCTTTAACCGTAAGTTTAGTGGTTTTGTACGGACCGATAGTAAATCCAAGGTGACATCATTGCTGTGGCCTACCTGTCTGCGACCTCAAGCAGTGTCAACCACATAGGCGTACTATCTCCAACTACTGTCCCGAAGGGTTTGGGTAAGTTATGAGTTTCACACGAGCGAATCCATAAGTCAGTATATTTAAGCTTGTATTTGTCACGGGCCTGTGCCCGCTGCCTGATCACGTGTAGTACACGTGCCCTTATATACCTCCACTGCCCCCTGTGTTTCTCTATTCCTCATGTTATTCTAGACAGTACGTCTGACATAGCTTGTTCTGAATTTAAGTCCTGCTTTAGTCCGTCACAGTATTTATAAACTAAGGAATCTCATCGGTTAGGCCAGCTCTGCCAGAACCCTGCTATCTTATGGGGGATAGTTCCGTAGATCTATGATATATATCCAACATTTGTTCCAGAATCTCTATAATTTAAGATATGATCTTATGTCTAGACAAGAGCTTTAGATATCCCCGATCATGAAACTTATATTCTCAAATAAGTTTTTCCGCTTAATCCCCTTAAGCCAACTACATAAACATATCACTCAAGAAAGGTATTAAGTCCTGGTCTTAGACTCCTATCATAACAGTGACTCATTCCACGTTGGTTTAATCAAATGCTTAAGCCGGAAAAGAACTCTTTAGAGTTTTAATCTAGTTAATCTACCGATTCTTGATCATCTTCAGAATAGGTAATTAAAGAACAGACGATTGGTAGTAAACATAATGATTATACTTTTCTTCTGTATAAGAGTATGAAGGGCTCTATAAAGACTGAACAGAACGATATAGGCAACATGCAGTTTATAATCTAGCTTAGAGAAGAAGGAAACAGAGCATATGTAGGTATGTAAACATATCAGAAGCGGGCGGTGTAGCGGAGCGGGATGTGGTCACGGGATGTGGCAGAATCTGAAAAGATACACTCAGGGCTATGGCCGCAGGCTATAGATCATGCAACGGGTGTAACCCGTTACACTATATAATTATTATCATCCTCTATAGATAGTGTAAGACTATCTTATAAAGCATTCTGCCCATACCTAGTACATACAAAATCAGCAATATTCACATCAATATAACGAAAAAATGTTGATTCCCTAGGATAAGTACTCTTGGTATAGTAAGGAAAGGAGATCAATCGCTAAGGATGGTCTAGCCGGAAGAACACATAGAATGGAAACCAGAATATTGGCTTTAAGATATTAGGTAAATAAGAATAATAAAAAAGGATAATAAGTATAAGGATTAGGTAGGAAGTATAGCAGATTAAAGATCAGAAATAATAAATTCTAATACATTTAATAAGCATATATACATCTTAATAAATAATATTAAATTTTAAACCCAACAAGACCCAACAAGACCCAACAGGACCCAAGAAAACCTTAGAAAACCCAAGAATTACCCAAGAATTACCCACAAAAACCCAAGGAGACCCAAGAAAACCCAAGGATTACCCAATCCCACCCCAATTCCGTCAAAAATCTTCCAAAAAATTTTACCCAGGCTTCTTTAGTTTAGTCCTCTATTTTATACAGACTATCTTCTCTAGTTTAATAAAGGATTATATTAAAATATAGAACTTAAGCTTTAATTTGATATTAAGAAACACTAAATTAGCTTAAAAATAAAAAAGTAGTACTTTTCAGGGCATGCACCTAAAAGATCTACTACCTCCACAACATGTAAATATATATTTCTACAAGCTACTTATAACATTTTTGTAACATTTTTTCCTACTATATACAAATACTATATTTAAATGAGAAGTCTATTATTATTACTAGTAATTAATATAAAACCTTACTTTTTAACATCTATCTCTAAGATAGATATTTAAAATTCCCTATAGCTACATGTAAAGATATAAAGATTCTAATAGACAAACCAAAACAAATGCCAAACACAGGTAAAAAACAGTATTTTAAATTGATGACTGAGCAGAGTTATGTACGCCAAGACCTCTTTTTTATGCAAAATTGGGGTTTTCTGGGTACCCATTGGGAACCCAGCTTGGGTCTTGGGTTGGGTTGGGTTTTTAGGTGCTGGACCCAAATTGGGTTTTGGAGAAGTCTACTCCTCAGCAGCCTTCGATAGCAGAAAAGGGCCGTATACACACAATTCCTCCTCCGAAATTGAACTCGACTGTCCCATCTGTCCCGAACAGGTCAGAAGCTAATCACACTATTGTAATTCGGAGAGCCAAGTAAATACCATCTTGTAGTCTTTGGACTGCCACTGTCGCGCGTCCATTTCCGGATGCGGGGCTGTGTGGTTGACTGCGGGTGACGGGATGGCCCGCATCACGTGATTATGTCCAAAACCCCACTCGAGTCGGTTCCTTGGAGAGGCGCGCAATCTTCGGGCTGGGGTAGAGCTACTTGAGTTACTACAGGCTGTTGAAAATGGGTTGTGCTCTATGTCAGTGATTGAGATGAGGAAGCAAAAAAAAACAGACTTTCCGTCCATGGTGTAGTATAAGGGTGGTGCAGATCAAGAATTAAGCCCCGCCATCGGAATTAATTTCCAATATATTTAACAGCTTGACAACACCCCTCTGGAAGAAGACTTAATTTCCATTTGAGAAACAAGTGACTTTGTCATATTTATTTACATAAGAAAAGTCCTTTATGACTAAAGATTCCTTGACTCCGGCCGCAGCTTTCTGGTACCGCGCTCATGGAAAGAACGTCAAAAAACCATTCCAGTTTGAATATTCTCGCAAAATATCAAAAGCAGGGGCAGTGAAAGGGACACAAAGCACGAGTCAAATTTCCGTGCGATAGACTCGAGATAAAGATAATAGCAAAGGAGACAAAGGTCCGCGAGAGAGCAGATTGGGTGATATGTAGTCGTCTCAGCTTTGTGTTCCGTTGAGATCCGTAAGATGCTTTCTCAAAATATGTTCTCCAGCCTAAGATCGCTCTCCTATCTTCATAGTAATAATATGCTGTAAGTTAGTCTTGTCCGATGGTGTAGTATAAGGGATATCCTGGTATTGTCTAAGAAGGTCAAAAGGGAGCTCGTGACTGTATGATCCTTTGATAAGGAATCAAAGTGCGACCCAATTGACTCGAACAACTTCATGAGGGGCGCGAGTCAATTTTGATCGTTGATACTTCATTAACTCTTGGCAATGAGGAACAAAATTGGTTTGACGCGACCGTTTGAAAAACGCGAATGCGTGAAGAGTATCATTCATTCACCGGCATCGTTGGCCAACGCTGATTGTCTAACGATAATGTTTATTTCTTCGACGCTTCAGTCTTGTGCCGAAAAATGATGGCGAAGTCCGGTCAAGCACCAATATTTCGGAGCGTGTGTTTTGTGTCAGTTCTTTCTCTGAGTGACTTGCTTGATTGTTTAAACATCGATGGAACTTATTGAAAAGCCGTCTTTATTGTAAGTATCCGAACAGTACTGAAGATAGATAGATTTGATCACAATGGGATCGACAATGCTCAATGAAAATTGATCAAAAGTGGTGAAATTGGTATATATGTTTAATTAGGTCCAGATTTACAAATACTCAGTTACCTTAATCGTTATAATTGGCTGACCCATAAGATCTTCTCCACTTACAATGAGGGTCTGTGCATCTCGCTCTTCGCCATTCCAGAAATTGTTTCATAGGTTATATTCATGTTCAATTGATAGACAGGTGCATCCAGGTACCTTTCAAAGGCCCGGACAATCTCTCATTGCTGAAGAGTCCGAGATGCTTCACTTTCTTTCTTCCCCCCTTGAAGATTATTGAAGATCAACGAACGGTAGAGTTTATTTTATTCCTTATTTTTAATGTTTGCTCAAATCTATCATTAATGATAAGTTGAACGTAGGGTAGCGAGTGTTCATGCTGCAACGAATCAATTGATTAATTGTTCATCACAGGCACTGTTAAGCATTAATTAGACGGCTTCTTAAAGTGTAGGTATAAAACAATGGAGCTTCCAGATCACGTGCATTTCCTAATAGTTCGCGAGCCCCCGGGTTGGCACTCGAATTTTTTTCACCATTCAACCTTGGTGCCTGGTTTGTTAGGCTTCAATCCGGGGTTCGACTCTACTACGAAGATCGCTGCGGGGATTCACTCAACTCAGCCAATGGAATTAAAAAATCCCATCGCAACCCCCTGTAAGCCTTCGGACCGTCTCAAAACTGTTTTAGGCCTAGAATGCTTGGACTAGGAGAGACGGAGGCCTAGAAGCCAGCTCATATGACGTATAGCCTTCTATGTCGTCTGTGCTCTTCACTAAGCCATTCCGTGACCAATCTCGTCACAAGAGGATTTTCCCAAGAGCCAGACCCTCTCGAAAAAATGATCCTGTTCTTGGAATTCCAAGTGCCCACATATTTTGAGATGATCTGCTCAAAAACAAGCTTCTATTAACGCGTTCTCAAGATTTCGCTCATGGAACGCTCCGCCCAATCCCGGATTTCACCCAAGAAACGGCTATTATTTCTACCAGTCTCCCAAGATGCCTCTCACCGGGCGACATCGCTCATATTTCCCATGCTCTCCCGTTGTGGACTACACAGGTCTATATTTGGTCTGGAAGGACTCTCATGATTCTTACTGGACGACTAGGTAATGGTGGGCCATCCTACTGAAGTTCGGGACGGCGCCTGTCTCTGATGAGGGCAGTACGGCATCCATGTCCTTAATTTGTAGATGTTGAACGGACTACGGACCACGGTCCCCAGTTCATCTGGGAATAATATTGCTTGTTCCAAAGAGCTTTGTTCCTAGAGTTACAGGTACAGTTCGCAAGAGGCAGCCGTAGACCCCTGGGACTGAGTGGAGTGTCTGCGGAGTTAGCCCCACCTAACATGTTGGAATATCAGTACCCGAGAGTATAGGGGCGATGAAATGATGATGGCTCAGCATTTTGAGGGTGCCATGTTATTGGTGGGGCATGGTGGGGCTCTGAAATAGGCCGGAAATATTTCCAACTATTTTATTTGTTAGGTCCGCAGATAACTTTTTTTCCCCCGTTCAATTTTGATTAACTCAAACAAAATCCTTTCGATTTCTGTGTTGAACGTGGATAAACATGAGCAAATGTTGATATCACAACGAAAAAACTTCAATTATTGGTCCCAAAAAGGTTTTCTTTTTTTTTTTGTGAGGGATGCTTTTTCATGTATTGCTGAATATATTTGGCCTAGCAGGGCTTTTATGATTCTAACTGGGCATCCCGGTCTGAATCTTGGGAAGCCATCGGAACAAGCTGTCTGTCTGAGATGCGACCAACTTAGCAGCGACCGGGCGCCGCAAAACAACGACTCTGAGGCAGCATATGTGAAATGCACTCGTGTGTCGTGAGGATAAAATGCTCATTCTACCTTTCAAATTAGCTATTGTCATAATATATAATTTTGGAGCTGACTTACGCATCCTCTGCATATTCTTCGACATCACAGAATTATTAAGTCACTTCACGGATTTCTAGAGCTACAGCATAATTTTTTTTTGCCATCACTTACTTGGGGCCATGATAAAATGAAATCCGGTCGAAAGACCGCCATTCCGGGTTCCTCCTTCTCAGCAGTTCCTAGCGAGCATATTGAAGGTTTCATCATCATACTCCTCATTGCACCGCTTCTGATTCGGCAACTGTCTAAAAACCATGTGGTCCGATCATATTTCCGATTCTCAGCCCAACTCCTTGACATCATTTACACCCAAAAGATCCCACGACCAACATCAAGATTCAAAATGTCACGCAAGGGACGCAAAGCTGCGAAATTGTGGTCGCTCTACCATAAGCTCCATGACGATGTAGCACAGGTATTAGACGATGAAGGGCTTCAAATGGATTTCCTAGACGCCGATGATGAGGCAACGAATATCGAGGACTTGGGCACGAATGTTATGGGTCGATTTATATGTCCAAACAGCGTATGTAACTCCAGCGGCTGGTCGAGCAAAAAAGTCGCGATTACCATTCGCATGTACCCTCAGCAGCGATATAATGCACAAGTGTATCACCAACGATGCAGGAATTGCAAAGCAGTCGGCCGACTTGTTCTAGACAATGAAAGTTAGATGGAAAGAGTGACTTATTGGCTCAAAAATGGAATGGCATTTGAGGTACAGCCGCCTGACTTCTCTGGCCTGAGAAAAACCTCCCTGACCGCTGATTGCGCCCTATTATAAGAGAGCGGGTGCATCCTACCCCTAGCATTCTGCTCGGAACGAACGGCAAACATTCAGATCAACGGACAATTGTCGGAGGCCCAAAGCCTGCCACAGGCGGGACTGCCGCAGGGCTCGCCCCTGTCTCCGATTCTCTTTCTCTTCTTCAACGCCGACCTCGTGCAACGACAAATCGACAGCCAGGGCGGAGCAGTCGCTTTCGTGGATGATTATACCGCGTGGGTGACTGGACCAACTGCACACAGTAATCGGGAAGGAATCGAGACGATTATCAACGAGGCACTTGACTGGGAGAGGAGGAGCGGAGCGACATTTGAGGCTGACAAGACAGCTATCATACACTTTGCTCCTAAGATGCGTAAATTCGACCATTCGCCATTCACCATTAAGGGACAGACGGTGGTGCCCAAAGACCACGTCAAGATCCTGGGTGTCTTGATGGACACGAGACTCAAGTACAAGGAACATATCGCGAGGGCAGCGTCCAAGGGGCTTGAAGCAGCGATGGAGCTCCGGCGACTCCGGGGTCTAATCCCAGCAACCGCGCGGCAGCTGTTCACGTCGACGGTGGCACCGGTCGTGGACTACGCCTCCAACGTCTGGATGCACGCGTGCAAGGATAAAGCCATGGGGCCGATCAATCGAGTCCAAAGAGTCGGCGCGCAGGCCATTGTGGGGACATTTCTCACGGTCGCGACCAGTGTCGCAGAGGCAGAGGCTCACATAGCTCCCGCACAGCGTCGATTCTGGAAACGGGCCGTGAAAATGTGGACAGATACTCACACCTTGCCGGAAACCAATCCTCTCCGCCGGTGTACAGGTCAAATCAGAAAGTTCAGACGATATCACCGCTCGCCGCTTTATCAAGTAGCCGACACGCTGAGGAATATCGATATGGAAACGCTGGAAACCATCCACGCGTTCACCTTGGCACCGTGGGACGCACGCGTGCGCACAGACGTCGCGGCAGTGCCGCACTCACTGGACGAATCGGGCGGGTCTATGCAGATCGCAATCAGCGGCTCGGCGCGGAACGGGCTAGTAGGGTTTGGGATCGCGATCGAGAAGCAGCCTCCTCGGTACCGAAAACCGAGACTGAAAGCCCTTTCCATCACACTGGGTGTACGATCAGAGCAAAACCCATTCTCTGCGGAGCTCGCCGGAATGACACACGCACTGAAAATGCAAGTGGCACTGAAGAATTACAGGATTACGCTACTCACGAGCAACAAAGCGGCGACTCTCACAGTCAGGAACCCTCGACAACAGTCGGGCCAGGACTTTGTGGCTCAATTGTACAAGTCGATGGAAAGAATGCGAAGGAACGGCAACCGGATCGACATCGTTTGGGTCGCCGTAAGCGAGAATAACAGATTGTTGGGCCTGGCTAAGGAACAGGCCAGGACCGCGACCCACGAGGACGCTCTCGTCCAAGTACAGGTGCCGAGGATGAAGTCAACGACCCTGAATCTCGCACAGTCCCAGGTGAACCCGGGCAAAAGCCTGCCAGAGAATGTCGGGAAACACGTGAAACACGTAGACTCCGCGCTTCCAGGAAAACACACTCGACAGCTTTACGATCGCTTATCGTGGAAAGAAGCAAGCGTGCTCGCTCAACTCCGGACGGGCATGGCCAGACTCAATGGATACCTCTCTCAGATCAACGTGGCTGAGACAGATCAATGTGCGTGCGGACAAGCCAGAGAAACGGTAGAGCACTTCCTCTTTCGCTGTCGGAGGTGGACGGCGCACCGGACAAGACTACTACAATGTACGGACACTCATCGAGGCAACATATCCTACTTTCTCGGCGGCAAGTCGCTGGCCGACGACCAGAACTGGACGCCAAACTTGGAAGCAGTGCGAGCCTCCATACGGTTTGCAATCGCCACGGGTCGACTTGACGTCATATAAGGCCCAACAATACGGACAACCTTTTCCCCCAAACTAACCCCTTCCGACCACCTTGTGCCGACGACGGTAGACGCGCTTCAATTGCCGAAGATGGGATGTTGAACACTTGAAGAAGCGCCTTCAAGCCAGTCTGCCCCAAATTACTAACCCACAAGGACTCCTGTGACGTGAATAATTGAGATGATAATACACTGGGACTGTTTTATGTATGGGCTCTAAGGAGACACAGCATATATGTCTGGGCATGTACATTAGATTAGTAATAGTTGCCCTTTCGGCTGAGCCGCCGGGCGTTAATGAATTGTGTGTGTGTGTGTATCCGTAAGGTGCAGATGGTCTCCATAATTTGGCCAGTAAGTGCCACTTAACGCTCCCCCTATGGATGGCCTAGGGCGCTAATTGCAAACTATCCAGATTCTCACGGGTATACGATACCTGCGGAATTGCCAATATGCACTTACCTCGCTGGCTAGCGACACGATTCTCTTTACCAAGAGTGGCGATGTGAAAATTGGTATGTAGCCTTCCGAATGGGCGAACTCGACGCAGCAAGTACATGCTCAGACAAGGAAATCCTAGCCGGAGTAGAGCACAGCTGTGAGATCAACACAGCAGACATGAACACGGCCACAATGAAGCTGGTTGCCTTGTCAGATATCGTTAAAGAACTTCGAAAGAAGATGAATCCCTTGAATCCGTGGAGAGCACCTGCTCAGACATTGCCCGACAAATTAGTAGATATGTCATTGGATCACATGTTGCGGGTGAGTTCCCCTCGTGCTCAAAAAGAAGCACGCTAGCTAAGTCACAATCAGGACGACATATTCACGCAGCTGAGAGGAGGAGAGCTCAAGATGCTGGTCAATATTGCTAGTAAAACGGGTTACTACAATATCCGGTTCTCTCAGTCGTGAAGCTACCACCTTATATTTTTACTGTCGTTATCTTATGTAAGAGAAATTTTGTGTGCGCGATATATAATACTGCTGGGACATCTTGGCATGAATAGGCCTGGAACCTCAGGTGCAGTCTCCTGAATGGTGGGTTGTAGCACTCACATCTACTTATCTACTTTATTGTTGTTAAATATGTGATCTTGATCCTGTTTGTCGTCGCACCCGCCCTTTACCTTCGTCTGCCAGCTATGAGTAATGTGGTATTGATTGCTCCCACCACTCCTCGGGTCACAGCGCCTCCCATCCTGCATCTCTCGTCTCAACTAACATACACTCAGACCTACGCCCCACGGTGTTTTTCTTGTTGTCAAAACGTTCAAAAATACAGGTCTAGATCATTCGTTTAACTGATACTGATATTGTGTTAGGGTAAGCCTTACACAAAGCTGTCTTCGTGCGAAAAGTCACAGTCTCATGGTCTCATATTAGGTTTCAAGTATATCCAACAGAAGCTGGCCACGTCATTGCCCTATCGGACTTGTTGACCTTGGTGGCGTATGTAGAGAACGAACGTTTGAGAATCGTGGCATTTTACGATGGGGACCGGGACTCTGGCTGCTCCGACCGTCAGGCAAAGCCCCGGTTGTAGGGTCCTTGAGTTCGCTGAAAAAGCCAAGACCGTCGCTAGTCTCGGTTGACCACCTTCGTTTCCGGGTTCTGCCTCTTTCCTCTTCTTCCTCTTCTTCCTCGTCCTGATTTTCAAGGAGTTCTGATTCTTCGATCCCAGAGGCATCATCATCCTCATTCCCTGGCACACTTCTTTGCCTCTTTTTGGGACTTTGACTTCTACTATTCGTCCTCGAACCGGCCGAGAACTTCCGTTGATATTCATCTGCCGTCATGTCTCGAATCTGAAGGTTAGTCGTACCCTCACCTTCTATGAGAGCCAACTTCCTCAGTACTCTTTGGCCAAGAAATAGGCTCTTGGAGAAGACAGCAAGGGCAAATCGACATAGAAAAAAGTATCTGGACACTCCAGCTAACGGCTGTAACTTGAGATTGTGATATCGCTCCTGCACTTCGGCTATCGACGAGTTCCATTACACGTGGATCACCCACTCTCCTGCTTTTGGCACAATCACAAATTTGTGGTCGTCCCACATCTTATGTAAGTCCCGACGTAGCAGAATGGTATTGTCAGCGCATCGAGTATCGACCCCTTGGTCAGGATTGACTTGGTGCAGGAACATGCTGTTGCGCTGCCACCAGTCGCTGTACGCAGCGGGTATGATATGTGCGGTCTCGTTCGGGAGCGCTGAGGCGGTAATCCGGCAGGTAACATCGCGACGAATGACGTCGTCAGCCGAGCTAAATTCAACATGAGCGGATAAGTAGGAAGGCGGCAGGGAGGTTGGGCAGCGAAAATGATCGAACGTAGGGACGACTGGATATAGCTCTTCGTCTTCAATGCGGAAGTAGTATTGACGATGCGGGAGCACATCGTCCAGATCAGCAGACAATCTGGGGCCATCGCGATGCAATGACAAGAAGCCATCCCATCGGCAGTTGGCGAGGATGGCGCACGCAGTATGCGCCGTTCCATGATGAATGCCCCCAGAGTCGAGCGCCGGGAGGGTGAGGAGGATATTGTGATTTTCTGCGTAACCAGGGTGGAGAAAGAAGATGAGCGGCGCGGCTTGTTTGTTGTTATCGAAAGGTTTGCAAGGGCTCCCAAGTGAAAGCAGTGGGCTGCTGTGCAGATGCTCTATTGGATTCTCCATTGCGAGATTTCAAGATGACTGACTCTTTGTCGAGTTAGAGTTCTCGTCACAGCAATCGCGATAGGGGTTGACGTACTTCGCTGCACCTGAGGTGGATAAGGTGGCTACGTTACCTAGTCAACGACCACGAACACATCACGTGAGCGCCTATGAAGCGGCTAGTCTAACCCGATATAACAATTAGTGGGTTTATTTATTTACTGGTGTCTAAAGAACAGCGTCTGGCTGTCAAACAATTTGACGATAACCGATCCCCATTTTGGTTTGGTCGCAATATTCTGGCAAGCTACATTTACACTTCGACTCGGTAATGCCAAAAACTCTTATCCTGGCTGCCTTTCAGATCCTCATCCTAGCATACTATTCAGATACAGTGTTATGTACTATGGGATTGTAAGTGCACTCCGTATGTACGGCTATTTCCATGGAGTATTATTCTGTTCCATGGTGTTACAGACACTGAGAGGATGTTCAAATTCAATCTTGCTTTAGGGCATCGCGATCGCGAAGCGAGTCAATAGGGGTTCTTCACCGCATTCCGTAGACTGATACCCATTTGAATATTCACCAACCATGATGTTTAATTCTGGAAAGCCTGCAAGGCACATTTGGCATCTACACAGCCTAGTAGTTGCTGTCAACATGACCAGAATGTGTCATCCCGATTCATCCTCAAATTTCTCCATTAGCTGGAAGAAAAGTCGGTCAGGTGCAAGGCCTGGACACAACAATTTAGAAATTGCCGGTGATCTTTGTTACAAATGATCTTGGACCCAAAGGGGACATTGGACAATCATCCGTAGATGTTGGCGGCGTCGATTCCACAGGTAAGCTCATTTGTTGGCCTCGCCGGGGCCAAATGGTCAATTCAACAAGGAATTCACTCGAGATCCCATACGCGCAGCATTGCTATAAGACTCGAAGGATATGCTGCTGGAGGTGATCTAATGAAGTAACTTGTGGCTCTGATAGCGAGAGAGAGAAAGGAAGATCAAAGACATAATCTTTGGATAGTTGATTTGTCACGATCAACCTCAGATCCAGCTAGTCCACAGGCCCTCCAGGCAGTGTGAAAGAGAGGTCATTGGACAGAAGAAATCTGGCCCATCCCATCGAAGGTAGTACAGTATCCTGGCGGTACTCGGAAGAATTGGCGAAGCTACTCGTCTTGTGAATCCATGGTGTTTGCTGCAGGGAGGACACAAGGGATCGTGGGGAGGAATTGGCTCGGTGACTGCATTGTACAGTACACGCATTCCCAGATATCACTATCAGGCTTGCACGCAACGACTGCATTTAATAAAGGCAATATATGGGCGAGATCAAATGTTTCGGAGGCAACCGCGGATATCAACTTTCGGAGATCCTGTTGAAGAGTTCCATGACTTGTATTCGATGGAAGAAATTGAGATGTCGAAACGTTTCGCAAGGCGAACAACAGATCAAGTAGGATGTTGCCGACGTCTGTTAGATCTTCTGATTAGATTTGAGAACAGAAATGAGGATAATAGTGCTCCTTCCCTTCTTGCATGAGATGACTGCATGCGTCAGTTGTCGCAGGTAGGCTTCTCGTGGCACAGATCGAGCGGAATGATGCTCTCCAGACATCAAGTCCATCACCGATAGGATGGGCTTTTATGATTTCGGCTTGATAATTAGCAGCCATGGTATGCCTTGTGAATGCATGGTGCTCGTGACTGGACGCGTGAATTTGAAAGGGGCAGTAACTTAACCAAGGTACTGCGGCGTGATCGATGCGGCCCGGAAATATGTTTTGCCGAAACGCTTGTTCTGTTCCGCATGCACGTACAGTACCCACAAGCGGTGGCTTTGCTTCTCAAACATAAAGCACATGTTCGCTATTCCTGCGACTTCAGAGGCCGCGGCCTTCGTTCCATTGCGACTGCCTATGGCACGGTCACCATCGTCAGGCAACTACTCCAGCAACGGGATATCGATGTCAATGATCGTTGCTCCGCCGGCATGACAGCAGTCATGTTATGCTATAGAGCATCGCCAGTATGCTATTCTTCAACTGCTATTATTGGATCCGCGAGTAGAGCTCAACATAGAGAATAATGTTGGGCAAACCCCTCTGCATCTTGCTGTTAGCAAGGAGGACTAAGTTAGTGCACATCAAATAGATCATTTCTAGCCAGAACCATATTACACAGCGTACATGGCTCGACGACTCGCAATCCATACTAAGCCTGGAACTACAGGAAAATGCAGAGTCTGTATCTCGAGCTATTGGAGCTTATATTTCAAGTAAGATACCGGAGCTTGAGTCTCTACAGGATGATAACACCTTGCTAGAATATGTTTAGTAGACCCTTGAGACGAAAGCTGAGGGAACATTTCTCTGGGTGGCTCTTGTTCAAGTTGGGAAGAAAATATACATAAAACAAAAGTCTGGTGAAAGAAGGCAGACTCGTTGTCGACATTGTAAGATCAGATTGCAAATTAAACTGTTCAAGTTGAGAGAGGATATGGCGCCGAAATCACATCAGGATGATTTTTATAAATCCATGTCATCTCAGCTTCTGCCGAGTCCTTGGCAGTATAATCATCAGCTTCTGATGTCTTGTAAATCCATTGACAGTCAGGTGTGCCACCACCCAAAGCTTGGATTCTCAGTTTAACGCATGAAGTGACAACATCAGTCTCGCCGTTATTCCACATTGCTACTGTACCCCATTCGGGAGTATCAATCGCAACATGGATATCTGCCGTGATACCGCAATCCTCCAAAAGGCCCTCAATCTCAGATTCCTCAATATCTTCCATTGTTCCGGACCACTTGATACCCCACATAACAAACACGAATTCATCGTACTCAGAACCGTACTTGTCCAATTTCGTTTCTTCATTTTCAATGACATACTTCGCACAAAACTCGGTCGCAGTTGGGATTGTGACTGTTGTGGTAGTGCTGGTGGTCTTCTTGGTAGTCGTAGAAGTTGTAGTCGTAGATTTGGACGTGGAGGTAGTAGATTTGGATGTGGATGAGATTGAGGTTGAGGTAGCGGTATCAGCCACCTGAATGACAGTCGTTTCAGCGGGGTCCACTGTGGCAACAACTGTGCCCAGGGTTACGGTCGTTGTACCCGTGATGCCGGTAGGGACAGTGAAGACATCTCCATTGCCGAGTGTGACGGCCCCATTGGAACCGGCCACATATGTGGTCCCACCTGCAACAACCTCCTCTGGAATGGTTGTTGTTGTGCTGGTGTAGTATTGAATGCCGTTCTCACCCTGGTCATCGGTTGACCAGATATCGTAGGTGGTGCTCACAGCACAGTAGATACCCGTGGTTGTCGTAGAGGCTGTCACATCACATCCAGTGGCCGTAGCGGTGCTTGTTGTGACGCACGATGCAGAGTTACAAGAGACCCAGTAGTCGGTAACCGTTGACTCCGAACTGCAGGTAGTGGAGGAGGTTGTTGTCGTCGACGTGGAGGTAGATGAAGGATCACAGTTAGAGGTGCAAAGGGTACCGCAAGATTTGGCAGTGCTGGGAGAGCAAGTAGGCGATTCCTTTCCACTGGTGTACCTGACGGTCTTGGTGGATTTGCTTGAACTATCGTCATTATCACCATTTGGCGGACAATCAATAGTGAAAATATCGAATAGTGTGAAGCAATGGAGCGTTGGAATTGGCGCCAAATCAGGGAAAGGAACTGTGGGCAACGGGATATCAGGAATCGGCACCGGAGACCAATAGAAGCCACCAGTGTTGACAGGCACAACTAAAGTAGAGGTTGTTTTGTCGTCCACCTCCGTTGTAGTAATGGTAGTAGTAGTTGGAATCGTGGCCAGGCTATCAATCTGCTGCTCTGACCAGGTGTATGTGATCGTGCCCGATGTGGAGGTAGTCTGTGGCAGCGTATTCGTATTGTCGGAGCCTCCCGTGTTAGTGGGTAAGACGACAAGCACTACTGTGTTGTTTGTTGTTGAGCTAGCGGTGGTGAACGGGTCCTCGATGTAAATATACTTTGTGACTGTCACGGGCGTGGTGGCTGGAGAAGGAACTCCCGTAACAAGAGCAAGTCCGTATCCGTCTGTAGCGTTCAATGTGATAGTGCCGTCCATGACCATGTAACTCTTGCCATCAACAACGGCATACGGGGTTGTGAAGGGTGTCTCAATAGGTGGTGGATAAATCACAATGGGAAGATTTCCTTCATCGCCGATGATCGTGATTGGCGAGGGACTGTAGCTGCTGGTAAGGGTGTATGTTGTGGTCGGAATACCCGAAGCTGGTCCTGACCACTGGAAGAAGCTCATCTGATCAACCGTCCTTGAAGCAACGGAGTGCCAAGAAGTGTAGTCAAAGCCTCCGTCATTGTAAACGTACGGATACGGGGGGAACTCGACAACCATCGGCGAAACCGAAGAGGTAGGCCATACCATCGTGAATGGTGGGTAACCGGCGACTTGTGGGATGGTCTCATTGAAGATGATAGGACTGATGTAAATGACACCAGATCCGGCGCTGTCTTCATTGCCGTCCTCCGATTGCAAATCAACAGCCCAATCTGATATTCCCAAGAAGTTCAGATTTTCGTACAAAATGGTTCGCACCGCCTTGTTGGTGTCGTTCATGTAACCAGCCCATTGAGTCTCGTTGAATACCAGAATGTTGGTGTATGAGCTATTGGACCAGTACTGAACTGCGGTTGGGTTCTCTGCCATCACCAGCTCGAGCTCATAATTCGAGATATATCCCGCGGTATCTGTGCAAGGTCCTGGCCAAGCGCCAGAGTCGGGTCCGGTGTAGGTGCACATTGAGGTCCAGCAGCCAGCCTCGGTCATCTCGAATGAGCGGGCGTAACTAGCTACTCCGACGGCCACCTTGTTTGAAGAAACACCCGCCTTGGTGATCATAGACAGAGCGCTGAGCGTTTCGGTCAGATTGACATGGGATCGTAAGCAGTTGCCACCTGAGCATCCGTCATCCGAGTAAGCATTGCCATAGTCCCACTGGCCATGCAAGTCATAGGTCATGAACACAACGTAATCAACCACAGTACTGATTGCTTCAATGGGGAATCTTTCGAGATACCAGAAGGAAGCAGGCGCAGTGAGAGATACTGTCTTCCCTGATGTCATGGCCGCCTTCAGTAGGTCCAATGTGACATAGTAATTGGTGCTGTCTGCAGTGGTTCCTGCTGGGATTCCCTCAATATCTGGCTCATCCGGATACTCCCAGTCAAAGTCAACGCCATCAAGATCCCACTTCTCCAAGAAATCAACAACGTTGGTGATCAAAGTATCTCGATTCGCGGAAGTAACAGCATCCCGGAAGATCATGTATGTGGATGGATCAGTGGAGAAGGTCCATCCTCCAATTGACAAGACACGCTTAACCCCAGTCATGTTTGAAAACAGAGAAAGCTGGTCCTCAAGGCCAGTGACGTTAATAGCATAGTCACTGGTAAGGGTGGCAAAGGCAAAGTGGACATGAGAATAAAATGTGGTGTTGATTTGATCCACAGACATTGTCAGACACGGTCGGGTTTGGTCATAGGCTTCAAAGTAAGCAATAGAATAAGTCTCAGCTGGAGCGTCACTGACAATAATATCCGTGCCGCAGTTTGAGATACATCCATTCTGATCCGTGGCTGCTGTTCCCGGGTTGCCCGTTGTCGAGTTGGATTTGGTACAGAATTCTGCGGTGATACCACATTGGCCCCAGATATCACAGCATGCGTTCAGAGGACACTCGTTCAGAGTGCTTAAATCTGTGCCATGTGTTGCAGTTGCAGTGCCATTGACCTGTGGACCACAAACAGCGTTCGAAATGGTCGAAGGCATTGGCGGCCACCCGCTGCTTAAGCAGATATGCATACCCACCAGCAGGTCTCCACAGCCCATCCAGCCCCAGGTTCCATTGCTTCCAGTGTTCCAATCTTCGATCTCTAGGACAGTGATATCGTATGCTGCTGCCAGAGCGCTGCACGTATCATTCGTCTGTACTGTGTAGGAATAACAGTTGTCATCCGCATCAGGCTGAGGTGTATAGTCAGGCAAAGTTCCGTTTGAACAGCAGAGGTGCTGCCCAGCTTGGATATCTGAGAGGTTGGTTGCAGCATTATAGCTGTCAAAATCAGCAAGGGTTATGCCACACTCACTAGCCAGAGTGCTAGTTGTGTCACCTGACACAGCTTGAATCGTGGTGCACTCATCACTGTCGTCACGGGTCTCCAGTTGAGTGTTGATTGCACGACCATAGTGAAGATAAGAATGCGAGTAGCCGTGAGTTGAGTGAGAGTTTGATCGCCTCTGACCGGGCAAAACTGCTCTTTCTGCCAGGTAGGTTGAGTTGCTGACAGAAGATGAATTTTTATTCGAGGATGGAACTGAAAATGACAGAGTCTGCCACTTTTGAGTCGAATCATCCATTGAAGTTACGCAACTGCCATTGCTCCAAGACTGAATCGCCTTCTGGACGGAAACAAGATCTCCTTCAGCACTGGCAAAAACGCCGAGAGAGTATCTAGCTGTGGAGTCGCTGCATGTCTGAATCAAAGTCTTCTCGGCAATGGTGCCGTCTGTTTCAACTTGAGCTGTAAACTTGTCGATTACAGAGGAGACGACTCCCTGGCTGTAAAGGCCAGAGCCGACAAAGACACCCACTGCAGCCTGGCCGGAGTAGGCAATCTGTATCGCGTTACTGCATCCGGGCTGGGCGATGGAGAAAAAGCTTTGGAGCTGATCCAGCGCATCAACCACATCGGATACACCAGTGGAGGTTTTTGAGCCTGATGAGGCCAGCTCTAATGAGGATGTAGTAGCCTGACTGACAGTGCCTGGGAAACAAGTAGCATTTTGGGAGCTTGCAGTTGCTGAGGAGGAGGAAACAAAGTCCGCAGTACAGGCTGCAATACTGATGTGTGTCTTTGAATCGTCCAGCTCGTTAAACAGGTTGAAATCGAGGAGCATGGTGCTGTTACAGAGATCAAGTCGATCAACGCTGTGGTATACCGACCAGTCAGTAGAGTCGAGGCCACTGCTGCTGCAGCTCACAGGACATCTACTCCGGGTGGACGCAGGTAATCTGGGCTTGAAGTCCCCAGCAAGGACGGATGCCATCATACCTGCCGCGTCGGCTGTCTGAGTGGCATGGCGTGTAGTAATGGGGTGTGCTGCCAGGTACGCACTCACAGAGGAGGAAACCTCAGCTGGATCCACATACGACGACAAACAAGGCACAGCCTGCGAGACCAGTATCCCGGCCAGCAAGCCGGCCAAACCACCGGCCCATCGCATGATGGGATGAAGAGTAGAAAAGAAATGTAGAATGAACGTTCAAAATCGGGAATGAGCCCAATTGACAAAGGCAATGTACAAAAAGAAATTGAATGAGTGAAGAGACCACTTAGAGTCACAAATAAGGGAATAACCTTCTCCTAGGCAAAGATAGGTTAATGGAGAAGAAAGAAGAAGCCTTAGTTCAGAGACATGACCATTTAGTACACAAACGAAAGTTACGATCCAAAGAATAGCTCTACTCTCTATATAGAGACAATATGTATTAGAACTAGCAATTCATTCTTTATATCTACCTAATTAAAGAGACTAGACCATAATATGTGTTTCAAGCTAGTTCATACACTAACTTAGGTCAAAAATCACTCCGATAGAGGCAGTGAGAGATGCGGGATTTTTCTGATTCGTTTACATCTCTATTCCATTCCATCTTAACTGCTCCTGTCCATATGTTCCCCAGTGACTCCTTTTGGTTAGTGTGAAATACCAGGGAATGACTACTTCCGTTCCTCAATGAGTCAGTGTAGAGAAAAAATGTAACGGCATAGCTTGAAGAATTACAGTAAGCTAATAGGACTCCAGAATCTCGCGGAGGTCAACACGGGACTGAACAAAACACTATAATCGGCTATTCGCATATAGCACTTCCGAACGCTAACTGGGATGCTAGAGAGTAGAGATACCGAGATGGGGATCGATATTTCCACAAGTGCTTTCGCCAAGGTCCTATTGAAGCGGATACTAGTGTCTCCATAACACAGACCAATTCTTAGCGACGGGGAAGTTCGTGGAATCAAAATTCATACTTCCAAGGTTTCCACACGGGCTCACGGGACGGGGCTATCCGAGATTTCCACGACATGATCCGCGACCCACAATGCAATTTTAATCGGACGCTAGTAAAGCCCTTGTAACATCCTTGTAACGTCCTTGTAAGGCCCTTGTATGCACATGTGGCCGACAAGCGTCTGACAGGTTTGTTCTCTTAGATCGACCCTTGACTCGTGAGAGTGTGGGCCGTCTACTAGATTTTGCCAAAGGATTCCCCGTTGATTCCAAGTTAGATCCCTGTCAAAAATACTATCAGGTGATATTCAACATATTCCTCGGGCCTACTCTCAATCCTGAGGCTATTGGTAGAATTAGGTATCCCAATCCGAGTCTCGACCTCTCAATTTCCGGTTCCATGAGAGAGTTATAAACCGACTATTTTAGTTTTCCAAGGTTATCAATCCTTTAATCCTTCCTTCAATCATTCAATCCCACTGCCAAGATTAGATATCATATAGGTCAAATCCTGCGGCATCCTATTCATTCCGAATACTAAATCACAAATTGCGACCTTGGAAGTTCCAGCGTTTCAGGTTTCCAGTTCGCCTTTCCCGCTTTTTCCTCTACATCATGAGGTCTTTCTATTGTGCTCTCTCTGCACTTAGCTTGTGCCTGGGACAGGCTGCAGGTTATCTCGTCAGCCCGCCTTCCGGCGGCGTGGCCGCCCCAGGCAGCAACGATGATTGTAGTCTCTGGTACCTGTATGTGGAAGGCTCGAGTTGCGAGGCAGTCGAGGTGACATACGAGATTACTCCTGAAGAGTTTGAGGAATGGGTAATCAACCGCCCCTCCTTTTTGCATTTGTCTTTTGGCTAATAATTTCATATGCAGAACCCAATTGTAATGGATGTTGGTTCAAGCTGTGAAATGCTTCCCGATTTATATTACTGTGTGCAGGTTAACTTTGTTGTTGGCACTTACCTGCCCTCGAGTTACCTTGTGGGCTCTACTGTCCCGGTCCCACTTGCAGCCTACACCTATATCGGGTCTACTACTGCAAAGCCTTCTTTGGTTGTGACTCCAACCTCTTCAGCCTCTTCGGCCTCCTCGACCTCCTCAACCTCCTCAACCTCTTCGACCCGCACAATTACTTCGGCCTCTTCAACTTCTTTAAGCTCTTCCGGCGTCTCAACTCCCTCCCCCATCCAAACTGGCATGGTGAGTGACTGCGATGAGTTTTATCTAGTCGTCAGTGGTGATGATTGTGAAACCATCGCTAGCGACTATGATATTAGTCTGACCGACTTCTACTCTTGGAATCCAGCAGTTGGCAGTACCTGCGCTGATCTCTGGGTAGATGATTATGTTTGCGTTGGTGTGGCTGCTAGTGTCAGTTCGGCAGTGGTAACCACTGCTTCTACCACTACCTTTGTGACCAGCGTAGTGACCTCTGCGTCTGCTTCTACCACGCCAGTCGCCACCCCTACTCCCATTGAAACTGGCATGGTCGATAACTGTGATGCATTCCATCTGGTTGTCAGTGGGGATGAGTGTGCAACCATCGCTAGCGATGCTGGGATTACGCTGGACGAGCTTTACGAGTGGAATCCTACTATTGGTGACACTTGTAGCGATCTGTGGTTGGGATACTATGTCTGCATTGGTGTGATTGCTTGATTGAAGATATTGCCTGAGATTCGATGGCGGATTTCTTCATTTCCCTTGACATGCATGTTGGCACAAATCCTCATCCCGGATGAAGTCAGAATCCTGCTGTTGAATTACTAGTCCATGTGTCTCTATATTTACTTCGACCTCGGGAGTTCACTTGGAATTTTGCCAAGGTCATTAAGAAATAGATTTTAAGCTGATGAAAATATTGTCTGAACTATTGTAGATTGTAAAAACAACCCTTTAAGAACAATACTACAATATTTTCACTTACCATATACTTGGATCTGTGAAATTCATCGGTATCAGATGCAAAATATGAGTTGAACAACCTCCATGTAAGAAATACACAATCACTAAGTCTGAGTACGAAAGACTTCAAGTGCTCCGAGTCTAATTCGCAACTACTCGTATCCCATGCCCCGTCACTCTTGGAGCCTGTAATAGATTTAGTGGATATACGAATTTTCAGTCCTCGTAGTACAAGTATAGTAGCATTAATTATTAATAGAAGGGCCTTGTAGACAGCGTAATTTCCTACTTTGCACTCAATTCTGGAAAACAGAAGTCAAATCCGTGCGGCGAAGCACGTGGCACGGTAGATCACCTGCACCTTCAATGCTTGACAATGATCGCAAAAGTCCCGCAACCAGGGCAGCGCTGAGTGATTTCCGATAAACCAAGGTAGTATTCAGCGAACTATTCTAGCGCTATTATTCGAAGCAATATATCAATTTTCTAAGCGAAGACTCCATCAAATGGTGTGACCCTTGAATCCTTGATTGTTCCGCGGAGTCCCGTCGCTAAGCTCCCACGTTATGTGGGGCCACATGTTACGTGCCCAGGTGGAGATAATGGATTGGTTTTTTTTTTTTTCATGTTGATTGTATTTTTTTTTTCTCAATCCTGTATGAAAGTCCTTAGAATTTGTGTGGAAATTAATATCCATTTGGGGCTGAGATCCCTGCCTAGCTTATTTAGTTTAGGTAATTAAAAGTTCTTAAGTGCGTTCAAACTTGGATATTTTTGTTGTCATTAGTGAGATCGCTTAAGTCGTACTACATAGAGCTAAAAGCTTAGCCTTAGCGCCTTTACTACTGCCTTCCACGGCCCCGAGGGTGTTATTTTTGTCGCAGTTACAGCCTGGCAGAACGGGAATAATACAGAAATCCAATACCAAGCGGCGGTGGGCAGCAGAATGGGTCGTTTGCTCATCAGTTCACCAGTTGGCGATTTGATATTGGTGACCCAAAAGATTCATCTACAATTATGGCCAGTTATGGTGGTCTCGCGCAACAAGTCATAGCACAAACTTGAAATTTAGTCCCTATAGCAAACCGCATAATCTCCCATTCACTATTCTTGAACGAAGGCAAGACTTGTATCTAGCCTACCTCCTGTCTAACGGCAAAAATATCTAGTAGAGCTACATCGAACTCTTGCTCTGCTCCGCTTTCCTCCACCCATACCCGTGGACCTCGGGCTCAACCCACAACACTCTAACTATCAACGATGTAAAACAACATATGATAACAAGGCCCCATTCCCGCAGCATCCTCCATCTCTTCATCTTCATCCGCGTCATCCATATCTTCATCCGAGTCCGAGTCCTCCACATCCAAATCCGGAATATAGCACTTATCTTTACTCGTCCAAACCCGCACCTTCGAAATCGTCTTCATTCCCGTCACTGGGGTCGCGGTCTGATCCGCCCCCAGCGCCGTCTTATGATTAATCAGAAACCAAGCCTGGGCAGCTTCGTTTGGCGTCCCCAGAAGCGCCTGCCGACTCGGTGGTCATGTCAAACTCCCAAAGAGACAATTCGTCCGCAGACGCATCATCCGCCTCATAATCCGCCCCGTAGAGACTGATCGCTTCCTCGATGATGGCCCGTGTTTCCAGGTTGACCACGTTCATCTGGAAGATTTACTTGATGGATTTGGGGTCAGCGGCGCGCGTGGACCACTCGATTCACATTACGTCTGACAGCTGCTGGACGGCTGGGAGCTGGTCAGTGGAGGACCACATCTTCTTGGCTATGAGCTCCATTATCTTAGTACGTGGGTACCAGGTAAGGTCGACGATTATGGCGGCGTCGGCGGTATTGTACCAGCACTGGTAGTCGGCCCTAATAGCCTGGTTATTTGATTAGTATATTTATCTCCTTATAAGCATTTTTGGGTAGGTAAAGTAGAATTAGAAAGGTGTAGGAAATATACTAGGTACGTATTATCCACCGCCACTGTATGCTTCTAGTTCATAACCATATTGTTTACTAGCTTAATCCCTAGCTCCTCTAGCATTACCTCCCCAACATACATAGTAAATTTCTTAGTAAGGGTAGTATATAGATTCTACTTGATTATTCAGTCACTAACCATAAGCTAGGCTTACGTTAATATTATTATAACAATACTCCCCTTATTAGACCTGTGCAAAAGGTGGCCCATGGACCATGGTTCAAAACCCATGGGTAACCCATAGGTGAGTCTAAGCTACATTTTCCTTAGAAATTACTAGATTAGGTAGTATTCTAGAAAGGATCTAACCTAAAGGGGATCCTAGTTTAGTAAAGACCCACTTTTTTTGCCCATGGGCTTTGCACAGGTCTAGATACCATATTACTAGATTGTGGTTTGGACTAGATTAAACCATTCTTGGATGATTTTTGGATCATCTTGTTACGCTCGTTGGTAGTCATATCATCGTGAATAGCGAGATTTAAGCTCTAGATAACGTTAAATAAAGTTATATACCTATTTTTCACCAACTATTTAAATATAGATAGAACCACACTTAGTAAGTAGAATATTTGCCATTTCTCATACATAAGCTTGTGTTAGGGCAGCTCCACGTAAATCAAAAGACAATATCCACTGCTTAAGCAATTCCTCTTCAAGTTGGGTCAATTTATGACTATTTGCTCAAGTATCAGCTCGAAAAGTATCACCGGTAATACAGCGACGGAGGGTTGTACGAGGTACATCAAATCGATGTGCAGCTTCGGCAACAGATCGTATTTCTTCGTTTTTGATAGACTGTATAGCTAACAAGATACGCCCTTCTTGTTCGGCTAATTTTTTAGCCTGTTGAGTACGATCTGGAGGCATGGTGGTTGATAGAAAAGAGGTGCACGAAACGCGACGCGAAAAAATTGGGTGGGGTGGCCACTCGCTTACCGACAACAAACTAGCCTGAATTGCTGACACCTTATCATAATTTCCCTTAATTATAACTACAATTAAGCATCACTTTTCTCCTTTGCTTCTTAACTGCCTCTCATAAGCAGGTACTCTTATCGTAGTTTCCGAACCCCATCCACTATTATCACTAGCTCGACAAGAAAATGTCTTTGGACACCGAATCCCTCATCACCGCCGGAGACATGGTAGAAACGGGAGGAGTGTATGAGGTAAGAAGGATAAGACACACCCAGACCGCATATACGCTAGTTCCCTAGTTCCTCTGGCTTAGTCCGGAGTAGTCATTGCCTAGTTTAGTCAACACTCCTAATCCTACACTAACTTGAACTAACACACTCGAGCTTCCGAGGCTCTCCTTCGAAAGTATTCGGGTGAAACATAGCGCCGCTAGTGATACCTAGCATCATTGAAACGAATTCTCAGCAGTGTCTTCTCATAAAAAAGACCGACATTGAGTGCTTAACGACGGCACTCCGCCGCGCAATTAATACTATTTCGATGTAACTGGACCCTGAACCCTGGAAGTGAGATACTGTGACTATAATTCGGCTTCTAGTACTATATGTGCAACAAAATTTATACCATCAATTGCCGGAATACCGGACATGATGATAAATCCGAAAACAGGGAGGAGATCAGCCCCAGCCCCACCTTGGCAGAGCCCTTAGGCTAGAAATCTCAAGAGATTGCAAGTATTCCACTGACATCTTGAATTCCTCATACGGTATAACTTAAAATCTTGGAACATCTCTAGGTATATTGATAGTATCGTCGTAGCCCAGGGCTCTTTGTACTCCGAGTCCGTAACGTTCCGTATTCCAAGGGTTCCCCGCCCGGGCCATGTGCAGGATCATCTATGGATGGCGGCACGGAGCTATCCGAGATGTCCAATCGGCAAGTCCTCGGGATTCTCCCCGTATTGTAATTTTAATTTGATGCTGATAAAGCTCTTGTAAGACCATTGTATCGACAGGAACCATCGGAACCAAAATTACTCGGTAGATTTCCACGGGCTATGGATATTTCCCACTCCCGGCCCCCATATCCAGTTTTAGTAGCCTATACACTATCAAGGTAGCGCTAGCAGTGGTATGTCCACCGTTAATTTTTTTTTTAAGAATCAATATTTGAAACCCAAAAAGTACGTATCTTAGCCTAAGTTAGCGTGACACTAGTGTTTTCTACTAGTTTTCTTTTTCTTTTTCCAGGGGGATGACGCTGGCTAAGCCTTCTTGACAAGCTACTGTCCAGCAAAAGACCATTGTCTAAGCGAGGGCTCTGCCAAAAGATGTGGATCTTGTGAGCTTTGATTGTTCCGCAGATTACCGTCGCCAAGTATTAGTTCATGTTATGTGGAGACAGTGGGGGGGGGGCTCTTTTCTTTTTTTTTTTGTTTAAAATGAAATCCCTGGGAAATCCTTGTGGAAATTAATAGCCTACTCAGGTTTAACACCACACTGATTAGCTTGGAAGTTTAGTTTAATTTATCGAAAGGTCAAGTTTACGTTCAAGTTTGCGACATTGTTTTGACCCTCGGTGAGATCCCGAAGTCCTATTAGTTTACCGTAGGAACATCAGGTTTATCCGAGATCCCTTTCCCTTCTATCTCCACACATATACGGATGAATGGGCTGAACTACCCTGCCCCGTAGTCATTTCCTATTTTAGCTATCTCTCTTAGGTCCGCGCTAACTTACTTGGACTTCATCAATCACAATATTTTTGTTTAACGGAAACATGCCATAGCTAGCGTATGGGCTAGTGTATGGAATCGCGAAAACAAGGGGGTTCAGTTGTTTGTAAAAAAAAAAAAAAACAATTTAAAATACCAATGCTTGAAGACCGAAATTTGGATGAATGAATGTTGGTTGAACTGAAAACCACCTCGGAAGCCCACTCTGAAGGAATTTGGGGCAGCACTCCGAAGTTCGAAGGTTATAGTATGCTACTTTACAAATACCTGCCTCTGGGGTTAATTTCATATTAAAAATTTCCTATATATGTCCTAGGCACTATCCTCAAGTTCATATCAAGTCTTTTATTCTATTTCTCATTTTCGACTTCTACTTCTCATCAATACTCCTTTATTTCCTTTATTTTTCGCTCTTTATTGAGCTTGACCATCTGAGCGATGGTTTATCCTAAACGTGATATCACTCTTGCCACTCTTTTTTGCTTCCTTGCTGGACTCCTCGCGGGTGACTCATGGGCCCGAGATACCCCATTTAACACAGAGTCAACCCTCAATGCAAATAATTTCCGCTTTAATCTGAGCTGGCATGCTCCGAAGCAAGATCATGCCCTAGCCAGCCGCGCCGTCGAGCTTGCCCCCCCGTACCGACGCTTCATTTTATGATACATGTGCGACGAAGGGAAACAACCTTATATGTGTGACTCAAATGGATAATGCTGAGGCAACAAAGAAGCTCATCGGTGATCCAGCCGCAAAATACACGACGGTAACTGATCTGACGGACGCTGGCTGGATACAGTATACAGGGACCGTCACCGAAATTGCAGCTATTGAGACAAAGCTGCGTGGCTACTTGGACCTCACTTTACTGGATGGGTTGGGCGTGAATTTGGTAAATAATGTGCTTGTCGACTGGAGGTGGATAGTTGGTGCGGATGGGGTTCTCACAGCGGATGTATGTATGCGGCATTGAGTGCGCTGTTTTGGATATCCTCCTTTATCACTATCCTACGTAAACTGTCGGGAAAGAGCTTAGGCTAATGGACATTCCTTTCATTCAGGAGTTTGAAGCACTCAGCCCCAACGCTCCTACAGGCGTGGCTATGAGTCAAAATTGGTATAATGTCGAAGGTGGTCTTATTATTGTGAACTCTGCATGGAGCCCGAAGTATATGTACGGTCAATCCTCAGGTCAGTCATGGTGGCCATCGACAGTAACGGAGAAGACTGTTGAAGAGCTCACTGTTAGCAAGTCCTCGGATGTGATGTATATTGAATGGGCGAGCCAAGCAGAGGACGTCACGACTCTGCAATATGTCATTCAGTTGGATGTTGTGAATCTTGGAAGTAGGAGTGTTATGAACACGGTAATGCAGGATAATGATTGGTCGACACCTACGTTCTTCTATCAGGGGTCCACAGAATTTGACGCACTGCTTGGGACTCCAAATGGAAATCCGCAAGCGTGGATTCTCATCAATCACAAGGCGGAATTAGGTGTGAAAACTGTCTACAGTATTATGATATGGACAAGCAGCACTGTCATGGAGGGTGCGCCAAATGTGTATCTTGACACGGACGAGGGTGGAAACGCAGCGAGTTTGAGGAATATGTGTTATGTCTACTATGATGAACAGGAGGAAGAGGAGTACTCGGATTCGGAAATAGAAGACTCAGATTCAGAAGATGAGCAACCGTTAGGCTTCTGGGGGCTGTGCCAGCATATGCTTTTCACCTTTGAGGATGTGTCAACCAGCGAAGAGGACGCTATGGACCTTGTTTAATTTCTCTCTGGTACTGGATGGAAAGTAACAAGGAAGAAAGATGACAATCTTGGGAGGACTCCTATAGATATTGGCCATGGCCATAGCTACTGAGAATTACATGTACATATCCATAGATTCACGAATCCCAACCTCGGATACAGGTAGATAGCCCTGGAGTGTCCGTGTGTAAGGGGGTAAAATAGGTTACCAGGGCATTCCTGTTACGTTACGTATTTGTGGAGAAATACATTTGTCAGCACATCCAAGTTTCCAAGGTTCCCGTGTTCTTTACTAATTAGACAACCACTGGACACCTTTTACTATTCTTGATCATATATGACCACTATTGCCGAAACTTTGAATTTTGAACGATGGATCAGTTACCATTGGAAATCAGGTACATAATAGCTGATTGGGTAAGCCTCTCTGTCTAAAGAAATAATAAATAGTTCTAATCTAAGCGACAGACAAGACACATCTCGAAGAAAACCCTACAAGCCCTGTGCCTAGTCAACCGAGAATGGAATGAAATCGCCAGAATACTCTTGTACCGGCATATTACTATCCACTTGAGAGAAGGGAAAATTGCCAACATACCGGATGACCAACGTATCCTGGCACACGTAAGACAACTAAGCCTTGTGGCAAAGTGGCAGCCGGGTGCGTGGCATAAGACACTTCACCTCAATCACACACAGCCTCTGGTTGAGGACAAGACTCGCGGTCAGAACTCCCAAATTTCTCGTGCTCTGGAGGGAGCATTCTCGGGGGATCACTTCGTCCCGAGAGCTGGTTTCTACGTTAGGGGAGATTGGAGTCCTATTATCGATCTCATTCGACGAATTCCATGTTTGCACGACGTGAACATAGTTGTCTTCCATGGTGGCCCAGTCGAGCTTTTTGAGGCTCTTTCACAATATCACCCTTCTTGTCGAGTCTCTATCTTCAGCACTTTGATAAAAGAAAACCCCATTCAAACGTTCTCGTTTCCTATTATCGACCCGGTCTGGCTTTCTTCACCAATGCTGTATGCTGTTCACTTGACCTGTTTAGAGGGTTTTCCTCGGTTTTATGAGCATCCGGATAGGGTCCTTCAGAATATTGTGTTACATGCGCCTAATCTTAAGAAGATCGCATTGCGAATCAGCGATAAATACAATTCTCCGACCGGTCAAGAGCAGCTTAACAGAGCCAATGTGGACATAGGAGCCAAAAGTGACAAACCACCTGGATCTGCCAGAATTGAAACCATGTCATGGCCTCTCCACACCAAAATGACAGCTGTGCAGTTCCAAGATTGGCAAACAATCACCGATTTCAGTGTTCTGAGATCTTTGAATGCTGGTTGTATTGAAGATTTGACACTACTTCGGTCTATGGTAAATATGCGCCCGTTCCGACAACTACAGCGACTCACTCTTGCCTTATTTCCACCGAAGGATAATAAACCAAGATTTTGGCAAGTTGCGGAGTCAATGTTCAGTTCACTACCCCCATTAACACATCTCTGTCTTTTGGGAATGTATACTCCTGAGTTTGCCAACAATATGCTTGGCTGTAAGCATGGACAGACTCTCCTTGAGCTGGAATTACATAGGGAAATAGTACCTCATCCACGTTCCAGAGGCATTTCTCTATCACGGCTGTGCCAAAAGGGGCAAGCTGGGCCAATATTTTCAACTGAGCATGTTCGAGAGTTGGCCGATCATTGTCCATCTCTACAGAAGCTACAAGTCTGCGTACAGCGATGTCCAGGTGCCCAAACAGATCTATCGAGAGCTCTGAGCCGGTTCCCGTGCCTTGAAAAGCTCGACCTTGTGTTGAATTGCTTACCGGAAATGGATGCCAACATGATGCCAGTCCCGTTGCGAGAGCTGACTGACTTTGAAAAGGGTCTGGCATCGGATTTCAAATGGGGTAGTGATGTTTGCCCTAGATGGTTCATTCGCGACTACATTATCAACTGTGTGATGAGCGAGAGCCTTGTCAAGCAATTCTTCACGCAAATCCACACATCTCAAGAACGTCTTGTCCAGCTTGTTATAAGCCCTCTTATTGGTGAATGGGCTCAGTGCTCTAAATTGGACCAGTACTCTTGTTTCCCAAATGGAGTAATGAAATTTATCAAATACCCCCTTTTCAATACCTTGGCTTCTGTTTGGAAGGTCGAACAAGAGAATCATACAGAGCTGCATGCGATACGCGAGAAGCCCTTTGACCCTCCCTTACTCGACAAGAAATGGCCAAATGAGATATTATCAATTGTCCGCTCCACTGGTATATGGAAGACAGGGCCAGACGTGGAGACTTATTAGCTTGATTGGGCAGATTATGGAGGCTACGCGTTGGGCAATTGAGATCAGATTGATGCATTGGCAACGCCCGAAGCCTTAGCACTGGGAAGCAAAGTTGTATACTAGCCGTGCGGGTACACTATGGAGAAGACTTTCTAGCTGGTCGTACCAATGCGCAAGCAAGCCGGCATCTTCAGCTTGAATTCTCTTCAATTCCTTAGTCTTCTGCTTCACTGGCGTGAGGCTCATATTATCTGGAAGACGCTTAATGAAGCGATATGCCCACATTTTGCTAACCTGGCGTTCCGCCTGGCCCGATCGCTCAAGGGTACGATTCGCCCACGCCTGTATAAGAGCAGGAGTAGGAGGAAGGTTCCAGCTGATCATCTGGCCTACCCAGTTAAGCAAGGCGTTCTCTTGGTCGGCTTGAAGGGCATATCGGCGCGAAGCCCCTGTAGAAGTAGGCGATTTCGCACTTTTAATGCGGCTTGCAAGGGTCTCGCGAGACACGTCGAATTCACGCGCAATTTTCGAAATATTCGGTTTCTTTTGGCTCATAGCGGCTGCGAAGGCCTTAGCCATACTATCCTCGTTAAAATTGGAGGATCTAGACATGCTGGGTGGGTGTAATAGCTGGGTGTAGGATTTGATAAAAAGAAATTGGTGATAGACGTGTGGTGGTGAATGAGGCGTGACGCACCCATATGGGGAAGCGTATGGGTGGGTCGCAGCGTAGCGAAGGGCACGGATACAATCGAGGCTGAGACGCATGCACAAACTGATTCCAGTTAGCGTCGACCGCTGCCAGCATCCCTGTTTTTCTTTACTCTATTGGAGCGGTTGAAGCCCCTGGTGGCGTGGTCAAATCTTTGATCGGCCCGAGGGAGCAGTTCTTCTTGACCCTTAAGAGCTGCTATCGTTTTACTTTGTTTCTTGCCCATTAGCAAATTCCAACTCGCCTGGATACCACCGGTACACACGTTGATTCCCCGACCCCTCCCCTCAAGCAGCATGGCGACCGCACTGAATCACCCATTTTACCCCCCCTGATCTCAATCCTATTGGCTATGTTGCCAATAAGATGAGTACCACTGCCCTACTTGGAACTTTCGCTGTTGCGGTCGCTGGTGTGATCGGATTCAGCTCGGCTGTTCTAAAGACCGTAAAGCCGAACATATCACGAACAGACAAGATTCTGGTTGGATGGTTTGTCTTTAGTCAGTTGCCTCGGCCCCAATACTGCCTTATAGTTGGACTGAGCTGATGATTTAACGTTATTTTATTAGGTGGGTGTATACACTTCATCCTGGAAGGGTACTTTGTATACAACCACAAAACCATGCCACGTAGACTTGATCTTCTTGGTCAGATGTGGAAGGAGTATGCGAAGGCTGATTCTCGGTACATGACCATGGAGCCCTTTGTACTCTGCATGGAGACGGTTACAGCTGTATGTTTGAGGCATTTCATCCCGTCCGTGGTTAACTATGCTAATTTGTGCAGTTTGCGTGGGGCCCCCTATGCTATACCATCGCATTCATGATAGTTTCGGAGTCTCCTCACCGCCATCCAACACAGATGATTGTCTCTATGGGTCAGTTCTATGGTGATATTTTGTATTATGCAACAAGCATAATGGAGGAAATCTACCATGGGAGGTCTTATGCCCGCCCGGAGACTTTCTATTATTGGGGGTACTTTATCTTCCTCAATGCCTTCTGGATTATTATTCCACTCTGTAAGGATTCCAATATCGCTGACCCCCCTAGCTTTTATCTTGGGTGCTAACTCTTTTCTCTAGTCTGCATTTACCAAAGTTACTCAATGATAGTGGGAGGCTTCCGACAAGCCTCTAGTAGCTTTGCAAAAAAGAACATGTGAGCTATGACGCGTATTGCCTCATAGGGTACTAATAAACACCACATCTTTCGCGAACTGGACTAATTTGGGTGGGAGAAACCGGCTTATGGAGTCACACTGGGGCTAAGACTAGGAAAGCGGAGCGGTCGGAGGATGGACAGAAGGTTTAGAGCAAGGCGACTTTTTTCATAGGATGATATGAAGCAAGAATCTAGCTCTTAAAAAAAGAGTCTATGTCATAATATCGCAGTTGTTTAATGAATTAATTGTTCGTTCGCTTTTCAAGGCACAGTCTAGATGGTGATCATAAGTTGAGTGCTACCGGGATTGCTTTCGTTATGGAAATTCGTAGGACCGCATGGGTATTTAGGGCTTCAAACTATAAAACCGAGACATACCGCTTTGGAGGGAATTCCCAATCAAACCTATCGTAACCACTCGTATACTTTCTACGGGTACAGCGACCACCATAAATGTTACTAGAGATATTCTGTTGAGAGACTAAAGAGCTTGAAGCTACATGGGTTGAAACAGCTGCAGATGATTGGTTCTAACAAAAGTCACAGAACATGAAATTTGCTGACGTTTAGGAGTTCAAAAATGATTCAGGCGGCGATTTTCCTGGCGTGACTTGCCATCTACTTTATTATCTTGCCAAGCTGGGTTGGCACACTAGTGATTCTTCAAATTCATAGCTAAGGTTTTGATATATTCGAAGCCAGGTAGGTTTCCTATTATTCACACATGATACTGCAACGCTACTCTGCACGTCGTCGAAGTCTCACAGCCACTTTCTTGGTAGGCGGCAAAGTCCCGTAAGGCACCCATCTTTTGTCAGGCTTGACCTGCTCAGCTTGCCGGAGATCTACCAGCTCACATTCGAACAATTCCAAAAGTAATCCCAATGTACCGATGATTTCGTTCTTGGCAAAATGGCGACCAGGGCACATCCGCTGACCTCCTCCGTAAGGCATCCAACATTCCGTCAAGCCTTCAACACTGAATCTTGCATCTTTGTTAGATTTCTGGACAATGAAGCGCTCTGGCCAGAACTCATCCAGGGGTTTGGTCACGCTCTCAGGTCTCATGTTTTCCCAGGCCTGTCTATTACGAGCCGTGAGTGAGGAAAATATTGTCATCGTCATATTCTTGTCAACTGTGTAATCCGGGCCCAGCTTGAAATTATCATCCTCGTTTGTGCGAGTCATGGTTGTTGCGACGCGAAGACGCAATACTTCTGCATACGTGGATTGAAGTAAGGGCTTGGTAGAGAACTTTGGAATATCAAAGTCACCAGCTTCAGACTTAAGACAGTCCTTCAGCTCGCTCCTCAGGCCTTCTTGCAAATCCAAATCCTTAAAAGATTCGAAAATATACCAGAAGACAGCACGAACAGCATTTGCATTAGATCTAATCTTATATTAATGCGGATCTTCCAATGGAGAGAGAAGGAAAATGAAGTACATACCCAAATAGAAGGCCAAGGTTCTCAGATGCAATCGCATCATCATCCATACCATGTTTTCGCAAAGAATCTTCACGTGCTTTGATGAACTTGGTTCCGAAGAATTTATCCCACTCAGGGCCCTCTTCTCCGTGTTGCGTACAGTCAGATTCACGGTTTGCAATTGTGTTCCATGCTTTGATGTTGGCTAACAAGCGATCGCGCGTTTTATACGCAGACGGAATCATCCAGCGAGGCAATCCACGGGAGTAATTTGCGATTTGTCGATCAAATTCCCAGAAGTCGTCCACAATACCAGGATACATTTCTAGAATTTGAGATCCCATCATAGCTTCAATGACGGAAGGAGTGACCTGGCTCTGAAGCCAAATGTAAAAGTCCGAAATCTCTGTCCAGCCGTCGGATGGGATATCGAGCTTCAATATCCTATTTTTGAGAATTGTAAGGTATCTCTCCGACATTGCCAAGAGATAGGTTCCGGATAAGTACTTGATGCTGATTTTGGCTTGGTAATCATGGATATGTTCAGGCTTCTCTCCTGGCATTGAGTTGTGGGGACCATGAGCAGCATAGAAATGCAAGGACTCCCTAGGCGTATAGAACCATTTCTCCATGACAAAAACCATCATAGGTCTGTTAGTCAGGATTCGTGAAGAGCGTAGTATGGTCCTAATGTGATTTGGATTGACAATCATCGTGAATCCAAATGATCCGGCTCGAACTCTAATGGGAGAAATATACCCCCAACGTTTACTGAACCATTTGTTAGCAGTGACAAGTCTGCCGGCACCGAGGGACTAACACTGTGCTTTCTAGGAAGCTGGCCATGCTCCACTCCAGACTGAAGGCATGGCATAGTCCTGGGAGGTAATATGGAAGTGTTGGTACTGGCTTTCCGGACTTCTTGCTGCCCCGAGCCCTCATAAAGGAAAGAAAGGATAGAACGTATGTAGAAACAAATAACGTCAACAATGTGAAGGCAATGGTATGAAATCGTGGCGAGTTAGCCGTGGATAGAATTTTATCGACAAAGAAGGGATATTCCTAGAAAGTAGAAGATTTGCGTATTAGCGAGCTTCAGCCCAGTTATAGTACCGCCAGTAGACATACCTGATTGAGAACATCAAGCATAGTGTGGCTCTCAGAGGCATCCTTAATGTTATAAGAGAACCTGCTAAAAAAGTTCAAAGCCATGGTGAAGGCTGAAGGAGCAGTGGGATTCTGAGGATTGACAAAATCTATGAAAAACATGGGCTTCAGAGAGAATTTAGTAAAATTTACTACAGAAGCGTGAGCGTTGTCGAGTGGCCATCCTTTGTGTGTGCTCTCGTATTAAGGCCCCTGATTGGATATGGAAGAACGAAGAAGAAAAAATAAATAAATATTAAAATAAAAACCAGATGAAGAACCTCATGTCAACCTTGGAATGTAACCCGATACTTCACAGTGTGCTTCGTTGTCTTGCTAGCCTCATGTGTATCTCGGCCTTGTTTTTTTGGCAGAATGCGTAATTTTCAAGTTCTTGTAAAGCACTGTCTAATGAGAAAGCGGCACAAAAAGGTAGCAATACATAAAACCGTGTTTTTTGAAAAGGATGCCAAGTTCACCCAAGTGCGCTCCACGCCGAAACGACGCGTAACTAACATGCTAGTGGGATTGGGGGCCAAGTTAAGTTTACGCCCCACCGCGGAATGAATGCATCCCCGCGACGCCGACCAAACCTTCAGGCCTAGAGGTGACAGGAATCAATTTATGGAAATCGTTGAGGTCTTTCCTGTGGCCCAAGGTCACATTAAAAGCGGACCTTAGGAATCGCGTCAGGTCCTTGGCAGAGTTATACTATCTTGTAGTGGTGCCATGACTGAGTTGATTGGTGGTCAATTAGTATGCGATCATCTCATTTGCTTTCTAATGTCAGAAAGATGTCCTGACTAGTATTTGCAACTAGTGAATAGAAAATGCATACTGGGGGCCTAACTCTGAGACATCCGTGGATGGATTTTTTATCTCGCTTTTCTCGTCTTTCACGTTCATCTGTCTCAACCCTGAGTCCCCTCAGGCTCCTGATCGGAATCCACCCCCGGAGAATTTCAGGCACGATACCAAATGCCCATGCCTGCAACGCGTGGGGCCAGTAGGCTATCACGATAATTGAATGGCATCCCCCTCACCTTAGTGCCTCACTAGTCATAGTTCGAGACGTTGGTACGAAAATTCCAGGGCCACGAAAATGGGAAGTACTTGAAGCGCGCAGTGCTTTTGCAAGCTACGGGCCCGATCTTCGCAATCAGGCCCCAATATCCACCACTCCGAAACGACCTCACCAATGCATGTAAGCAAAATAATGCTACGTCGAAGTCTCCGAAGCCAACGCAAGCCACCGAGCGCCCAATGCACGCGCATGTGGATCTGGAATAGTGGAAATTTACAAAGTACCAGAAATCCTGCCTATTGAACGAGGCTCGGCTAAAGCTGCGGGTGATGCATGTAATAATTTGCGTTGATACCCAACTAATGTCTCTGTAATACTTATCCAATCATAGATGTTTGTGCTATGTAGATATGCTATGTATCGATGAGTGTCAGTGACATGGGTTCATCCTCTTCGCCCCCAAATATTCGATCCTTTAATCTCCACGTTGTATGAGTTCATAATATAATAAGCCTTACAGTCAGGTTCTAATTGAATTTCTACATCTTCATTCTCTATTGATAGAATATAAATCTTCAGGAGACTCGTTCTAGGTCTTTCTGGAGGTTTACTTGTACTCAGTATCTTGTTTCAGCCTCTTATGATAGTCACGACTCGAGTGGCTCCGGTCGATTAGTAGATAAATCGACAGCATGAATGGCAACCTGCCTTCTACTTCTCCGCTGGGGTCCTTGGCTAAGCCACTGCCAAAAAGGGCAAGGGCTTGCGAGTAGTTGCCATCTTCCAGCTTGCCTATGGCCGCTGTCTCTTATGGGTAATTTTGATGCCTAGGTCCGGACTCTCCGGTGCTATCTCCCTCGTTGTCTAGTTAATACTTTACTATTTGGGGCTGTTATTAGGATCAAACTCTCCTGCAGCTTCTAATGGCTAGGTCCTATCCGTTGCGTCGTCAATAGATCCGGGATCTCCTAATCAGTCTCCTCCGTGTTACCGTTAATGCTAGACTATCGTGCAAGGCGCCCTCTCCTGGTGGGGCCCTGTCTTCGAATTCTAGGGGACACGGATTCGAATCATGTTACTGGCATAAATCCTACCTTATGAGGCAAACACCGAAGAAAGCACTAAGCTCTAGTTGATATGGCTGGGACCTGGATGGTGGACCCTAAACAGGATTCAGTCTACCGTTGGAGAGGGGGGAGGGTAAAACAGTCTTTAGCCCTTAGTGTGGATACCCTTCTCGGAACGAACCTATGCAGTAGAACAAACCGACGAGGCTATTGACTGCAAGGGAAAGAGAGTCCTATATCTATCAAAAACTGGGGCTAGAGTAACTGTGATGTTATTGAAGAACCAAACTGGTCTCAACAAGACGTCGATATGCGCTTCAGAGAATCTGCGCAAAAGAACGCAGTGGTACCCTAGTCGCTTTAAAGCGCGGGGCTGTCCGGTCGTTATTAGGTCTGTATTTACACACATGGCGTTTGGGTAGTTCCGGTGCCATCGGGAGCACGACCTACATAACCATTACGCAACTAGTTAGGTTGCATTAGGGAATAAAAGCAAGCGTAGCCCGGTCAGATACCATGGCCATTCATCGCATGTAGATTTGGCAGAACCGGAAGGAATCTCCGCTCTTAGTGTTATCCATTCATTCAAACTAAGGCGTTTTCCATATTTAATCTTTTCGTTTCATCAGTGTTGCAAAGGACGAAAGTTGTTTAATTTTCTCCCGTGCCATTTGAGATATAAGCATACTTTGATGTGGTATCCAACGTTGTCGATGAAAATGAACTTGGACAGATTCAACGAGAATCTTCTGGGCTTCTCAACGACTCTGTTTTATTCCACCAAGCCCGACATGAATGAGACCACTAGAGGAAACTTGAACAACGCCAACTCGAGGTCATTATTATGGGACAACCTTTTAGTCCTGTGTATTTCAGCGGTCGCCGTTCTTTGTTTGGCCAACAAGGCATTGATGCACATGAAATTCAACGCAACTATACAAGATAAGTCACCGAATAAACAGCCTCCGGCTATACCTCAATGGATTCCTCTATTTGGCGTTATTCCATCAATGGTTGAGTATTTGTGTCGCAATCCAATGCATTTCTTCATGACATCAAAGTGAGCCGCTCCTCTTCCTTTCTAGCAACAATTTCTGACAGCCATGCGCAGGATGTTTCAGATGCCCCACCCCATCCGTCTTTCCTTTTTTTCGATGGATTTATATCTCGTCCAAGGAGCAGATAATATCAAGGATGTGTTCAAAAACTCCTGGGTATCAACCTCAACCTTTCTTCATCAGTTTAGTTTGCGGAATGCCTTTGGCATGTCCGAAAAGGCTCTCGAGATATATGATAAAGATGACTCCGGGGGCAGCCATCGCCCATACCCCGGAAGCACTGTGGAAGCCAGGAATCGTGTTGATTATCGATCATATCAAACCATTTCCGCATTCCTCGGAGGCAACGGCCTTAAATCATTCTGGCGACGGTATCAAGTCAATATGACAAAGCGTCTAAAGGAGTACCAAATTGGCTCACAGTGGGAGGAATCGCCAGACTTCCTGACCTTCTTTGAAACAACAATTTCAGCCGCATTGATGGATGCTCTCTGTGGAAAATATCTTCTTCAGCGAAGCCCTAATTTCCTGGTGGACTTATGGCAGCTTGATCGTGAGCTGGATGTTCTTTTCAAAGGAACCCCCAAATTTCTTGCACCGAAGGTATACGCAACTCGGGAACGGCTTCTTGATGCGATCAAAGATTGGCAATCCTTTGCGAGGGAGCATTTTCTGCCATCATTCATCGATTCCAGCGGGGATGACCCTTTCTGGGGTAGTAAGTTCTTCAGGAACCGACAAGATGTCTTCATGGAGATGGATGGTATGGATTATGATGCAATTGCATCCGAGGACTTTGGGGCAATCTGGGCGTACGTTCACATTTCCAGTCATCGAAAGGCCCTTCTGACAGTACATTCAACAGGTCAACACGCAACTCAATTGTGGCAGCCTTTTGGACAGTCATAGAAATCTTCCAAGATCCGTCTCTCATAGAAAGGGTCAGAGACGAGGTCAAACCGTGTGAAAACGGCGATTCCGAGACAATATTCGATATCGATAAGTTACTCCAGTCGCCGCTTCTACAGTCTATTTATGCCGAAGTCTTAAGACTGCGTGTGCATATCTTCATAGTGCGAGCACCAAAGAAATACAGCCTGAACATACGGGACTGGCGCATCCCCACGGGAAAACACTCCTTATGAGCTCTACCCCGGCGCACATGGATACTGAAGCGTGGAACACAGGAGTGAATAACGAGCACCCTCTTGATAGCTTCTGGGCTGAGAGGTTCATCAAAGTGGCCAACGATGAGCAAAGTGGACCTAAGAAGTGCACAAGGCAAACGGCTTCTACTTCAGCCGATTCGAAATGTTCTCATGACACCTCCAATTCAATATTCGCCATAGATGATGTTGAAGGGTCATGGATTCCTTACGGTGGAGGCCCTCGCATGTGTCCCGGCAGACACTTTGCGAAACGTGAGATTATTTTGACAATGGCAATGATGGTGACCATGTTCGACTGTGACGTGTTGAAGAACGTTCGATCGTTGAAAATGGATATGAGAGGGTTTGGATTTGGTACATTGAATGCGGTTGGCAAAGTTCCGGTACGGATGAGACGCCGAATCGTACACGATATCTGATATGTATGAATTTGAGAATCTTGAATGAATGAAATGAAGTTTCCGGGCGTGGGGAGAGGAAGAATAGTAACTGTAAAAGTGCGAGGGGTTAAGGTCTCCCTCTGATCGGTGGCTTCCTTGGGTTGATCTGCCCCTGTACCATGACTAAAAAAATCCCAATAAAACGCCAGATGAAATCAATTAACTTAAGCCAAGGTCATTAACACTTACTACAGGATGGATCGAAATCAGTTTCACCACCAACACACAGAGCTTCTATCTCTAACCCTATTTTAAAACGCGCTATACCATGATAGTTACTTTACCCCTGACCTATTTCTTGGCAGTATTTCCATACAGTTGTAAATTACAGTCAATAGATTCTTGATCAAGCCTGTATGATTTTTAGGCCAAATCGACAGATCGTATACATTGGGGGGTCCTTTGCCAAGCGCAACGACACAGAAGATCAAGAAGATTCGCAAGTCGGTATTTTGTTCTTTTGCCCTCTGTCGAGCCACCTTTTTCGACCAGCCGACCGGAGCAAGAGCTCGCTTCAGACTGGAGCTTGTCAACCAGGTCTGAAGCTTATGCCATATGAACAGTACCATCTCATCCACGTACTGTATGATCCGGGCTTCTCAAGAAGGTGGTCACACAAGGCCTGTAACATTGGCGGCGTGATACTTCGTCGCCAGCCGACGCGAGTCGATGGAGCTCTGATATTTCCGAACAGGCGAATATTAGTGCGAAGACTCATTATTAAACGCTCACTACACTCCGCAGCTGTGGCCATTTGTGACGTAGTCAAAGATCCGCTCTGTATCATATCACGAATCATTTCCACCTTGCATGGAGGGAGTTGGGCCGCCATTGCAAATGACTCATGGAGGTTGGTCATAGGCGTCGTTGCCGCAACGGATGAAAATGGTTTTCTTCATGCTCACCATGCTCACCCCTCTGCTCAGTGAGCAGATGGAATGAATTTCGATCGAAGGTCACGGGGGATGCTGGGGTATTAGGAAATGCACGTGATTGACCCACAGTGGTTCCTGGGAAGTTAGTGGTTTTCTTGGTGATCTGAAAAGTGCGGACGTTAATCAGTGATCGGTGATCATAATAGGGAACAAACAATACCTTCTACCCATATAGAAGGGTTGCCACAAGAAGCCTTAAAAAGCACCGTCCGGCAGGCATATATAGCAAAAGATATTGTAATTTGAAGCAAGTCATGATTTCAAAATAACATGGTCTAACATAAACATCGATCAAAGGCTGGGTATACGGCATTATTCTGAAAGTAGAAGAAAGATGACATGATACGATGAACAGACAATAGCCATTTTGGCTCCATAGATAGCGAAAACGAGGCACTGAGGGGGCGACATTCTGAGGGTAGCCATAAGAGGTTCAGTCCATGATAGGTTATCTAGGAGCGGTCATCGCTAAGTCCATATCCATGTTGTTTAGGTGGGTGGGTAAAGCTATTAGGCATAGGCGCCACAGGGTCTACTGAACTTATGGAAAAGGTACCAGCATCCGTGTGCAGATGATTTGAACCAGCGATATCAAATTCGATGAAGCTCGTACAGCCGGTAGGGAGGGTTGACAAATTCTGGCCGGTGACTGGATCCCAGATCCGGACTGTATTATCAAGCGACCCTGATGCAAGTCGGCTGCCATCTGGCGACCAGGCAATCAACTCGACCCACTTACTATGCCCCTCGAGAGTTTGAAGGCAAGCACTCCAGTCTTTCTCCACCATAGGATAGTTCAAAACCCAATCAGGTCTATCTTCTTGGAAAGCTATTCTAGTGAGGCTCTTCGAAGGGCTAAAAACGAGAGGTGAGCAATACGCATGTAGCGGGCTGCTCTCGATGCCTGTTCTATGATATTGAACGAATCTACTGGCGTCTTGAGCTCGCCATCTGACTCACTCTCCTCTTGTCAGAAGAGAACCTTATGTTAGCAGGCCACTCCATATTAATATCACTTTGGGAACTTACCAGAATAAAACTTTCCAGTCTTTTCATAGCGTTTATGCCATCTGAAATGCTTCCTAATATGCTCAGAGCCTCAAGCCAGTGGAGAAATTTCTGCTGCATGAATTTATCCAGTTTCTCCCTATTCTTCAGACTTAGTCTGTAGGTTGTGGTATTCTGACAAGTGTGGACATGGTCCACCCAGTACATACCCGAGGTCTTACTTCGTTGGGTTGAGGCCTTCTGCTCAGAAAGAACGGCGAAAATCCTGATCAACGGGCAATTATCTGAGACTCAAAGCTTGCCACAAGCTGGGCTGCCGCAGGGCTCGCCCCTGTCTCCGATTCCTTTTCTCTTCTTCAACGCTGACCTCGTGTAAAGACAGATCGACAGCCAAGGAGGAGTAGTCGCTTTCGTGGATGATTTTACCGCGTGGGTGATTGGACCAACTGCACAAAGTAATCGGGAAGGAATTGAAACGATTATCAACGAGGCACTTGACTGGGAGAGGAGGGTGGAGCGGCTTTTGAGGCTGACAAGACAGCTATCATACACTTTGCTCCCAAGATGCGCAAATTTGACCATTCACCATTCACCATCAAGGGACGGACGGTGGTACCCAAAGACCACGTCAACATTCTGGGTGTCCTGATGGACACGAGGCTCAAATACAAGGAAAATATCGCGAGGGCAGCGTCCAAGGGCCTAGAGGCAGCGATGGAGCTTCGGCGACTCGTGGTCTATCACCTGCGACGGCGCGGCAGCTGTTCACATCAACGGTGGCACCGGTCGTGGACTACGCGTCCAACGTCTGGATGCACGCGTGCAAAGATAAGGCTGTGGGGCCGATCAACCGAGTGCAAAGGGTAGGCGCGCAAGCCATTGTGGGGACATTTCTCACGGTCGCGACCAGTATCGCAGAGGCGGAGGCTCACATAGCTACTGCACAGCGGTGATTTTGGAAACGGGCCGTGAAAATGTGGACAGAATGGATCCACTGTGATTATTAATGTGCTTCGATTCTCATTTTCTCCACTCAACGGAATACCTGCATATCAACGAGGGGTGATTGGTGCTTCCACCTGGGAAGGCCGGAAACCAATCCTCTCCGCTGGTGTACAGATCAGATCAGAAAGTTCCGAAGATACCATCGCTCGCAGCTCTATTAAGCAGCTGACACGCTGAAGAATATCGACATGGACACGCTGGAAACCATTCACGCGTTCACCTTGGCACCGTGGGACGCACGCGTGCGCACAGACGTCACGGCAGTTCCGCAGTCACTGGACGAATCGGGCGGGTCTATGCAGATCGCAATCAGCGGCTTGGCGCGCAACGGGTTGGATTACATTGCTCACGAGCAACAAAACAGCGACTCTTACAGTCAGGAACCCTCGACAGCAGTCGGGCCAGGACTTTGTGGGTTAAATTTACAAGTCGATGAGAAGAATGCGAAGGAATGGCAACCGGATCGATATCATCTGGGTCTCCGCCAGCGAGAAGAACAGATTGTTGGGCCTGCCTAAGGAACAGGCCAGGGCTGCAACTCACGAGGGCGCTCTCGTACAAGTGCAAGTACTGAGGATGAAGTCAACGACCCTGAATCTTGCACAATCCCAGGTGAACACGGGCAAAAGCTTGCCAGAGAACGTCGGGAAACACATGAAACGCGTAGACACCGCGCTTCCAGGAAAACAAACTCGACAGCTGTACGATCGCCTATCGTGGAAAGAATCAAGCGTGCTAGCTCAACTCCGGACGGGAATGGCCAGACTCAATGGATACATCTCTCAGATCAACGTGGCAGAGACGGATCAGTGTGTATGCGGACAAGCAAGAGAAGCGGTGGATCACTTCCTCTTTCGTTGTCGGAGGTGGACGGTGCACCGGACAAGGCTGCTACACTGTACGGACACTCATCGAGGCAAGATATCCCTGGCCAGTCCTCTTCCTCACATTGAGAGATATTATTGATAATATGGATAGATATGTGTAGGCGGAGATGGATATGGAGCTCTCGGAGATGCGGGAGCTCATGCCGGAGATTTGCGGGTTTCGATTATGCCTTGAGCAGCCATTTGGTGTACAATTTGCATTTAATTTGAATTTGATCAAAATAGGATTTTTAAAATGAAATGAAATCAGAATAGGAAGTCTTTAATTATTGTCAACGTACCAATACCAGAATCGCATACACAAAAGGTAGGATATAAAGTGGACAATCAAGGAAAATAAGGGGAACCAATGATGGGAGTTTGAAAAACCTTTAAAGGATAGGTTCGTCTAGGAAAACCAAAGCAACTAAACTAGGTCATTTCTCCTTCAATCTTTTTTTCCTCCTGTTGCCAGATGGTAGACAAAGACTGAATGAAATCTTCTTTTCTCTCCTTCATGCCCTTAGACTTTGAAAAGCACTGGTCTCGCTCAGTTACGATCAATATGGCATGACGTAAGGCAGAAGGATAAGGTAGACTGGGTTCTTGTTGTAACTCAACCTTCAACCTGTCAACGACATCAACAGATCCGTCTTTATACCTGCCTAAGAGATCCGATGATAATCTGTAGCCTTGGCAGAATAATTATATTGACAAAGGGAGACTTCCCTTACGTCGGTTGTTCTTTATTCTGAGAGACTTTTGACGGAGAGACTCTGCGTTGCCATGGTGAAAAAAGTTCTTCCAATCTGTCTGGCACCAATTGGTAAGAGAGTCCTTCTATTGCTGATGAGAAAACTGGAGTCCGGGCCGGATTGAGTCGAATTTGAACAATATAGAACCGTAATTGACGCATAAATTTTCAAATTTATCGTCTTCTGGGATCCCATCTTTCGTTCTAAAATACACATAGAAATGACAAATCATCATTATGAGTGGATTCCTCATCCGGATCTTAAACACAGTGCGAGAAAGGATGTCGGTCCAGCAGTAATTATAACAGATCAGAGGCAGCATTTTAGTCCGCCTCACTGCCAAGCTCCGATAAAGCTGACACCTCTTAAGACTTTGAATAGCCTGGGGATCATCTAGACCTAGCATTTGCTCCTCAAAAAATGTCAAGCGTTTTAATATGGAACTTCGAAGCTGCTCGATCCCAGTGTATCCAAAGGAACAGATAGTCGTTGACAGTCGTAAGGATATACAAACGTGGAGAGCGATCCCAAGGTCGCGAAGATCAAAATCATGCTCACATAGTTTGCTAGGGTTCTTAGCACAATCTAGGAGATCAAGGAGTGGTTGGAGGAAGTTTGGAAGGATTGGCTGCATTTCTTTGTTGTCATCGCTCGGTATGTGTGAAATCCCTTCCGCGAAGCTAATAAGGTTAGCCATGCCCCACGATTGTATCAGGGAATACAGAAGACTTACTCTTCCAGGACTTTTTTGTGCTTTTCATTTGTAAGGGTGTACGATTTCACGTGCCGGTACTCAAAAAGTGTAGCTAATTCATCTTGGAATGGGTGACTATTTTTCCGAAATGATTTCACGTTGAGTAATTCTTGGAAAGTCAAAATTGTCGCCGCAAGATGAGCTTTGATATTTTCAAAAATGCAGCTTGTCACTAAAGACCAGGAAGATTGATCAGCCTCGGGCAGCAGTAAGGGTTTCCAGCTAATAATAGACCCTACCTATAGAAGCAGTTGAGAGTTTGATATCATTCTCGACTGCATCCTTCCACAAGCCGGCGATGCAGTTGAGCCATGAGTCCATCAATTGATTAAAGACATCAAGATCAATGCTATTCAACGACACTGTCTCAATCTCAGCACGAGATTGAGTTTTCCCTTGATATGAGAGACCAAGCTCGGGGGTGCTTTGAAACTGTGTCGTTGGATCATCAATTGATAGAGCTGAGGTCAATGGATCATCATCGGAATCATCATGGTCATCAGTTTGGAGAAGCATTGACGTCTGAGAAGTGTGATCACTAGCCTTTTCAGTATCATGGTCTTGCATAATACGCTCCAACTCGGAGATAAAGTGTTGATGTCCTATTGTCTGAGGATCATCGCTGTCTCCCGGTGAGATAATTTTCTTTGGTGACTTCTTCAGAACCTCTGCACATCGCTTTCTGTTCTGGATGCTACAGTAATAGGCTTAGTAGAAAGTTAGGATTGAGAAAGAGGCATACTTGACAGAAAGGATCAGGATCAATCTCTTAGTTTTGCAGCGGTCATTTAAAAGCAGCAGAAATCTCGCGCCGCTCCGAATTTACAATCAAAGAAGCCGGCAAGCTCCAATATATCGACATAGATCAATCTGTAAGTTTATTCTGCTCCCCACTACGAAGGACAACGCTGAAATGAACAAAGGAGGTTATTCAGATGATATCTAGTTTCAACTCACGCTGGGTGCTTTCGGGGTGCCGTCTGGCCAAGCATCAGCAAGAGCTGGCAGAAGTGCAGCAATCGCTAGCCCAGAAAAACGGGGACTTGGACGAGATAGCGAAGTTGGCGGAAGTGCTCTGGGAGACGAATCGAAGGTTAGACGTTGTCACGGAGTATCTCATGAAGCGCCAGGGCGGAACCCAAGTCATTCGATATGATGTTTAATTGGGTAGCAGTGGAAGGGGGGCTATCTTTTGATGCTGGTGAATGCGGAGACAAAGCGGCCACTCAAGAGATTACAAACGACGCTTCAGCCGGGGTAGATGCCCTCTTGCAAATAAGCAATGCAAGAAGTTCTACTTAGAACTAGCTTGATCACCTACGCTCTGAATTAGGTACATACCGTATATCAAGAATCAAACGCTTTGTGGCATTTTGAGTTAGAGTATCTCCGCGGATTATCCATTTAGAGCTGAATTTTATACCTTTGATATATATTGAAGAGGGAAACCGTTAGGCTGTGCAACCAATAGACCAAAACACAGCTAAATGCCAACAACGAGACACCAAGGACTGGACCTACTCATCCCAACCAGGTGGAAGGGAAAAAGGAGATGATATTTAGCTATAGGATAAGCGTGGGTCTTCTCGTATAGACTAGGGCGGTAAGGATGGAGCAAAACAGAACGGCAGAACAGAATAAGTGACAATACTAGTATGTGGGAGACATATAGTAACAACCAACAGACTGCGCGCTAGGTGAGAGACCCCCTGGGGGTGATATCAGAGAGGTGTAGGAGTGTGTATTCTTAGCTAGTGCTCTGCACCGCTTTAGACGTGGTACGGCACATGAAGGCATACCGCAAGTAACAAGCCACATGTGCCTAGTAGTGCGAAGGACGACCTTCGCCACTACACTATGGAAACATCTATCAGAATCAATACCGAATGAAACCAGGCTTGAATTTCCAATTCACCAGATGGGCCTTCTCCCAATAGATATCAAAGTGGATAGTACCATCGGTGTCTCCCAACCGAGCAGTTATCATGTATTTAACCTTCCAGGCACAGGGTCCGCCTCCTTCAACGCGCTCGCAGTCGGAGAGGTTGATGCTCGAAATGTCGATTGCCAGGGTGCTAATCTTAGAGGGACCTGTCAAGGGGCTCATAGGTTAGCTTCTGAGAGTTAACTTGGCAAACGGATTATATTGTATCAACATACCTCGCTCACTGACCCTGGTGGGAGGATCCTTACTGCCTGAGATAAAGATGTTGATGACTTTCATGTAGGACTCTCCCTCTCGGTGGATTAAAGTCCCTACGCCTTGGATCATTACATCCGTTCGCAAGCGATCTCCCTGAATTTAGGCGTGATTAGTTGGAATTTCCATGACATGGGTAATTTGGAACGGTTCTGGAATCGCGGAAATGCCACCTTTTTCACGAGCCAGTCAATTGGACCATTCTGGAAAGCAGGGCCCAAACGCGAGCTTACGGGAAGGGGAAAATCGACTAGGTTCACGGCTAAGAGCCCGAAGTGGCACGGACTGCGCATGCTTCGTAGCTCAACTTTGCCACTGCCCCATGCGATCGCACCCTGGACGACAGCCGTTAATCTGATAAAGACCTGTTAGAAGAAATCTAGCCAGAATCAAGAGAGTGTATGTATGCATACGCATTTTGACGGTCGACGACGATGGTCATATCGGGAAATGCACGTGTGATCTCACTTTCAAGGAAACACGAAAGAGAGAATCCTCCGACAAGCAAGATTTTCTTAAATTCGTCAGTACATTCCAAATACCATCTTTCTCTGTAAGCTCACATACTTTGATGGCTGGTGCGTCTCTCCCGATGCCATTGGCCCCACTCATATGGCTATTCAAGCAATTGACGATTGTGCTGACAGAGGGTTGGAATAACTTGAGAAGATCGGCACTGTGTGCGTCGGCTTTAGCATCTCCCTAATGATTCATGGACCTAGGGAGTAAAGGAGGTTTCCTACCTGGATAGTAACACATGTCCTGTGCTTTGATTATACCACTCTGAGCTTAAGGGTTGCGACACGTTCATGTCAAGGGGGAGTTGGAAAATCGCATTTCCACGTCCAGTAAACGCACACTTAACTTCCATGAAATGCTGCATGAATTTGCTTGTGAGCCCAATCATATACCATGGTAAGCTAGAAAAGACAGCACCAAATCTTTCTTGCATGAGTTTGTAAAGCTCCCTGTCCACCGAAGTGGAACCGCATAGTTTCCCTTTAGTATTTGATCAGTCTATGTTCAAATTCCATCTCAAGGATGTTGGAGTAAGACATTACCTGAGCCTGGACCAAGCTTATCGTATACAAGAGGATTGTGCTTCGAGATTATAAAACTCGCAATATCCTAGATAGCAACATTAGATCAAACAAAATAAAGTTAAGATTGTAAAGGGTAACTGACAACTGTTCCTCCCCCCACAGTCACAGACTAGAACTCTATCTCCAGTCTTTAAAACCTCATCAGTCTTTAAATCCAAACTAAAATACCAATAGAGTATAACATACCTTAAGAGGTAAAGATCCTGTGGAATCTCGTGAGCTCGACAGAGCGAAGACAATAGCAGCATCCGCCTCTGTAAGTAGGCAGACATCGTCACACTTCCTCGATCTAAAACCTGCTGTTTCAATAGCAATAAGCATATTCCGCCTGGCTTCTGTGGACCAGTGACCTGGTATGGTAAAACAGAACTTGATGGTGCTTGTCTCCAGACTCTTCTTCGCATTAGTAAATTCTCCCTTGAGATGGTCCCAGATCCTGGCCTGGAGAGCGCCTAGATAATCCGAGATGGTATCAATTGAGGATATCCCTATTGGAAGAGACATAATCCCTCGAGGACTTGCCAATCCCATCGCATCCGCTTTCCAGCTCTCGGTCTCGATCTTAAGATCATCATCCAAGAACAGCTTAAACCAAGAGACCACATTGCGTTCTTTTTGAGCAGGAAATCCCCACTGGTTCTCCAGAAGATTAGGGTTGTCTTGAATGTAAGCAAGAACGCTTGGAATCTTTTTGTAAAAAGTCCCTCTCCAGGGTTGTTTGATTAACGTTGGACGATCATAGGGGTAATCTAGCAAAATGCTAGAGTAGCCAATAGCTGTAAGCCTTTATTAGAATGCTCGCGAAGGCACCAATTTTCCTCGGGGGTTGTGACTCACCAGAGGCCGTAGTGCCAAAGTCAACTCCGACCACAACATCGTGCTTGGGTGTAGGCATGATGAACAATAATTCGTGAGGACTGAATTTCTGCGGCGGTTGATGATTGTCTGCAAATTTGTATTTGATCCTCTATCTGAATGGCACAGTAGGACGAAATTTGAGTTGGGAGGAATAGGTTGGGGAAATCGCTTCGTTTTATGACCGATAGGTCAAGGGCTTTCTACCTACCTAGTTCACGGATGGCCCTTGTCATCGACCCATAAGAAACGAGATGTCTTGTCTCAAACGTGCGATTGAATCAATGAGGAGCCCAAGAATCATGAGCCCCAGTCATCTATCATTTCCCGCCACTGCCGGTTTCCGCGACATTTCCAAAGGTTGACTCTGTTATCGTATTTGAAGCTGTCAAATATTCACCAACATTATGAAAACACCACTACACCCTACTGTACCTAGGAACCAGGACGGATCCTTACGTCTTGGATTTATCAAAACGAAGACCATGTCTTCATTTTAAGAGTGTATCTAGAAATAATATTCTACTGGTTCTCATGAGCTTACCATAGTGTCAACATTTGGAACTCATCCTCATTTGCATGACTCTTGAAATATTTTGTTTTCAGAGGCAAACTAGATGCATTCTACGACCTAGAAGTGGTCTCCACTCAGATGGTTGCCATGTTTCATAAGGCCTGCTCATTCTAGTCTAGTTTTCCACCATGCTTTCATGCATATGAAAGCGATTGCGTATAGATGACCTGGCTCAGCCCATAGCTTCAGATTCTCATCAAAGGAATGAAGAAGGAAAATAGATCTCTTCCTAGGAATCTGTTCTCACTGATCAAGATTTACAGCTTGGCCTAAAATTTGTATGTAATTGATAGGGTTTTCTCTATTAGATTTGTTTAGTTCTTATGGGCCCGGTCTAAATCATCTGGTTCATAGGGCGGTGCATGGATAGTGGATCCTAACAGCCTGCAAAGTCCCGAATACGAATCTTCAAATATTTGAAATTTCGGGCTTCAAGCCACATCCGAAATGTACAGGGGTCCATATGGGTTTTCATGTCAATCTCTCTAATACTGGAAAGAGTGCATTATTTCCTCTGCAGATGTAACAGTACGTAGGATTGAGTGATCTAACACACCGCTCTTTCAATTCTAGGCCTATTTCCAGCTGGTGATTTTCAAAAATCCTTGATATCTCGTTTGCAACAAACGAGACACGGGTTTCTCCGGGAGTAATGGCGTTTTTTCTCATAAATTCTTTGACCACAACGAACCTTGAACTCCACTCAGTCTGTTTTAAAACCAAAAAGAAATGAAAGAAAACTCCAGTTGCTCTAATCGTGGGCGCAAATGATGTTATCTAGCAAGTTAATATTTGAATGAATGTCTCAGGCGCTCTCCAGGGCTGTTGCTCGGTGTAGCATCTCTCTTTCCCGAATTTCTCAACCCTCTTTGATTTTTGTCCGTAGTGCTTCCCAGTCCCATCTCTGGTGACTGCTTTGACCAAACAGGATGGGCAAAGGAGAGGCATCCCGAATGAGCAATACAAAACGAAAAGAACCGCATCCAAGCTCAGAGGCGGAGATGGTAGGTTTAATGAAATTGTTCCAAGCATTTTTGACAGAGGATGAGAAAGACTGAATATCACATATAGCCTAAGGATGCCATTCCATTGGGTTCTAAGTTAGACACTGGGTGTATCAAAGTCGAGACCCCCACAGAAGAAGAAAATCAAGACAAATCATCAAAGGTATTCCAAGATTGGTGCATGTCCGATGAAATGAACTAATAAGTGTTCTATACAAGCAGAATAGCTGCTCATTCTCAATGAATATCTTGGAAAACAACACATCCCTTCCCTCGGCCGCTAAGGACCATGATAAGTCATCGCAAAAGTCGAAACAATCAACACCTATTTCGAATCCATCTGAACAACTACCACCTGTCCGACGTCAGACTCGCTTGTATAGAGAGAGAACTCCAGTGGCCGAAGAGAGCTCTTCAGACACGGATAGGAGCTATTTAGAGAGGGACCGGAGGTCTGGGTGGCAAAAAGTACCCCGTCCTGCTCCCCGGGACATGTTCCATCCTGATTACCCCTTCACCATGAAAGACCCATATGCTCAGCCGCAGGAGGTCCTACCACTGCCAAACTTCACCTCTACCTGCAGAGACTTTGAGGGATTTTGCGATTATATATTTCCTACACGGCCGGATGATAAAGTCTCTTGTATGACTTCCGGCATAGAACGCTGGGTCAACGATTACTGCGGATCTCCAGAGGACATCGAAGATAGAATGACTGCAGAGCAAAAACAAGCTATACTTGACTTTTTGGGGGATTGGTGCCTTTACAATGACTGGGACTCACTGATCGCCACATTTCCCAACCAACGCTTTCGATTCCATACATTCACCCAGGCCGTCATCATGAAGGATATCTTTCAGAGTCTTGTCGAGAATCCGTTCTACTACATAGATTTGGAAACCCATTGGGATGGGCGCTCAGAGACTCTTCATCCTAGATATGGAAAGGAGCTATATCAACATTGGCAAAAGCTTCTTCGTGGTAAGTTCTATCGGTGATCCTATCCTATTGGTCTGTCATGATGTCTGCTAACTCTTTTATCCTCCAGTGGATGAGTTAAGTGCCGAGAAATGGCGTATTGCCACAGTTCAAATGATGAACAGGTATCTTGAGCCCACTGCCAGGCTGAAAACAGACCCTATATGGCCTGTTGAAGCATGGGACTGCACTACTGGTATACGGAGCTACAATATTAGGCAGAGGTATGTGAATCAGTTGGTTCGCAACATGCTGGATCGATCCAGTCTCATTTCGCCTATGTTACTGGACCACGATCCCAAGAAGGAGCTAGACACCGAGCACCCCTTCCATCGGGATGGACTGCTGCGTCGATGCTATGAGCAGGCCTGTGACTTTGCTGTCCAGATGTGGGTCAGGGAGGAATCGGTCATCCGTTTCGAGGACAAAATCAACGAGATAGGCCCATACACACTACCGAAATACCCTGACAGGGCGGGCATGCGTACCACGAAAAGATGGTGGTCCGGCGGGCATGATGGACACGATACTCCGCTTAATGGTTCAACCGGAGAATCACATGAGGGACGAGAAACTGCGATAATTCTGTGGCCTGCAATCTGGGATGTCTATTGCAGACATATCACCGTGCCTCCTTTGAGTCCAAAATCGTTTTTTTCTAGGCACGGAGGAAGGAGTAATCTTGAGAGGGTTAAGGAAGACACTTATGTGGACGAGAGGGACTGGGTCTATACTATTATTGCCTGTGGGTGTGTTTATCTTGCGGGCAGAAGGTTCGTGAAGCCGGACGATGCCCCTGGCAAGTGATCATTCTGTCATTTCCCAAGTTCTCAAAGGGACTGATATCTAGTATACAGTCATCCCCTGTCTTTCTCTTCTGTCCCTCTCTATTTTCTTCTTTTTGCCTGCATTCTGTTCTTGGCTGCGTTCTGTATCACTGAGATTGTTGTTTTGAATACTGAAAGATGGGACGACTCCATATCCTATCCTGGGAGATTGGCGGAGGAGACTCAATTCTGATTTTAGAAAATTCTTGAATTGCATGATTTCAATTTTGTTTATTCCTCCTTCCCTGAGAATTTGTAGCTGGTCCTGGATACCTTGCGTCTAGATTGATAAATTAGGTTGAATAGCTCCAACTTGAAGTCTATTTTAGTTAAACCCATGCAATGCCTTCTGATCTCAACATCAATACTGGTATGATATCCTCTCCCCTTCAAGTTCTTGAAATGTACATCATAAGCCTTAGAAACTTTCAGTTCCAGACTCCTCGGCAGGTCTTCATATAGGAGACAGAAGGGATAACAGATTTGACTCCACAGGTACATGTATACCTTAGGATACTGTACCACACCAGTGCATATCAACACTTATCAACAGTCATCAAATCCAATACTCCGGTATTTTTACAACAATCGTTTACTATTGAGTAGAAAGTTCAGATTGAGAAAGAGGCATACTTGACAGAAAGGACCATGATCAATCTCTTAGTTTTGCAGCGAAGTTACACAAGCGGCAGAACGCACACCGCCTATCTTGATGACTTATGTCTCCGTTCCTACGAGCACTAACCGGACCACCTTGTTTACAATATGATCGATACCATCAGCACTCAGTACTACCCCTTTCGATGATGCGATGATACTGTAATGCAATGTCCGACAGCAGTTCCCCCGATTACAAAAGTCTCTATCTACAAGAGAAAGAGAGACGTACGCGAGAGGGGGAGAGACGAGAACAAGCCGAAGCGCGACAGAAGCAAGCCGAAGCACGACAGAAGCTAGCCGAAGCGCAACGGAAGCAAGCCGAAGATGAAGCTTCGAAGGAGAAAGAGCGTAACCGATCGCTAACCTTCATGGAACTAATATGCCATGGCCATAATCTACTCTCAAGACCGCTTAGAGTCAGAACGCCTTCTCGCTCGACTATAGGGATAATACCCCCTCCTACCGGAAAATACTGCCCGGTGCGACTAGAACCGTGGAAATGTTGCCCACGTCAACAGCAAGAAATTTACGATGCTGTATGCAAATACCTCCAGCCAGCCGAGGAAGCCCCGTCACGGTTACCTACGTCTTTGATCGCCCTTGAAGCTGATGCTAGACGATTTTGCCTCGACCCAATGCACAGTGAACAGAGTGTTGAGAGCTACGAGCGAATTGCAGTAGAAGGCCATGTCCGTGATATAGTCGCGGAGCTATGCAAACTCGATGCTGCCCGCGATGAGTTCGGCCTCGGTGATGGAATCTGGTTCGACAATCACAAGAACTCCCTCGATGGTCTTGAATGTATTGAAGCGAATGTACATCAACAGTCAAGTGTACACAATCCAAAACCTGATCAGTTCTGCATCCACCGGGTTGATGGGAACATCACTACCCTCCTCACTGCAGTTGAATACAAGCCACCTCATAAGCTTCCCACTGAAGCCCTTCGTAAAGGGCTTCGACCAATGGACTTGTGGAGAGAATTGGTTAGTTCAAACAAAACAACTCAGGAAGAAGCCAGCAAAATACAGTACAATATTGAAAAACTTGTCTGCTACGCTCTTATCCAGGAATACCATGTCATGATCCAGGAAGGACTCAAGTATTCTTGGCTAACGAACGGCATTTCTCGTGTCCTTCTTCGCATTCCTTACGACGAGCCTGGTACATTATAATACTTTTTCTGTGACCCAAACGAAGAACTGGAGGGCAAAATTCGAGAAAATCTTCAAGAGCCGGAATCCTCGATTGCACGCATCCTTTGTTTATGCGTAATGGCCTTTCGTGCCCCTCTACGCGATCATGAATGGAGAAATAACGCACGCTCGACCCTTCCTCTCTGGACAACCAGTTTCGACCATCTTCGTTCTCAGATTCCAAAATCAGAACTACAGCAACTCCTTTTACACTCCGATAGTACTGATTATGCCAGCCCGTAATCGACTATAGACCCAAGTCTCGATTATCAAGCGTCCTCCTCTCCCATAGAATCTCCAACAAAAGGTCGCCGAATCACGAGATCTCAAGCTGGCTGTGCGCTCCCAATTACGCAGCACCGCTCTCAATCACCAGACTCGTCAGACTCTGAGTCGAATCAAGCCCCTGGGCGTAAGCGAGGCTTCAGTGACGTTGGGTCTTCACCATCTGCCCAATCAATGGCACGTGAAAATCGCACCAGAAATAACTAGGGGAGTCAGACCCGATACCGCGATGCGCAATATTGTACACAGAGATGTTTACTTGGGCTACAAAACGGTGATTTTCTAGACGGGTCTTGTCCAAATGTGATGCTTCACCGCCAGGGCACACGTGACCTCAAACATCCTATTACCGCAGGCGGATTGATGCGTTCTTTAAAAGCACAACTGGATGAGAACATTGATCGTTGTATATCTCTTGGAAGTTGCGGGCAGTCTGGAGCGCCATTCAAACTCACCTGTGCCATATATGGCTACACCGTCATTGGGAAGGGAACTACGTCATGCCTATGGAGGGAAGTGTCCCACGAAGCACAGGCTTACCGAATTTTGCAGAAGGCTCAAGCATCTGCTGTACCTGTCTTCCTCGGTACAATCGATCTAGCGAAAATTTACTATCTTCATGGGGCTGGAGATATTCGCCACATGCTTGTCATGGCCTGGGGAGGCGAAAGTTTAGCAAAGATGGAACTGAAACCATGGCTGCGTAAAGAGATTCGCAAATCGGAGAATGAAATCAAAGCTTTGGGAATTGTCCATGAGGACCTCTGGTGTGACATTGATGAGGAGGGCCTTCGGTCTGGCAATGTTCTCTGGAACGAAGAACTTGGGCGGGCGCTGATCATTGACTTTCACCGCTGTACATTAAATCGTCGGCCATTTCAGAAAAGACGACAACCGGGGAAGAGGCGCTGTACCAGACAGAGTCGGGGCGTTCCAAGTGTCTACGGGTTTGATCAGCAATATACTCTGACAACTGCTAGAGAATTCAACGCAGGGAATGGATAAGTATCAAAGTTGTGATTAGAAACATGATAGGACAATACTTAAAGAAACCATGACAACAATTTGGAGTGATGGCTCTCATTGTTCTTAGTCAATATCTCTCGCTGTGAAATATTAATCGCTAAAGATTACTTCCAGTCTTTTGAAATTTCCTTCGCAACCTGCCAGTCCTTCTCAAAGCAGCTCTGTGGGCAGACCCCTTGCCAGGTTGCTCGAGACTCCACAAACTCGTATAATTGCGTTACCTCCTAGCTGTTTATATGGCGCTGGTGGAGTAAGTCCTTTTTCTGTACATGTAAGTCCCTTAAGTAGTCTCTTACTAAATACTGGTATATGGTGTACTAGGTTCTAGGTAAGATAAATGAAGCAACTCAGATATATATTTATTCAAATGTTCAAGTTCAGTCCTGCATAGCTCCACTTTAGGCTTAAGACTACAGTAATCCTAAGCTAAATACTATAACACCTACCTTTTATACTTAATTAACTTAGACTTAATCTACAGCATTGGTCTGTAGAGTTTTTCTTATCTGTTACAAGTTAGGTCAAGTTAGCTATAAGCGCTCTTGGTTCTTCAATATTAACCTTCAAGCTCTCCATGTAGGACAAGGGTACTCACGTGACCTAGCTTAGTGAGCACTTACATCACCTCTAGCCATAAGTTAGCTTTACCTCTGAGCCTACCTTAACACGTATAGCTCTTCCTTCTTCACCTTTCCTTCTTTATCGCATCATCCCCAAAATCAGCTTTGTCGTAAGTGGCTGATTTGATTTAATCAGCTTTACTAGTAAGTGTTGGAGGATTTGGATTTGGATGTCTACGAGTGAAGAAGGCCAGAAACACGTATTGAAGGAAGCGTGAGGAGGGAAGGATCTCCACGTGCAAGTGAGAGCTAGAGTATATGGCCGCAGTGGTCCAATATCTACACGCGTAACGCGCCGGACCACTGACACACCCCCCGTAGCTCTCGCAGCACGGAGACCTCCGAGACCTCCTGAAATGTCCATTTCTGCAATAAAATAAAATCAGGTGTAGTTACCCAATTAGGAAATAATAGATCACATGATTTGCCTTCCTTTCTTTGTTCTTCTTTATGCATCCACCATCCACAGTCCTTTCCGGAAAGCTTTGAACTTGGTGGTGTCCAGGGCCTTTGTCAGGCCATCGGCGACGTTGTCCTCGCTGTCGATCAGCACCAATTTGATCTTGCCGAGTTCGATTCTCTCTTTGATGATGTGATAGCGTAGATCTAACCACTTTGTCGCTGGCTTAAAGCCGATACCGTGTGCAAGAGTGTATGCATTGTCGCTATCAGTGTAGATTATCACGGGGGATTGATCGAGTTGCTGCATGTCCACCAGCAAATTCTTCAACAATAAAGCCTCTTGCGATGCATGTTCGTATGCAATGTATTCGGCTGCCGTACTCGACGGCGCAATGAGGGATTGTCGCTTTGTAGACCAAGAGATCGGTGTCCCGTTGTACATGAATATCCAGCCTTGCACAGATTTCTTTGTCCAAGGGTCATTGCTAAAAGAGCTGTCGACGAAGCCTACTAGACCTTTCAGCGGCACCTTTTCACTCACTGCAATAGGGGCCTTCTTTCTGAATTTCAATCCTAGTCTTGGTGTCCCTGTGAGATATCGAATAATATGTTTCGCAAGCGCAGTGGCTTCAGTGGATGGATAAGCACTACACCTCTGTAAGACGCCTGTAGCGTATGCAATATCAGGACGTGTTTTCTTTGCAATCCATCCAATCTTTCCAGTGATCTCTGCAAGGGATTGAGCGTCTTGCTTGGATAGAGTCTTTTCCATTGGTAAGCTTGTGTCGGAGCCTGTGGCGATCGGAATTGTATTTGAATTTGCACTGGCCATATGTTCAGTGTGTATAACACCGTCAATGTACTGATGTTGAGAGAACAAGATGTCATTGTTTTCGAAGCTGATGTCGCAGCCTAGGAACCTCGTTGGTAGACCGAGGTCTTTGATCTCGATGTGTCTTTCAATCTCTTTGATCACACTAGAATTGATCTCGTCACTCATACTGGCCATCTTTGCGTCGTCCACGTAGATTGCAATCATACAAAGGGTCTTTTCGGCCGAATTCCCGCGGACATAGAGACATGGATCGCTCTGTGATCGTCGGAACTGCAATTTGCATAGTATTTCGCTAAATTTCGTCCACCAGAGATGTGCAGCCTGTCGCAGACCATACAGCGCACGCTGAATCAGGCATATTTTTCCTTCTTTCGCAAAGCCTGTCGGTAGGCGCATGTAGACACGTCGATTATCAATTTCCGCATTCAAATAAGCGGTTATCACGTCGAATTGGCGAGCTTTCCAACCTTTCTCAGCGATCAGTGCATACAACAATTTCACGGTCTGGTCAGCAGCTACTGGCGCGAAATTCTCATCGAAATCAATGCTGGGACGTTGTCTGTTGCCACAGATTACCCATCTGGCTCGATAGCGTGTGATATAGCCATCTTTGTCTGTCTTGGTGTCAAAGACCCATTTCCCTGGTAGAACTTGCAAATGTTTTGGCTTTGTTATCTCATCCACCTCGATCCAGGCACCTGCAGCTTCCAATTTCGACACTTGTTCATCCATTGCAGCTTGCCAAAATGAGGCTTCTGGAGTGGTGATAGCCTGCTTATGGGTGGTAGGTCGCTTAATCTGCCAGTCCTTTTTCTTTGCCGTCTCAGGTCTTGATTCGCCATAATCATCATCATTATCTGTAAAAGCTGCCATCGCAATTGCACTTTCAAGGCCTGCAATGTAGTCGAAATCGTCTGCACCATCAGTTTGCGGTGGTTGAGAGACGCTTCTGCCAAGATCCTTCCAATTTTCGAAGTTTCCAAAGCGCTTCGGTTCCCTTGTGACACGTCCGGAACGTCTTGGAGCTTGCTCAGTTTCTGATTGGGTCTGACTAGTTGTTGACTGAGACCGACTAGTCGTTGTTTGTGGAGTTGGTGTTGGTGTCTGGTCATCATCATCATATTCGTCTGCGTTAAATCCTCCAGAGATTTCGTTATGGAATTTTTTCTTTTCTCTAAGAGGCGCATTTGTTTGGGGGAATTGTCCAATTACTTCAGGTGTTAAGGACTCTGATGTCACTGTCGCTGGTGTCTCCTCACGGTACTGCTGTAGCTGTTTAGTGAGGTCTTTAATTCGTCTTTCCAACATATCTGCACGTTGCTGATGTATGCGAGCTGCGGCTTCGAGATCCTTATTTGTTTTGTTTTGATTGTTGTAAAAGCGGCTTGTCTCACGGTGTAGAGACTTGTATGTATTGCGAGCACCTTTCAAGAGCTCTGTCAGGCGGGCAATATCTTCTCTGTCTGTGTCTTTCACTACTCCTGTTACAATTTGACGGTTGATTTGCTCATTTCCTAGCTGAGAGATCTTGATCTCCTCAACACCAGCTACCAGGGTATCAGATTTGGTCTCCCAGAACATAACATCTCGGTGGATTGACACTTTCTTTGTGTAGGGGTCATAGATACGGAATTGGTGACCATTCTCTCCAATATAGCCTACGAGGTGGCCTAGCCATGCACGTGGACGCATCTTTTGGCTCTTCACACGCCGCTCTGGAGGGATATTCACATAAGCTTTGCAATACCAGACACGGAGATGAGCTAGTGACGTTGGCTGCTCTCTGCAATTCATGCCTTTATTCCATAGCTCTGCCGGAGATGGTGAGCCAGGGGCTTGGCGTAGCCGGTTAATGATGTAGGTTGCTGTCAAAATAGCCTCTCCCCACATGTATTCTGGGGCTTCGGCGTCGATAACCATTGTCCGTCCAGTCTGTACGATGTAGCCACCTGATATCTCGCTAAGACCATTCTGCTGCTGTGCATAGGGGGCGGAAGGCTCAATTCGTTGTCCATTTTCTTTTGCCCATGTTGTGAACTTATAGAACTCTGATCCACCATCACATCTCCACACCTGCGGATAGGCGGTAGTGTCATTCTTGATTTGCGTAGCGAATTTAATCATCTCGTGAGAAGCTTCATCCTTATGTTTTAAAAGACACGTAAATCGACATCTGGTAGCGTCATCTGTCATGATTAGAGCATAATTGTAGCCACCAAGAGCCTGTGGGCGGATTTGTTGTAGATCTGCATGGATCATCTGTCCTGGGCGCGTTGCACGGACCTGTGGTATGCGAGAGATTCTTTTCTTTGATTTTCCAAGCTTGCATGCGGTGCAATTAAATGGTTCTGAATGGTCCACTTCGACGTCAAGATCCTTCTCAGTGGCCTTTATTTTCGGGGCACCAGCATGTCCAAGACGGCGGTGGGCTATTTCGGCTGAAATACTTGCCATGGAGAGGCCAATTTGTTGTAAGCCACAGTCTTTGTGTTTGAGAAACGGCACTCCTGAGTGAAAGAAAACGCGTCCCACTACTGCCTTTGAGGCTCTGTCATGTAGGGCGTAAGTGTCATCGTTGTAGGCGAATTGCATGTCACGGCGTAGTTTACAAGCTCCCAACAGGTTATATTTCATACCTGGAGAGTACATAACTGGAATTATGACATCCAGTAGGCTGTTATCATCCTGTAATAAGGTGATTTTAACTTTGCCATATCCGCATGCAGTCCCTTTGTTTCCCGGACAGGAGGTTTCCCATTCATATTTAATACCATCCTTGAACTCGACGTAATCGAATATCCAATCTCTTTTTGTGCACAAATGATTGCCTGAGCCCGTGTCTAGGAGCCATTGCTGTGCTCCCAATTCATTTGGGATCTTAATGAGAGTTTCTTCGGTGTCCGGATCACTTGATAAGCCTTGTTTTAAAGGGGATGTTTGGTCCACAGCCATATCTGCAATTTCATCCAGAATCTCATCCTGTTGATCGAACATCTCTTCGTTCTGAGAGATGCATGCACGATTGTAAACTGACTGTATGTATTCATCATAGGGATCATCAGGGATCATCAAATTAGCTGTTTCAATAGCCATCGCATGGTAGTGGCGGTTATAGACATCAT